GAGATGATGGACCAAGTGTGGTGGAGCTGACCAGGAGGCAGGAATGCAGGCACGGATAAAGTAAAAATGGGTTTAATGACAGGATACGGCAGGAACAACGAGAACAACACGACAAACAACAATCTGACAAAGACTGGCACAAGGAGGGAGGTATAAATATGCAGGGAAATCAGGAACACATGGGCAGGTTAACAAGGGGCAGGTGAAACCAATAGGGACTAATCAGGCAGGAGAGGGACACAGTCAGGAAGGCAGGGGCAGATTGTGACAGTACCACCTCCATCAAAACTCCAGGATCCTCGGCTTCCATCAGCAAAAACAGGACGGGGCAGAAAGCAGGAGAGGAGAAGGGGTTCAACCACCCCGGGAACGAGTAGGATGCGCCGAAAACCCTTGAGTCAGAATCTCCCTCTTCCAAACGGAGAAAAAAGAAAAAAAATCCTTCAGAACAGATGTTGCAGAGCTCACCACAGGTCCAGGTTGGGTCGGATCATTCTGTCATGTATGTGCATGTCTCGTTTTGTCCTGTCGCTCCCGTTGCTATGAAATCCATTTTTATTTCATCCGTGCCTGCTCTTCTGCCTCCTGGAACCCTCCACCACACTTGGTCCCCCATCTCCACCTTCACGTCATGACAGAGATGTCACCTCAACTGGGGAAAAAAGAATAGAACCACCCTCATGTGCAAGAGAGAGCAGCAGCTCTACTCGGAGCCCCTTCCGGATATTTGAGCTTCTCAGCTTATAGCAGCCAGAGCGGGAGATGGGTGGGCGTGGCCAACTCCAGCTTGTTTTCTTAAAGTGACAGAGCAGTGAAACAGAAAATGTCAGGAATACAACTGCTGCTTTATGTGAGACTAATGCAAAAAACTTCACAAACATATATTTTATAGACCATATAACTATAGCAACTTCAGAAAAATAATCATAATATTTTTTATTGCATGCTTTCGGCTCTATTTAGCTCGTTGCATCAGCACAAATGTAAACAAACAAAAAATGTGCTAATCTAAGAATCTTTAGGATGACCTCATCCTCTCCAGCGCTTCATATCACTGACAGCAACCGGCTGAGTTTTGCCTCAGCACTTTGATAGATTCAAGACAAGCCAGTGAGGCATGGGGTCAAGTCCCAGCCGATTCCAGGGATGTGACCAGAAAGCTGGATGGCGCTCTGCGGACGTTTATCTCGGTGCATACGCTTGATCTGAGAAATCGATGGGATTTTGTCATCAAGACTGTCATATTCAGGCGAGAGGTCATAGTAGGGCCAACTGCATGGGCTTAAACCTTGTAAATCAATACATGCATCAACTTTTGAATTAATTTGGCCCAGGCAATAAATGTGTGTTGCTTTCTCCTGATTACCAGACTCTAAAGTGTGGAACATAAAAGAGGAACTGCTGTGATGTGCTGATTTTGCTGATGGGGTTCCATGAAACCTTCACTGTTCCCCACATCCTAGTATTGATGTAGGAAGAGGACGGCAGCATGCATTTTACTCATGAGTAAATAACGATTGATCTGCTCTCGAAGGAATTCATGAATGCAAATGTGTAAACATTTGTTCAGGAGATGCCAATGTCTGCATATGAAACTGTGATCTAGAAAAACAGCACCATGTTCAGAACAGGAACACACAGATAATCTCCATTTGGTTGTTGAGAGCTTTTCTGCGGGAAGGAAAACGGATCTCTGACGTTCCAATAGTTCCAGGTCTGCCCGTCATCTCGGCCACAATGCCTCACTTCTCACACCATAATGTCGCTGTCAGATAGAATTAGGGACTTTCCCAGCGTTGCATCGTGCATCACAGAGTGATGCGTTTATGCAACACTTAGCAAATTAGCCTTGTGATTGCATTATCCTTAGAAAGTGACACGTCTCTCTGAGCGCTTGCCCCTCTGATCCCATTCCTCACATCCTAACCACTTTCTGGCATGAGCAGGACTTCGCTCGTGTGACCGATGGGTTTGGTCTCACTGTGCCCTTATGGTGAGGCAGCAGTGTTGGTGGCATGGGTTAGTCGCCTAACAAGCATTGTTGGTCTCGTTTAGAGCCATGCTGGTTTCAAGGCTGCTGGTGTGACTGCCTGCTGGGTCACAGAGGGTTGCAGACGTCATTTTCTCAGCTCTAGCCTTTTCACGGTGTGTAATGGGGAGATTGTCCCTCATAAATAAGCCTAATGACCCCCCTGTCCATGTCAAGTCTATGTCAATAATGTGATTCTGCGTTTACCACCTTATCTCTGCTGATTAAAATGTAAAAAATTGATGTTTCTTTTCAAATTATGGTTGCAGTTTGTCACTGACAATGATGCTAAAAGTGAAATTTTAAAAACAGCCTCAAGGCTTCTATTAAAGGTGCAATAAATCTGCACATGGATGAGGAAAACCAGCAGACTTTATACAGGAAGAAGAGGCAGCCAGTGCTGTCGTCTCTCGCCTCGCTCTAATCACTACTCCACCGTGCAGTCTTGCCAAGCAGAATCTTCTTCAACACAGTATAACATCAATACTTTTTCCATGTTGTCACTAACTTCTCATTAGTCACTGTCACTCATGATCAGAGTGGATTTGATCCTTCTGAAAATCAAAAACACACGATCTTCACCGTTTTGGGTCACATCAGCATCTTTTCGCAAGCTCTAATTCAAATCATTTTAAAAATCCATGATGGTTAAATTCTAAACAACACAATCAAACTCAGAAATCTGCAACCATCTATCCATTTTTTGCAACATGCACACCATTTTTCTGCAGCACAGTTGACACTTAATAACTAAAAATTACATATATCAGTTGTAATAAATGCCTCTCTGCATACAGCATCACATCATTTCAGGACTAAAAGCTCATTGTCTGTTAGATCAATCTTTAGGAACTTGTGCATGAGCGACAGTAAAATAATTTTATTTTCATTGTAAATATTACAGACTGAAGCTCTAATAAAACCTATAGAGTGTAGAAAACATTGGAATTTATGCAAACTGCATTTTAGGATTTTAACCTTGTCTTGTATCGTTAAAGGTGAAACTGGAAAAATGAGAATTTGGTGCAAAATTTCATTCATTTGAGTAATTCAATTTAAAAAGTTAAACTAATCTATGAGATAGACTCATTAAAGCCTTTAATTTATTATAACTGTGATGATTATGGCGTACAGCTTATGAAAACCCCAAATTCAGAATTTCACACATATTACACTATTGTGAAACTATTTAATATTCTAGACTCAGCGTCAAACTCTAATCAGCTACTTAATCAAAAAACACCTGCAAAGGGTTCCTGAGCCTTTAGATGGTCTCGCAGTCTAAGCTGAATTACTGACATAAAAAAACTTTTGCTCCATAATCATTTTTTTTCTATTTCACCTGTAAATGAAGCTTATTATAGCCGTCAAACATGTTAGAGTCTCCTAAAACAACATATTGATGGTGTGCAGTTTTATTTAATGTTTTTCATTTTGACGCCTTGAGATACATTTTCTTTCCAGTCAGCGTTGCAAAATCGGTTTTCCTGTCAGTGCCGTCTTCGGCTGATCGAAATTTTAGAGCAGAGGAGATTTGTTAAATTGTCAGCAGTATTGGAAAATGGAGCTTGCAGGATTGTTTTTCATTTTAATGACGTGAAGAAAGAAGGATCGTTCTTCTTTTTGCTCTACTAAACTCAAGGTGTTGTCATGATCCGCCCCAGCCTCCCTGTCTGTGTCTCTCCTGCCCTTGATTAACCTTATTGTTCTCACCTGTCCCTCATTACTCTGCCCATGTGTTCCTGATTCCCTTGTGTATATATACCTCCCTCTTTGCTCCTGCCAGTTGTCGGATCATTGTCGTTTGTGCATGTTCGTTTGTCCTGTCGCTCCCCGTCTACAATTAAACATATTTTTATTTTTTCATCCGTTTGCCTGCTCTTCTGCCTCCTGAAACCCACCACCACACATGGTCTGCCACCTCCACCCGCAGAACATGACAGGTGTGAAGCCTCATCGCTGCTAGTAACAGTCAGATTTATGAAACTAGGTTTTTGTGTTTTACAATCATCATGAGGCTTTATTTTAACAGAGGGGACCTTCAACTTGACAGCCTCAGTACCGTCCACAATTAAAACCACAAGCTCATTAACTTGGGTGTGAGGAGGCGAAGGCATGTTTGAACAAAGTTTATGAGTATCCTTCAAAATTTCAATCATTCGGTGAATTCCTGCTCATCGTTTCACGGCTGTGGTCTTTAGGGTGAGTCAGGACTGGTTTTCCAGGACGTCCTCTATATGACACATCCACACAAAACCGTATTAATATTAATCATAAGACTCAAGTGTGAGTGATTATCTCCCAGTACAACAGCGCAGCCTAGAAAATGAGATGTAATGTATTTAATCATTTCCATCCATGTGAATTAAAAGTAAAGATGAGCAAACAATAAACCTGAGTTGGCGGCTCAGCAAATGCATGCAAAGATGAACCGGTCGCCCTCCCTTCAATCAGAGGGCGCACAAGCTACTAATTAGGGTAAGATATGAAAGGCTTGTATGAGTTTGAAGCATGGCCTGGTATGGTATATGAGTGTGTGTGTGTGTGTGTGTGTGTGTTGCTTTGCTAATGCACTGAGAGCCCGTAAGCACTGGCCAGCTCAGCCATGCGCTCGTCTGTAAAAGGGCAGAGAATGAATGAGCCCTAATTGACCAGATATCCTTCATTACACATGTGCTTACAAATCCATCCACTCTCCTCGGAGCTGTTTTCAGTAGGAGGAAGCTCGTGACAGCCTTTAAGGCACAGGAAATGTGGGGCATCCACATGGGATGTTGAGACGTTCCCATCCTAGACTCGGGGCAGCTTTCAGAGGAGCTGCTGCAATGTTTTACACGTGGAGATGTCTGAAAATGTTTTGTTTGAATAGACCTGATCAGGGAGGGGAGGAAAACTAACGGCATCAAGAAGTTTGCTCATTAACAAGACAAGATTCATGAGTTTGAACGTTTCTCTCTGCAGGGACATTCTGAAGCAGCCAAGCTGCAGACCTTCTGGTCCTGACGATGTTTCGCAAGAAAAAGAAGAAGAGGCCGGAGATATCAGCGCCCAAAAACTTTGAGCACCGCGTCCACACCTCGTTTGACGCCCAGCGCGGCTGCTTTGTGGGCCTGCCCACGCAATGGCAGAGCCTGATAGAAAACCTGCGCAGGCCAAAGCCCATGGTGGACCCCTCCAGGATCACAGAGGTGGAGCTGAGGCCAAAGAAGGTATCTAGATAGATATTCATCTTCAAACAGGAACAAATATTAGAGAAATATGGTTTGTTTGAAAAAGGAAGCAGCAGAGAGAGACTCTGATGCCAGTGTGGACTGACTGCCCCCTTTCTTCCTTATCTATCACAAAGCTGAGCTAATGACCCTGCTGTGTAGACTGGCTGAACAATGCCGGATTCTCATGGGAGCTACAAGATTTATTACTGCGTGCTGACAATTAATAAGAAAGTACATGGGGCCTTCTCACAGATGTCAAGCAAAAGGAATGAAAAGTGCAGGTACAGCAGAGGAAATGTCTGTGAGTGATTCAGCCTGAGAACCTCAGAATTTCTACTCTTCGTGAAGCGTACTGTTGATGCTCTTATGGTCCTCCAGAAAAATCAAGATCTCTGTGAAGTGGTGGCAAATAGAGAAGGGCAACACCAGAACATAAGTCAGACTTAGGGGTACACAAGACCTTCATAATGCAGAATACCTCAACCAAACAAGAGAATAAAAACCCGCACTAAAAACTATTAAATTAGATATTCTTTCAAAAACTCTCTTTATTCATCTGTGCATCCTGGCATGTGGGCCTCTACTGCATCTACAAACTCTGCAAACATAAAACAAATCCAACCACCCGTTTTCTGTCCGTTTGGTTTTAGGAGTCGTGCCTAAAATAAGCCATTTCAAAAAGTTCCCGTTTGTGACATCACAAACAGGGAAAGCAGAATGGATCCACTTCTCATGTGTAAGCTGCTGCTGAAGGACCACCGGCTCTACTTCGAGCCCCTCCCGGATATAAAAGCTTCTATAGCCATCTGAGTGAGGGATGGGTGGGTGTGGCCAGCTTCAGCTTGTTTTCTTAAAGTAACAGAGTCCTGAAACGGCTCATTCTGGAAGGTCCTGAAATTTTCAAGAATAAAACTGCCTAAATTGCTTTCTGTGAGAGGGTGTTTATGCAAAAAAAAACTACTATAACTTCAGAAAGAACGTCATAATATGTCTCCTTTAAACAAAACAATCAACAACATCATAACTATCTGTCACCCTCTCCACTCGCAGAGGTGCCACAGTGGGTGAGATGTCACCTGACCTCCACCTCCTCCACCATGAGGACTTAAGGAAGAGAAAGAAGAGAGGCTGTTGACTGACGGGAAGCTGAACATGACCCCGCTCTGACTAAAACTCCACCATGCACTCACTCTTAAGCTATTCTGGCAAAACATCTAAACTTTGTTTTATTCCAGGGCAAGAGAGGTCCTCTGTGTGCCTGCCAACTGTTCATACCATTTAAAAGGTCTAAAAAGCTGTCATGACATGAAAGCTCCTGCTTCTGTCTTTGCTTGGCACATTAGTCAGGGTATTGTTAGAATGAGCCACCGAGGAGGGGAATTAAAGACATTGTCTTAGAAAAATGACAAAATGTCCTTTTCACATTCGCATGTCTAAATTTAAATCGCCTCTGAGCTACGATTATGTCACTTTTATCATCTCCATCCGTCAGAAATCTCCTCATTTCATAATCATGTCATGCAGACTGTAATGAAGATGAACGCCTCTTCCCTTTCAGACTATCGTGCGTGGAAGCATGATCGGCCACGGGGAGTACATCTCAGCCATGATCAACGACATGAGCCGCCTTTCTGTGACCAGTTCCAACTCCTTGCGGAAGAGTAGTCCCTCAGCCAGGAAGAGAGCCCAGTCTCTGGGAAGACTGGGGGAGGTGAACGAAGGAGATGGTTACCAGTACGAGGGCCTGACGCAGGATGATGATGAGGATGATCAGGAGCACTGGAGGGACAAAACCAGGAACATTCACAGTGAGACTAACACTCCATACTTGGGAATGAAGAAGAGCATCACTCTGCAGCCCAATGGGATCTTGCCAAAGGCTAAATCAACATATGAGGTCGGAGTTAGCTCCATGGAGGGACCCTCGCGGCCTGCTCAGTCCCAGAACATCCCAGCTAGTCACGGGCCTTACATGAGCGGAGAGATGGGCAGTCCTCAAGAGAGACTAATATGGAAAAGAGACTTCCAGCTGCCTGGAGGAATGCCACCAAATCAGAGACACATAGCTTGTTTTTACAGCCCTGCTGTGGCTGTGCAGCAGCTCCACCGAGACCAAGGAACTATCACAACAGAGCTCCGACCCAACGCGCCACTGTACATGCACCCTCACAACAGCCCGGGAAGGCCCTTCTCCTCATACGACCTTAAAGTAAGCACCTCTACGCAGGAACGATGAATAATTCATGATGCATAATACATGCATGTTTCTAATGCTATGTGTGTCATTCTATTAGCACCCAGCATGTTGTGCTTGGATGTTGATTTATTTAATTCATGATTTTAGGGTGTTTAAGGAATCTTTAGGGTTCACAGAGATGCTTGGGTTGTGGAACCGTAATGAGGCAGCACACTTACTGGCCTTTGGCTAAAGGTGATTTAAGTTTCAGCTCTTTATTTGAGGCCAGTGTTAAGAAATGAAATGTGGGCTTAAGTGGACTTGTAAATGTTGAAAGAGGATGTGCATGCACATGGGACTCTTAGCAGCGTGAGTCGTGTCAGATGAAGTAGATGCAGAGAAAAAGAGAAGGACTTGATTTACGTTCAGTTTTTAAGTGGGCTGTGAACCCCAGGCACACGGCCAACCCCCTTTCAGCTCTCTCTCTCCTGTTATCATGCAGGCAGAGTCCGTGGTGAGATACCACTCCGGTTTCCTGCCGACCGGCACCAGCAGTCCTCTTGTTGGAGGAATTAGACCTCAGCGGATGGTGCGCTCCTCTGCAAGCTACACTCTGGGTCTGTCACCTAACATGGGGTTGAGGCCCGGTGGACCAGACCCTTTCCTCAGACATTCAGGATGCCCCAACCCTCCATATCCCCGACAGGACAGTCCCTCCCAACCTCGACCTTCTCCCACAGGCTCATTAGCAACCAGTCCTCCAGGCACCTGCTCCCCAGCCTTCAGACCGCCACAGCATCCTGCACCCAGACCACCTCCTGACCCTCCGAAGGTGACACACGAACAGTTTAAAGCAGCCCTGCAGATGGTGGTGGATAAGGGCGATCCACGGACTTACTTGGAGAACTTTGCCAAGATTGGAGAGGGGTCAACAGGGGTGGTGTGTATCGCCACAGAAAAGCACACTGGAAGGCAAGTGGCAGTGAAGATGATGGACCTGCGCCGGCAGCAGAGGAGAGAGTTGCTCTTTAATGAGGTACATCTAAGCTACACTCATAACCTTTTAGCCTTTTACTACTCAGACTGCATCCTTGGTGGCTTCACAAGAGAATTCCAAAGTCTGAAAATGACCTGAATGATGGTGTCATGTTGGTTTTTGTTTATGACTCATCCAAGAGCAGGTTCTCCCAAACTTGTCAGCATCCAGCCAACAAAATACCTGAGGCAGAGTCTGGTGATGTTCAACGACATCAACAAACATACTACTTCTCTTAAATCAAACACCCAAAAGGATTAGGTTCTCTCTCCGAGACATGCTAATGGCTAGCCTCTCTGATGCTAACGCCAGCCTATCCCTGCTAATGGTCCGTCGAGGAGGTAGGAAATTCAGCTAGTGGCATGCCTAGGCACACTAATGGCTAGCCTCTCCAACATTAACACTAGCCCATCCAGGCTAACGCTAGCCTGTCCATGCTAACAGACAGCAGAGGGAGTGTTTGAACCAGTCAATGACCAGCTGAGGGCTGCTAGTCCCTAGCGTATCTAGTAGTAACGCCGGTAAAGGTTCTATTCCTCAGTAAGCGGCACCAGCCTCTCAGTTACCGGCGCCAGCTTATCATTAATCAGATCAGTAGTTTGCTTCAGAATTTATATAGCCTCCTGCTGCTGGGCAGAGGTCTTCATTTTGGCCCCCGTACCACGCCATACTACTCAGAGCCCCTTCCTCATCCTTTCCCTGAGCTTCTCAGCTTATAGCAGTCTGAGAGGGAGATGGGTGGGCGTGACCAGCTCCATCTTGTTTTCTTAAAGCTACAGAACCCTGAACCACTCATTCTGGAAGGTACTAAAACTGTCAAGAACAAAACTACTGAAATAGCTTTATGTAAAAGAACTTCATAAACATGTTTTAGATCACAGAACTACTATAACTTAAGACAAAAGTCAAAATATGCCCCCTTTAAATAGTGCAAACTTTAATCCACAAACAAAAAATGTGGACAAAATGTCTAAATTCATAACTCTAACGTGAATATTTTGTTCCACAGGTGGTCATCATGAGGGACTATCAGCACAAGAATGTGGTGGAGATGTTCAAGTCTGCCCTGGTTGAAGAAGAATTGTGGGTAATCATGGAGTACCTGCAGGGTGGAGCACTAACCAACATCGTGTCTGAAACCAGGTACTTAGCAGGAGCATGAAAGTGTCTCACGTCATCATTTTATACAAAGAATATTCCCTCTCAGATATCATTACAGTTTTAATACGTGACCACAAGGGGGCAGCATGCTACCAACTGAAGAGAGACCAGTGTGGAATGTCATTGAGTCTTCTGCAGTCAGTGTCTGCTGGTTTTCTCTGAAAATGTAGGATTGTGTACACAATGCATTAAACCTCTATTATATTAAATGTCAGATTTTGGTTTAAACGGGATATTTTAATACTGTAATAATGTGATTCATACATCAAATATGAAGACTTATTGGCCAGGAGTTGTCTATTTAATTCATTATTAACATTTGACTATTTCCATTTTTATTTTAAAAATACCCTGGGGTTAATTTTATTACCTCTGAGGGATAAACACTTCTTTCAAGCCTCAAGAATGAGCCAGCTGTCACAATAAAAGCCAGAACAGTCACAATGTTGACAGAAAAATGTTATCTCTTTGGTTTTTCTGACACAAGCGATCCAAATCTTTGTCTATTAAAGAACATCTTCGTGTCTTCTTTTTAAAACACATTTTTTGCCGTTTCAAAACAACTCTGTCTTCTTCTGCATGTTTGTTGGTGAATTATCGGAGGCACATTAACAGCGTGGAGACGAGCGTCACTCCGCTGTGTGGGAGTTGTTCTGAACTTTGCTCTCTTTATCGTTGCCTTTAATGTGCAGTGATTCATGATTTTTTTCCCCAGCTTTTGGAGCTGTTGTAACTGGTAATGGAAAGGTGTCAAATGTTCATGTAAAGTGTGTGTGTGTGTGTTTCTGCAGGCTGACTGAGGAGCAGATTGCCACAGTGTGTGAAGCTGTTCTGCAAGCCCTGGCCTATCTCCATTCACAGGGAGTCATTCACAGAGACATCAAGAGTGACTCCATACTACTCACTTTAGACGGAAGAGTACGACACGTCATCATTACTTCCGTTTTGGCTCATCTTGTTGGCACGTTAGTTACTTTGTGGTTTTCTTTCTAGGTGAAGCTTTCAGACTTTGGCTTCTGTGCCCAGATCAGTAAGGACATCCCCAAGAGGAAGTCTCTGGTAGGGACGCCCTACTGGATGGCTCCTGAGGTCATTTCCAAGTCACCATATGGCACCGAGGTGAGGAGGCACCCTGACGATCCCAGAAGCATCCAGGGATTCCTCAGCATGTGACTGGAATCTGGCACTGCAATAGAAAATATCTTAAAAGACTCAAAAGAGTCTGGAAATTTTCAAAATGAAAGTCAGAGGATGCTTAAGCAGCTCCAGGAGCTGCTGCAAACAAAATAATGAATATGCCATATAACATTTAACACTTAAATCTCCACACAGACAAATGAGCAATATAAAGTTTTCATTTTGTATTTATAATTGTTAAAATTTATTAAAAGTTAAGACGAAGAAATGTGTCTTCCATTGTAGTTTGATGCAATGGGATATGGCTTAGTGGTAGATTAAACTGGTGACTAATTAAGGTCCAGACTGACATTCTGTGTGAGTTAATGCATTGTTTTTATTTAGTTGTGTAAAATAATCCATCAAGACCGAAGCTGGTAGGTTAAAACTTTGCAGGAATCGGTAAAGAATCAGCATTACCGTTCTTTCTTTTGTGCACCAGGTTGATGTGTGGTCAATGGGCATCATGGTGGTGGAGATGGTGGACGGGGAGCCCCCGTACTTCAGTGAAATGCCTGTAGCAGCAATGAAGAGGCTGAGGGACGAGCCGGCTCCGACGGTTCGAAGTGTCAGCCAGGTGCCGACACGTTCAAATGATTCCTTCTCAGCCAATTCAGTCAAACTAATCTGTGGCTCCCCTCTTATCCAGATATCTCCTGTTCTCAAAGACTTCCTGGATCGAATGCTGACTCGGGATCCCTTGGAGCGGGCCAGCGCCACTGACTTACTGGAGCACCCCTTCCTGCTGCAGACTGGCTCACCTCAGTGCCTGGTCCCGCTGGTGGAACAGTACCGAAAACGCATGTCCCGCTGCTGACCCACTGGGGCTCACGGGCCCAGACTTCAGCCTGCCTATCTCAGGCCTCCAGGGAGGACAGCACTGGGTTCCAGCTCTCCCATACGACCCAGGCAACTGGGCCATCAGCTCAGAGACGCAGACCCAGGCGGCATTCTGCCAATGTCACGGTGGCAAGTTCGGTTGACAGAAATGATGTCATGGTCTTGGCGATGCAAGAAGCACTTTAGGAGTGAGTTAAAGGCAGCATGCAAGCGCTCGCCTCTCAGCTCGGTTTGATCAGATGAATAATTGGCTTCCTTTGACCTTCAGTGAGAATCAACGTCTGCACAACATGGTGGCATCACTCTTCCAAACCTACTCTAAACATCCTTTACAGTGTTCCCAGTGGGCATTATTGCTAGCTAAAACACAGTAGCTCATTGTGACAGAATAAAATTACCTCTACACACTCCGTTGTGGAAATTGGACTCGTTTACACTCTTTTTGCATGGTCAAATGGAGGCACACCTGGCCTGATGTGAATGCTTGAATACGTTACTGGGATGTGAGAGACAATTCCTCTTCATTAGCATAATAATTGGGTGATAAAAGCCCAGCTGCTATGGGGTACTGGGGGAAATCGCCAGTACCAGGATCCTCTTTTTGGTGGTTATTCTTTATTTCTAAAAGGTGTTGTGAGTTGTTTGTATGATGTGAAGTTCCAAATAGAGTTTCAGGATTATAGGCAGATAAAATAATAATGTAAATAGTGAACATTAGGTTCTTAAACCCGCTACAGTAAAACGTACTTACTGACAAGCGAGTGTACAGCTGTGTGTGTGAGGATGCAGGTGTGTGTCAGACGGCGTGTCCGACACGGTCTTCCTTGCATTGTGATGGATTTTAAAAAGAAATCACAAGACGTGTGCATTGCTCCAGAAGATGATGTGTGTGACTGTATTATTTGCATTTGTTTGCCTAGATAAAGCACACAGGCCTGGCATGCAACGCTGCAGGGTGCAACGCCTGCAGGCAAACACTTTGCACACGGCCTCTGATGTATTTCTATTCCTGTGTGGATTATTCACAAAAAAAGAGAATGACGTGTTTTAATTTTGTACAAATCAATAAATGAGTAACTCCTTTCCAAATCCGGACATGCTCACACAAACCCAAGTGAGGTCAAAAGGTGTTTTTTTGTGTTTATTAGGAGTTCAGCAGCACAGTCACTGATGACTAAACACAGTTTCTTGAAATGACAGAAGCACTGATGCAGACATTTAGTATGACAAATATTAAAAATGACGTTTCAGTAGCTCAAAAACATATCTGGTATTAAATAGATCGTTTCAAATGCACAGTAACCAAATTCACTTTGTTTTAAAATCACTTCTATATACACACATCGCAAAAACAGCAACAAAAGCAAATGAGGATAATTTCTCAGCAGGTCAGAAATCAAAGCCCATTTAGTATCGGAATGAATAAATAATTAAAAGAACACATCCAGCCATTGTGTTGTTGGACTCCGTCCTTTCTAGTCAAAGGCAGACTGAGACGAGTAGCTTTCAAACTCGCACCTCACAGCACTGATGCTGTCAACACTCTGCTGACCGTTGACCTGATGGTGTGTGTGTGAAAAGGGGAAGGTTTCGGAGCGGGACATCCGACCTCTTCCGTTTGATGAGCCAGAGGAACAGTCGATCACCATCTTCATGAACTCCGGAGCAGTGAATCGGCGCAGCAGTCGGGTCCCGAGGCCCACGAGTCCGGGGGCGCGGCTCGGGAGCTTCTCTGACTCCATCTCTCCTCTGGCGAAAAGTAGCTTGTTGTGTCTGGAAGTTGAGCCGAGGCTCTTCTGGGACTCTTTTCGGCTCGACGGAGCCGTGTCATTAGCCTCTTCCTTCTGTGATGTGACATTCTCCTGGAGCGCTTTCACCGACTGCCCCTTGCTGTTTAAAAGAGGTTTTGGCACTGAGACAATTTTGTTGCCATCATTCGTCAGCCCCCAGGCGCTCCCTTGGCATTCCATCTTGTCTATCAGGCATCGCTCATCCTGTAGCGAGGCTCTCTTTAATTTGCTGGCCGACAGGTTCGTGTCACGCACGTCACCCTGATAGGACTGCTTTCTGCTGCTCACGAGGTCCAGGTTAAATGACTTTGCCTTTCCCCAGAGGGGGAACCTCTCTGGTGTTTGGCCTGGAAGTCGAGTATCTCGACTGACCTCCTTCTGGCTCGGCTCAGGTAATGAGTTCGTTATTTTCGACCCCTTCAGCTCTCGAAGATGGCAGTTTTGCAGTTGTTTGGCCGTGAAGACAACACTATGATCCTCTTCATTCTGTTTTTTCTCAATCTGGGGAGGGAGAGCCCAGCTGTGGCGGTGGTTATCCTCTTGAGACTGGCTTCTGGGACACCTGAAGTGGTTCCATGTTCCACTGCTGTCGCCTGGTTTCATCTGCCCCTGAAATACAGCTGGAAGTTGTTCTTCATTAGCTGGCTGCTTGGAAAACCTCTCCAGAACATGCCTGGGGAGCCTATTGGGCAGACGGCTCTCCCCTTCTGCAACAAGAAGAGGATCCTCTTTACCAGCAACCCTCCTGCAAGGAAAGTTCAGAATCTGGACACAGTGGTGGTGCCCAAAGAAGTTGGCGATCTCTATAGCCGAGTGACCGGCGTTATTGGTCCGGTCCAGTCTCAGTCCGAGTCTTTTGAAAGCTCTCACCAGGAACTCCAGAACCTGGCTGTGTCCAGAAAAGGCAGCGTACATGAGAGCGCTGTTACCCCAGGCGTCAGAGAAGTCTGGGTCAGCGTTGAACTGAACAAGAAGTTTGACCACATCCACGTGACCCAACTCACAGGCGTGGCTCAGGGCGGTGCGGCCGTCCTCATCCTGGCAATTGACATTTGCCCCTTTCTCGAGCAGCAGCCGGGTGAACTTGATTCTGGCCCCAGAGTCTTGGAGGCTGACGGCGTACATGAGCGGGGTGCGGCTGTTTTCTGTCTTTGAGTTGATGATGCGTCCGTCCAAGGCGTCCAGGATGAAGCGCGCAAGGTGGACCTTACCATCATGCATCGCGTCCAGGAAGGTCCTGGTGCCAGAGCCCTGGCGCAGGTCTTTCGGCCGCATCATTTTCAACACCCCCTTGTGGATCTGATCCGACAAATAGGGAGAGGGAGAAGTTGAGCGAGGCTCTCTGTGATGACAGCGAGCACGTTAACCACAGAGTAAGACTCAGAGAGGAGCTGCTTGTGTTTTTATACCTCACTCTCCACATGCCCTCCCCACGTTGCCACGGAAACAAACGTCTGAGGACCATTATGCAGCAGCAGCATCCATTCAGCCCGAGCACTCTCTGCCTGGAGAGAAATATATGCTATTTGAACGGAAAAATGACTCAAGGAGAAAAACATGGTCAGTGCTTTTTGTGTCACAGCTGCACAATTTCATTTTAGTCTGAAGCAAATAACTCCAAAGCTATCATGTTGTTTATGGAACAGTAAAATGTAAAACTGATAGTTTTCCAATGTTCATGAACGTAGGAGTTTAAATCATGCTGCTTTCTTGTTTCCCAAGGTTCCATAAAACATCACTGCCTGAAGGTTGTTTTGTCAGCGGAAAGAGTGAAGCCAATCAAAAGGCAGTGAAAGCAGAATCAGATCTGCTCCTCTTGAACTTGTTTAGTTCCTTCAAACTCTAAAGACATATCTGCAATCTAGCACCTTCTAAAGAAAAATCGGTGACAGGTAGCTCCTCTGGTTCTCGCTTTGTTTCAGTTAATCGACGCGTTTGCTCAACACGAGAGACAAGGAGCCCCTAAACATCTGTTCCTCCATCAAAAATGACCAAAAAGTCCTTTTTAATGGTGATCATAAACCTCAGCAGGCTGAAAATGGAGTGGAGCAGTGAAGGAGACACCTGGATGCCATCTAGCTCGATGTTAATCACCTGGCTCCATCAAACCCTCAGCGGGTCTTTTGTGTGGCGCTGCAAGCCACGTGTTAATTCAAACATGGCTGCAGCTTTGTCCACAGATGCTTCCTTCTGCTGCCTTTATCTGTCAGCGAAGACAGATGGGAATAAATGGTTACAGATTATGGAGCTAGGATTGGGACAATATTCAACGTAACTTGTACCAAGTTTTGTAACTTGGAACATGTTTTATGACATGTAACTTTAGTTTTCTAACTTGCAATTCTCAATTTGTACATGTACTTCTTGTTTTGTAAAATCAAACTTTTATTTTGTACATTTACTACTCATTTTGTAACATCAAAAATTTATTCAGAAACATGAAACTTTCGGTTTTTAACTAGCAGACTTCCAAAATAAAAAAAAATCAATGTAAATGTTTGAAATCAAAACTCTCAAAACACACATTTCATTTTACAGGTACAAACCTCAAAACTACAGTGTTACAAATAATTTTGTCTCAGTTCTAGCGTTGGTGGGAGGAACTTGGGTGGAACCAATGAGAGCACGAGTCTTAGCTACCAATCACGTTTCTCGAATTCCTGTCCAATCATTGGGAGAGGAGGGCAGGGTTCTGTCAGAGCTGTAGAGAGAGTTACGACACTCCAATATACTCCTTTGGAAAGAATGGAATGCGGAAGTCATGTGGTTCATGTAGCTTCGAATAGTTCCAAACAGCCCCCGCTGCTGCATTGACCGTAGTTCATTTTCGGTGTTTAGGAAGGATTTTCTCCAGTAAGTTGATGAAATGTCATCATTTTGTTACATTGTGAAGCGTTAGCTAATCGCTTTGTTAGGAATCCAAAGTTACATGTCATGAAACATGTTCCAAGTTACAAAACTTGGTACAAGTTACATTGAATATTGTCCCAATCCTATAGGATCCTATAGCTCCTTAAAAGATCCTTAATATTTGCACCTAATTTCGTGATCATTGATGCAAACGCTGTGCAATATGAAATCAGAGTCCACAGGTGCAAGTTTCAACAAAATGTCACGGCAATCAATGCAAATTGCTAACAGTTTTAGCTTCACTGGCAGACCAGCAGTGCCCTTTGTAGAGCTAAACTTAGAACACAGGAAATTATCCTCGTGTGTCCACGCAACATCACCCCAGTCCCAAATGGTTAAAAATACAGTGTCACTTCTGTAAAACTGCAGGATTTCCTTGTTAGCGAGATGTACGACCTGCATGAAAATCAGCTCCTCTTCAGTATTCAGCCTGACTGTTCAGGCCAACAGGGCCACAAAGTTCAAACAGCTCTAAGAAGAAGGTTTGCAAAATAAGTTCCTTTTCTGAACAGCTTATTCCTAGCTTTGTGGCCTTGGATTTAATCACACACCTTGTTCACTCAATTAAGTCTCATATTGGCCCAGAATGTTTAAAAAACTGTGCCCAAAAAAACCTCTGCACACATTTAAAACCAGCCAGATCGGTTCAGAGGCCTCAAAAGTAACACTCGCTATAGCGTTACAAGAAGTACCAATTCCAACTTTTTACTCAAATAAAAGTAAAAAAGTAGTGCTCTCAAAACAACTCAAGGCACAAAACTAAAAGTAACGTAAGGTCCTTGAATTTAAAACCACATTTATATTTTTGCTGATTATAAGCAGCTAGGGGGTGTCTAATGCAGCAGATCAAACAATTACAGGTGCTGGCCAGTAAATTAGAATATCATCAAAAGGTTGAAAATATTTCAGTAATTCCATTCAAAACGTGAAACTTGTACATTATATTCATGCAATGCACACAGACCAATGTATTTCCGATGTTTATTACATTTAAATTTGATATTTATAGGTGACAACCAATGAAAACATCAAATCTGGTATCTCAGAAAATTAGAATATTCTAAAGGCCAATGAAAAAATGTTTGTTTCTCTAATGTTGGCCAACTGAAAAGAATGAACATGAAAAGAATGTGCATGTATAGCACTCAATACTTAGTCGGGGCTCCTTTTGCCTCAATAACTGCAGTAATGCGGCGTGGCATGGACTCGATCAGTCTGTGGCACTGCTCAGGTGTTATGAGAGCCCAAGCTGCTCTGATAGTCGTCTTCAGCTCCTCTGCATTGTTGGGTCTAGCGTATTGCATCCTCCGCTTCACAATACCCCATAGATTTTCTATGGGGTTAAGGTCAGGCGAGTTTGCTGGCCAATCAAGGACAGGGATACCATGGTCCTTGAACCAGGTGCTGGTGGTTTTGGCACTGTGTGCAGGTGCCAAGTCCTGTTGAAAGGTGAAGTCTGCATCCCCATAAAGTTGGTCAGCAGCAGGAAGCATGAAGTGCTCTAAAACTTCCTGGTAGACGGCTGCATTGACCCTGGACCTCAGGAAACAGAGTGGGCCAACACCGGCAGATGACATGGCACCCCACACCATCACTGACGGTGGAAACTTTACACTGGACCTCATGCAACGTGGATTCTGTGCTTCTCCGCTCTTCCTCCAGACTCTGGGTCCTTGATTTCCAAAGGAAATGCAGAACTTGCTTTCATCAGAAAACATAACTTTGGACCACTCAGCATCAGTCCAGTCCTTTTTGTCCTTGGCCCAGGCGAGACGTTTCTTGCGCTGTTTCTTGTTCAAGAGTGGCTTGACACACGGAATGCGACACCTGAATCCCATGTCTTTCATGAGTCTCCTCGTGGTGGTTCTTGAAGCGCTGACTCCAGCTGCAGTCCACTCTTTGTGGATCTCCCCCACATTTTTGAATGGGTTTGTCGTCACAATTCTCTGCAGGGTGCGGTTATCCCTAGAGCTTGTACACTTTTTTCTACCACATTTTTTCCGTCCCTTCGCCTGTCTGTTAATGTGCTTGGACACAGAGCTCTGCGAACAGCCAGCTTCTTTAGCAATCACCTTTTGTGTCTTGCCCTCCTTGTGCAAGGTGTCAATGATTGTCTTTTGGACAGCTGTTAAGTCAGAAGTCTTCCCCATGATTGTGGTGCCTTCAAAACAAGACTGAGGGACCTTTTAAAGGCCTTTGCAGGTGTTTTGAGTAAATCAGCTGATTAGAGTGGCAGCAGGTGTCTTCTATATTCAGCCTTTTCAGAATATTCTAATTTTTTGAGATACCAAATGTGGAGTTTTCATTAGTTGTCACTTATGAATATCAAATTTAAATGTAATGAACATTGGAAATACATTGGTCTGTGTGCATTGCATGAATATAATGTACATGTTTCACGTTTTGAATGGAATTACTGAAATATTTTCAACCTTTTGATGATATTCTAATTTACTGGCCAGCACCTGTAGTGCCATCTCTGACCTGATTTCTTGTGCTTTAGTGATGTTGTAATGGCCCCTGAAAAATAGTTTCTTCTGAGAAAATCTGGTTAACACGTCACAAGTTTAGACACTTTGCATGTCCCAACCTCTGGTGGACCAGCATACGATACTGGTTTAGTATCCAGTCACCAGCATGGGATGCTGCTTCACCAGCTAAACCAGCACAATGCTGGTCTATGCTGGGTTTTCCAGCAGGGCTTTGAAGTTTATGTCAGAATTTCTCCATCAAATTTAGCCTTTTGTAACCTTTTATGGTTTGCTTTGCTTTCATTTCTGTGCATTATTTAAATTTAAGAACAAATATTGAGCTAGTTTTATACAATGCTGACCTTTCATGATTCCATTCAGGGGACTAAAAGAATCTGGATTTACCCCTTCTGGTTTTTCAATAAAGGCGTCATTAATAAACATGAGTTGTAATGTGAAATATCATCAGAAGGGCTTTCTGATGCCTTGAATAGAACCTGGTTTGAAGTTGGAGATAAAAACGAGTGGGCTTGATGTCTTTTTGTCTCAAGTTTGACAAGTGAAACACTTTCCTTCTGCCAATCTGAACCACTCAACGAATTACATATTTTTAAGCCCACGGATCCCAAAAAAAAGTCATGGCGTTACTGATTTTCTTTTCTTCTTGAGCTCAGAAAAGATGTTTTCACTGGTTCACTAAGCTTTAGTGACACTGAACTTTGGCGCACTCACTTCTTTTGGAAGATCTGTCGTAAGATTGCCTCTGCACTCAAATCCAAGACTTTCTTGAAGAATGCATTCAGATAACGACTTTTGGAGTAAGGACGAAACTCATTTACATCCAAGAGTATCTCTTGGATGTAAATTTGAAGAAATTAAAATATCTAATACTAGATTGAATGTTTCTGATGCGATCAAAATGACGGAATTAGAAATGTGTTTTTGGTATATTTGCATATAAATGTGCTTTAAAACTCCACAATTTGATCAAAGTTGCTACTGCACATAAACACACACACGTTTGACAAATTTCCACTGTAAATGGATCCTTTTAACTTGTGTTTGATCACATTCCTTAACCCTACAGGGATGATGTAAAAACTTCACCACATACACAGAATATAAAAATCTGAACTGAAATGAATGAAATGTGGATGAAATATTCTGAATGAGGATGACTTGGGACCATGAGACTTCCTAATTGCTCAGACTTATGCAATAAAGCAGAAAACGCCGTGGTAAATACCCCATCTCCCATTCGCTGCGGGCCCGGCTCAGGCCTGAGCCCACTTTGAATCTCTGATCAGAAATTAAAGCCCGTGTCAAGTTAAGGTGTTATCCACAGCTCTAAATATCTTAATTAGCCACCGGTGAGAATGCTCTCCTGATGCTGCATAAATCAACAAAAGTCAGTGTCAAAATACCTGCAAATGGAAACAAAACGCTCGGTAATGCAGCGAACACTGAGGGATTAACTCAGTGCACCGGTTCATTTGAGAGCAAATCCAACGATCTCTTTCATAGAAACTGTTTTCTTAACAGTGACAAAACACGCCCTCAATCTCCAGGGTCTCCTTTATGTTCTGCACGCTAATTTACCTCGCCTGATAATGATGTGGCACAGGCCATCACAAGGACTGAGACAAACAGGTTGTAACTTGAAGCACACTTTTCCTTTTCCACTCCCTTTGCAAATTTGTTTTGAGGAAAATACTCAAAGCTAGGGCACAGTTAGTAGAAGGAACTTCTCAGAACTGGTTAGCTCTCTAATAGGTTTGTTTTCAGAGTCGCGGCAAAACTCCGACAAAGTTACATAAGTCAGCTATAGCTCAGTTGTTTGAGCAGGCGGGGATCTTCTGCAGGGACAACAGCAGTGAAATGATGTATTCAAGCAGAACAATCGCGTGTCTCAGTTCCCTTTAATGCCCTTTTGAGTTGATACAAGGACACAGCAGTCTCGGGTGAATTGAGATTTCACACGCTTTCTGTTCCAGGAAGGAGGCAGCAGCTGGCCGGCTGTCACCGTGTAGCCATGGAGTGTGTATTATCACCGAGGTTGAGCCGAGGTCATGGCTGCTCCGCAGCAGAGAACAAAAATCTTGTTTAATTCAAGAAAATCTTTTAACGTTGACACAATCAAAGCCCTTCAGATGTAATTAAACGTTAATTGCAAACAGAATTAAAGGTTTTGTTGCTATATTTTGTGTTTCAGCTGTTATTTCAGGGTTAAGCTGAAGGAGCTGACAAGTGGCAATCTGCATGGCCCCTGATATGTGATTGGTCATGAGGCAGGCCCGCTCTCATTAATTATTGCCATGAATCATTCTCTCATCTGCCTCAACCAGATGCTAAACACTAGGCTGCTCTTTCAGCCTTTCGGTTTAGAGGAGTTTAATTTCAGCTCTTAAACTGAGACATTTGGGACAACCGTAGATTAACTCCTGCACGGCATTTTCTTCTTCAGCTGTAGATGGGGAGGGAATGCTGACCTGCAGGGGTGTGTCAGTATGTTTTGTACGTTCGCTCTGTGCAGTCCTCCCACTGACACAGCGTAGTGAAACACACTAAACAGGGGTCCTACAAGGGGCAGCGGTGGAAAGAGGAGTTAGGAACAGAAACCTTGCTTCTGTCAGTCCACCCCAGGGCAGCTGTGGCTACAATGCCACCAGTAGATGAATGTGTGTGTTTGTGGGTGAATGACTGGTTTTGTTGTAAAGTGCCTTGGGGGGTGGGGGTGGGGTGGGGGGGGGGGGGTGACAGGACCCTAGAAATACGTCAAGAGAGAAAGAAAAGAAAATCTAAAAAATGTAAACTTGTTCAACCGTTTATCAGCAAGTGGCAGCATCACTCGTGCACACAGATCTGAACACAGATGCATCCCCTCAAAGCTGCTCTGGCTGCAGTTCTGACTGCTGCGTGAGGACTGGGCTGCCTGTGAGTGCTTTGGGATGAGGAAGTAGAACACGGCAGCAACTGCTGTTTGTTAAAAAGACAAAAGCTGCAATTGCTCAGCCGGTGTAAAATTTAAGGACTTTGATTAAGACGTCAACATACGTGACAGTTTCAGCAGTGAGCGATGTCACTGAGGCGACATTAATTTTTTAATCCATCAAAGTACGCTGTAATTTAATCCATTTGGGACACGAGGAGACATGAGTAAAAAGCTGCGTTCAATGGCCTGAAGAAGCGTCGTTGATCACAGTGCTCAGAAGAAGCATCCCAAATTTCAGCTTCATGGGGTGATTTTTTTTTTCCACTGAGTTGAAACCTATCAGCATGAGTTCACCAAAAGTCCCACCCAGCGACTCTACCAGGACATTTCTGAGTACATAACCCAATACAGGAATGTAGTTTTTCCTGAAATGTCCGCTAAAATGGAGACACTCGCATGCCGTAAAGGTCCAGTAAAATTACCCGGAAATTCCAGAAGTGAAAACAGGCCTAAAATTTTCAATAAAAGCGGAAAAAGCCACTAGAGTCTGATTGTTCACTAAATATAGAGGCGGGCCATTTTCAGTCACTAATCATGAGCTTTTAGACTCCAGCTCAATGAAACACAACATGGCGGCACTTGACAAGAAGATATTTTGAGATCACTAACCATCTTTACATATGGTGTTGAATCAAAACCTCTGATATTTTCCACTTAAGGGCCTGTGAGCGTCCGTGGTTCTGAAACTGTTCAGGAAATCTGCTTGTTTTTGGGTTGAACTCAGTCACATCTAATCATGTGGCTAACAGAGAAGCCACACTACTAACAGGGACACCAGCTTTTGTCATTTACAGATAATTTAGGAGTTCTTGGAATGGAGAGTTAAGCTAATGCAAAAATCATTGAAGCCAGTGGCCCCAACTTTAGGACGAGTCTCAGGAACCGTCTGCCCGCAAGCCCCTGCTGTGAAAAGAAGCGCAGCATCAAAACGAACGTGAATCCCAGTAACACAACTCAGCCTGTGTCTAGAACACTTTTCTGTCCTGTCTCACCTCAGTACTGTTTCACAGCCACCTGTAGCTCCCCCTAATCTATCAGAACTGATGGAAATTTCTCTCCCGCAGTGATGAGGAAGAGATGTAGCGCCACAGAGCTCCCTCTCCGTCTCCCGCCCGACAGGTGCCATTTGTGACCTCGCGGGGCCCGCTCACATCTGACAGCTCAATAAATTGTACAAATGGACAACAAATGTATTTGTTTGATGTGCAACACTGAGCTGCACCTGGAGTAAATGTCCGCCACGCTGTCACATCAAACAACAGCTTTGGCTATTTCAAAGGAAGAAAGGAGAAACGAGCACCTGGAGGTCTTCACATCAAGCGCAGATTTCATTTTTCCGGAGGTCGCAAACATGGACACCGTTTATTTATTAATCTTTTCTCCATAACTTTATCTATTTCTGGTCTTTGAGTGGAAAAGAAACCAAATCCTTTAGCAACGTTGTCTCATTTGTGCATCTTGGACTTCACCTCCAAACACAAACACCCTCCGCTGCACAGGGGACTTCACTACTTTTTGAATGACCTAATGGCCCCTGAGGCCATATCTGTTCCCTCTCCCACGTGCTCGGCCACTCACATTGGTCGGCGTTCGGCGAAAAGTGTCTCTGATTCTTTCTTTTCAAACCACACATTAAATTCGCCCTGAATATGGCTGTTATTCCTCCGATAAGAGGCACTTGGTGACTCAGCCGCCTTGAGTGCTTTAACATAAAATGCATGCCGTTTTGACACTGTGGGTGTCGATATGCGGCTCACAGCTGACTGAGTCCTCTGTGAGTTGCAAATGACATAGAATAATTAATTAATTAGCTTAAATGTCTGGGAATAAAGTAAAATTAAGTTTTGTTTCTTTTCAATTAGGAGGAAATATACTTTCTCAAGTTTCCATGTCATTTTCCAGGAGATAAAATAATATTTAGATGTTTTTTTTTTACATTTTTTTTTATTAGTAGAAGAAAAGGCTAACACCACTGTCTGCATGACTGAAGACCAGCTTTTCTTTCAATGGTTTGGCTATTTAAAAAAGGCCATTTGAATTTAATTTGATCGGAGTGCTTTTATTTTTCTTTACTTTAGAACAACCTCACTCAGCTGATTGGATGAGTGTGTTTTCATTCCCTTTTCTTAAAACTAATAATATATATGATGATAGTTCTCAAGTGAACCCTACTGGGTCATCTCCACTTGGTTTCTGTGCTAAACAGTTGGTTTTCCTGGAATATGGCTTTCATTTTGTTGCTTTGATTTTTAGATCAAACATCAAATGTTTGTTAAAAACGACTGAAATGATTTACAAGAGGAGATTCTGGTGTTTTGCCAACGCAGAACTGAAAATTAATTTGTGAAATTTAACATTTTATGACATAAGTTTTTATGCTGAAAATACCAAAAATACTAAAAAGAAATTTTTTCTAGTGAAATGATTCTCTGCTGGCAACATGCCAGAGTGAGCTGCAGCTGCACTAGAAAATAAAAAGTCTGCAAGCATAATCAAACATCAGAACATAATCAAGCAGCAAAAATCTTTGCAAAAGTTCACTTGAAACAAACACAAAAATTTCACTACCCTTGTTTCTCCTGCAACCACTAAACAGAATTAAGTGTTTAATTTTCATATAAATTTGAATGTTGAGAAATCTTGACATTAAGAAACAATTACATGCTAACATATGCTAAGCTAATGGCTTCTTGCTGGAATACTAACGTGTTTAATGTGAAATGAATTGTGGTGTAAAATTTATAAATAATGTTTACATGCTATATTAGAGATCAGTGTGATCTCACCTGTGGGCTTAGCACAGGGGTGGCCAATCCTGGTCCTGGAGGACCGGTATCCAGCAAGGTTTAGTGGTTTCTCTGTGCAGCAGCTCTTCAAGATCTGCAGGAGCCTGTTAATCACCTGCTGATGGAAATCAGATGTGTTGAAGCAGGGTCAAAGTGATGCTGGATATCTATGGGATTAGATTTGTGCCAATAGGATCAAGAAAAACACTTTGACAATCAAACAAAAATTAAGTCATTGAGAGAAGAAGTAATCGTTTAAAAAAACTTATGATCTGAATCAGCTTCTTAAAATTATCAAGAAAAACATTTTGATGATCAAACAAAATTTAAGAAATTGACAGAACAAAAATATTGACTAAAGAAAAAAATTAGTTTCAAAAGTAAAACTTACTATTTGAATCAACTTCTTAAATTGAGTAATAAAGTATGTTTCCTTTTTTGTTTTCCTCGTATGTATTTTTGTTATCAAATTCCTTAATTTCATTCTTGCTGCTCAGAGCTTTGCTCTCACTACCAGATTTGCAGTGACACTTCCTGGCTTTCTCCTTTGCAATCCCCGAGTTTTTGGTTGCAGTTCTAACACAGCCCTTTCGGGTGGGTGGGACTTCTGAGAAGTCCTCTCCCATAGGACAGTGGTTTCTCTTGAGTGACAGTTCAGTGACCCGGAAGTGATGTAGCCTCCAAGACTTTTTTTTTCCCACCTCGGTCCACAACATGAATTTTGAGCCCCAGACACGTTATTTCTGCTGTCTGTGGTGTCTACTGAGGATCTAAAGTGAGTATTGATAATATGTTTTATATTTTCTCAGGCGCACTTAGTTAATCTGTAAGTTAAGCCACTTTTTAAGTTGGTTTTAGAACATCAGAGACTTTGCAGCTACTGGAGCCAACCTGTGTACAGCTAACTTGCTACAGAAGAAGCAGCAGGGAGCAGAGCTAACAGGCTGTCAAGGGGTGCTGTTTGCAGGTAAATACTCAAGTAGAACTGCAAGATTCATTCCACTTCGGTCAACGACATGAATTTTGAGCCCCAAGCATGTTATTTCTGCTGTCTGTAGTGTCTACTGAGGATCTAAAGTTTCCATTTCTTAATTTTTGTTTGATCATTAAAGTGTTTTTCTTGATCATTTTAAGAAGCTGATTCAGATCATGTTTTATTTTTTAAACAATTTTTTTTTCTTCAATGTCTTAATATTTGTCTGATCTTCAAAGTGTTTTTCTTGATCCTATTGGCACAAATCTAATCCCATAGCTATCGGCCCTCCGCGACCTGGATTGGGCACCCATGGTTTGGCGTGATGTACAGGTGAAACTTGAAAATTTAGAATATGGTGCAAACGTTTATTTCAGTAACTCATCTTAGACTGCCTTAATGCTGCAGCTTCAGTTCTGGAGTGTTCACTTTTCCCTGGTTGTATTCAGAGCCGGATTAAATAAATGGACTACACTAGGCAGGCTGCATTTTTAGGGCCCCCCCTCCATCGATGTTATGTAATGAATTGAAATCTGAAACTTACAAAATTTACTTATAAAAGTTCATTCACATTTTACATAGCCTAGTTTTTGGTTACAAATTGGTTGTTTGTATGCCAAAATAAGTCATGTGTTGTAGGCTGTTGCCTCTGCTGAATCAGAAATTCTGTCAATTTTCTGAGTGTGAACTTATTGTTTTGCTATTTGAACATTAATAAAATTATTTGACAAATAATTAATAAAACCAGCAACACTTACCAAGGAAACCATTTAGCATTCTCTACTCCGGGATAATCTTCAGCCTTCCAGCATCACAGGGCCTCAATCACAGCAGAAACACGTCTAAAGAAATGTTCCTTGGTTAAGCTTCAGTCTATGTCTCCAGATTTCCTCTGTGATGCAGAAGAATATCCAATATTTTGAGAGGGATAGTTTAGTGCAAAGTACTCATCAGTTTGGTACCACTTTGCAGGATAAGATGGGTAGCTAGTTGTTAATACCCTGTCTGGGTCTAGAGGCTCCTGTAAGACTATATTGGGCTCACTTCTGGCTGGCTGCTGTTCTTCCAGTTTGTCCTTCTGTGAAGGCGCTGATGTTGACGGCGTTGGCGCTACATCGTCTTCCGCCACATCTTCCACCGCGTCTTCGGGTTGTGTCTCCTCCGGGTCTGACTTGGGCCCGGCCTCTGGCTCTGCTGACTCGAGCATGTTCACAGCTGTCAGATGGCTGCCCGAGCAGCCCGACAGAAACTTCTGTAAAGCCCCCCGCTGTCTCTTCTTTAGTTCCTCTTCATTTAAATATTTTTCTTTTTTACGTTTTGCCGCACCCGAAAGCATCGTGAAAGTTAGCCTACTCAAAAACACCTGCTAGCTTTGTTGTGTCCCGCTCTAACTCTGACCGCTTCTCTGACGTCCTTCATTGGGTGGCGCCTTAACCCTCTGGGGTCCAGGGTGTAATTTGCAGTGAGTTTTCCTTTGTATTTCCAAAATAAAAACCATAACCACTGCCTTATGTGGTATCAATCTTTTCAGCACAACCTGGACTTTATGGATCTATACTTATTTTGTATATTTGGACATAAAGGGGTTGCATATTAGACCTTAAATCACTCAAAAACATAAAATCTGAATAGGAAAAAAGTTGTTTATTTTACTGTGAAACCAACAAACATTTATGACAAATGTTTTTTATCATTTAGACTGGTAATCTAGACTGTACATTTATAAAAAATATGACTAAATATAGCAAATAACTAATTAAAAAAAGTTATTAGCTCTCTGGGATCCAGAGTGTAAATCACCGTTTTTGACTCATTTTGGTTTTTCTTTTGTATTTTCTAATAAAAACAATAAATATTGCCTTATGGGGTATCATTAATTTCAGGACAGCCTGGACTATCTGAATTTATACTTATTTTATTAATTTGGCAATAATGTACATGGATTTTGGAGTGGGGAGTAGCTCCGTCTCACGCCGAGATCTGACAGCTGCGCGGCGCCGCCCACTCCTCTTGATGGATCTCCGAGGAGCTGGATCTCTGCCTTCATCCTCTACCTCATCATGACCCAGCTCTTCTATGAGGAAGGATGGATCTGCCACATCATCATCATCATCCTCGCTATTTGCCTCAGACTCCGGCTGCGAGTCTCCGTCCACTTCCTCTGCTTCCAGTTCAAAAAACAGCCGTACTATCTGAACTGCCTGGTGGACATTTATCCTTCTCATCATCCTTTATTAAAGCCTAATAAAAGCCTACTAAACTGCAGAGACAATATATCTGTCCGGATCGCTCCAAAATACAAAGTTTACCGTCAATATCTGTCTAATTGTTTGTTGTTACTCCGTTCGCGCCACTCCTTTCCCCGCGAAACGGCTCCTTTTTGCCCACATCTCGTTACTCGTGTGATACTTTTTATCAGCTGAATATGTGAGACGTCCACCAACAGCAAAAGGATCTCGTGTTTTTGTGGGTTTTTAATGTTCACAAGCACATTCCCGCTCACGGATTACTAAACCGCTGTTTTGACAAGTTATCGGATTGTCTAAAAATAGGTCATTTTTTAGTTTAGTATAGCTCCGCTTTTACGTTGCCTATTAACAAAATTTAAAAACTGGGGTGTAGTTTATAATCTGCTTTTTAAAGCTGAATTGAAACCGAAACTCAGGGAGGCGGAGTCTTGCTGCTACAGCGTCCCAAATCAGACCTGTTCAAAAGACGCGTATACTCGTCCGTGGACCCCAGAGGTTTAATGTGACATAGCCAATGAAACGGTCTATGGTTAAGATAAACATTGTCACTATTTTTAAATATTGAAACAAATTGTAGATAGGAGTCCTAGCTACAAATTCTATCATAGGACATGTGTACATTTAATTTTTAATTTATTTATTTATTATTTTGTTCCTCTGTCTGGGCCCCATCCAGCCAATCAGGCCCTAGGCACGTGCCTACTTTGCCTTTGCGTTAATCCGGCTCTGGTTGTATTGTATGTTGTGTATGTTGTGTCTGTTTACTAATTTCTTCAGAAATGATAGGAAATTAAGACTCGGATGATTTTTGTTTAGAACCAGGAGGTAAACTACAAACCTTCTCATTTCCCAGCTGTCTCATTTTTAAGTTTACCAACATCATTATGAACATTTTGAGGGGGAAAAAAGGGTTTTATTCCCTTTTCATCCTTATCAGCCTCCACGACTTCAGATTATTTTCGTTTTTCGATAAATGCAATTTTTTTCATCTACTGAGAACATTTTCAGTTATTTTAATTGAAAGAACACATTTGATGCCTTTTAGCAAACTGTGAGCAGCTCTGCAGAAACGAACCGTTTGCTCCGTCATTTTCAGTTTCCTGCACCTCGAGCTCGGCATCTTTGGGATTATATAACAGTAAAAGCAGCTGCCAGGAAGCTGATACCGCTCTCATGTTTCAGTCCTTTAAACTCATGGTTAGACAGATGCTCCCACCTCCAGTGGGGCCAGGGCCAAGGAGATATTGTTATGCAACAAAAGGTATCAAAAATGGTGCCAATTTTTCAAATCTGAAAATCTGAATTTGTGTTTGCCATTAGAGAGCTGTCGAGGATTACTGTAAACTGTGTCTCTGTGTGTCTGCTGTATGTAGGAGGTGAATATTTGCATGTTTGAGAAGGTGAAGGTACTTCTCACTAACCCTCATATGATGGAGATGAGAGGGTGAATGCAGAGAGCTCTCATCAGCCACCTGATGAGGGCAGGGATTAGGATTGTAATGATATCTAGAGGGCTAAAAGTTCCTAATGCATGAATGCAAAATGTATTTAGAGCCATCATGAAGTCTCTGGTTGTCTTCAACAAGAATTATCCACAGGCTGATGCAGCTTGTGACAGCGCAGCCTCAGCAGGTGGTGTTTATGTGGGTGGTGTGGGTGCTGAGCATTCATTTGGGATGGCATCCACTTGAAGCCAAGATGGACAGCGGCTCATGACTCTACCGCCTGTGGGTCGAGCCTGCTTCCTCACAAAGGAAACAGCCAGAGGAGAAGTCTGGTTTTGCTCTAAATGTTCCATTTTCTGTAATATTGCATTAATCCTGCAGTTTTCACATCCTGCTAGAACCTGATCCAGAACGGAGTCTTTAATCTGCAGAATCTGAGACTTATTTTTAGGTTTACTATGAATTATCTTTGTTTTTTAATAACTTTTGCATGATTTTCTGAACAATGTTGCAATTTAATGCAAATTTGTTGTGCAAGTATTTTTTTTCAGCTCATTTCAATGAGAAAACACAAAATTCTCATAAGAATAGTGCAGAAAAGAGTTGATTTACTCAATCAGCTACGTAAAACTAATATTTTTTACTACTTTTCCTAATAAAAAAATATTTAAGCATTGAAAATATCGATATCAATCAGAAAATGGAGGTGACATACCATGTTCAGCGCTTTGGGCTTCCTGACAGGGTTGCGGAAGGCGCTTTATAAATAAAGCTTTGATTGATTGATTGATTGATTGATTGATTGATTGAAAGCCAAGATCTAAAAGAAGCTTCCAATAGATTTCACGTTCACTCTCTCAGGCATTGGTGGGTGTTTTTACAAAACAATTAATTTACATAAGATTTATGGATAGAAGTAATCATTAAACAATAAAAATGAAGACAAAAGTGAAACTTTTTGAAGAAAATCAAATGTTTTGGTTCAAACTGTCAACCGTTTTGATGCGTCATTCAGCTGTGAAGCACGGTGGAGGAAGTGTAGTAATTAGGAGCTGCCCCATTTCTTGATTCAGTTAGAAAAGCCTAGTATATCGTTATTTCACATATATCACCTTAATGTACATATTGGTTCCAACAGGATGAAATAGATATCTAAAATGTTTAAAAATGAATTTTCTTACTTTTGATTTTATGCCTGTTTGACACACATCATTTGTTTCACTCTATCCCCAGAATCCCAATGTTCCACATTTAAAACATTTGATAGGAATTTTCAAATTAATTCCTCAAGAATATCCTTTTTAAAACTAAATTTTTGAGATTCTTTAAATCTGCATGAAAAACAGTGGCTGCTTGGTCATGTTTGGTTCTTTTGATGTCCGTCTTTAAGGAGCCAAGCGTCCCCTGGTGGCTGACGACCCTGAGCCTCTCCTGACCAGCTGGTCTGAGACGGAGGTATCTTCGCCTTTTGTAAGATCAGCCTGGTGATTCAGGGCTGACTAGATTCACACTGGAAAGCTAACAGTTCATCTGCTGCTCATGAGGTGGCGGGACTCTCGGGCACAAGATGTGTCTCCCGGTGATTTGTCCCAATCCCTCAAATGCCATTTATGTAATTTAATTCCGAAGAAGGGAGTCACAACAAAGCCAAAAAAGGAAAAATGGGCAGACTTCTGTCGACGGTGACTCAGGGAGACGCTTGGTGTACTAATGAATGCATGTGAGGGAAGACGTGAAGAAACAAGTGGCTCTAAGTGAGATGTGCTGTTAGCAGAGCTGGCATCGAACTGCTTTTACCTGCATTCGCTCTCATCCACACATCTTTTTATTATGGTGCACTACTCTTGCAGAAGACACTGCAATCATGTGTTATTTTGACTCCGATGAGAAATGATGCTCCAAATCCAGCAGCAAAAGCTCGAAACAGTGAGATAGAAAGACTTAAACAACTCTTTTATGCACAAATCTTTGAGAACTTTGCATGCAGAAAACACTTGGTTGTTCAATAATCCTGAATGCAACTTTAGCATCAGCTGTGCCTAATTTCCATCCACCTCATGCATGTATAAAAAGCTGACATTTGGAGCATTTATGGGCATTTTAACAACCAAATAATTTCTATTGAAACACCATTCAGTAGGAGTTACTCATACTACACTGCAGGTGTTGTTTGCAGCCCAGTTAACTAGAACCAAATTCCAGTTTCTTATTTTTCTTTAAACCCTAAATATGACTCATGAATCCATTCAAAAGATTCAAAGACATCTCGTGCTATACTGGGAACAGAAAATGAAGATTTCTCTTCCCCCCCCCCCCCCCCCCCAATCTCTAGATGGGAACATTTGGTGAGTAAACACCTCACCATGTTCTGTCAAACCTAAACTCACGGCTGAGACGCAGAGGAATGAAGCATCCAAACCAAAGTGTGTATTAAAATATTCATAATTAATAATATCACATATTTTTTCTGAGAAAGGTCAGTGACAGTAAGCTAAAAAAAGACATTCATGCATGACACTGTTTTGAAAATTGACACAAAAATTGCAAATGCTGTTTAGATTTAGTGGGGCTTTTCAACATTTTGGGTTATTTGCTGGAAAAGGCATGAAAAGGGGTTATTTATCATGCTGTGATGAATTGTCTAAATCAGTAAAGAAGTAGCTCAGGCACCAGAAATGAACACAAGTGAAACTTTAATGCAATGTTTCAAAGGGACTGGTTCTGGGGGGAAGGCAGTTTACATCAGTGCAAGCTGGAGCTCCAAAACACACCCACTCTTTCCACTCAGGACTAACTTTGCTCAATATAAAAATTTGAATCAATTTGCATAGAAGAAAGATTAAGATAATACATTTTGAATTCCTGATTATGCTGGATTATCAATTAATCCCAAAACAGCAATGGTTTAGTCTTTTGCATACATGTTTCTTTGCTTTGCAAGACGTTTAATTCCCATCAGTGTCTAAACTGAACTTTATTACTGCACTGGGCTGAGTGCGCTCTTTGCTGTGGCCTCGCAGAATCACACACGCAGAAGCAAAGTTGTGCTGAAAGTGTGACAAGTGGAGAAAGTGTCTAACTCAGTCTGCAGTTTGCAACAATCTATTTCTCTTGCAAGATTTATTCGTTTTATTACCGAATTTGAGCAAGAAGGACGATAAGTACCAAGCCGCAGCTTTTAGTGGAGGTTCTTCATTTGGATGATGTTTTTCAATGTTAGCTTCATTTAGGAGTGAGAAGAAGCAGAAATGAAGCATCAAACAGGAGATTAACTCTCCAGGAAAAGCATCTTTAATCACCCAGAGCTTTGCTCACTGAATAATCCTCCTCTACTACTTTTAAACATTGTTCAGAGTTGAAGTCATGTAAGTTTAAAGCTGCAGAGTGAAAGGGAAAATGAAGGCTGCACCTAACCCAGAAAGACGTTTCCGTAAAAGCATTCTCCTTCTGCCTTTTTGGCTCCAGTCTCATCAACAAATTCAGGGAAATGTGCTCCCACACAGACGTTTACAGCCTCCTTTACTTCTGCAGGCAGAGCCCTGAGTTTCTGAGCATGCTCAGTCAGAGCCTCTTGGTTGAGCTGCAAACAAAGAGGACAAATGTAAAAAAAAATCTGTAGGTTAAATAAGCTCGTGACAGATTTTTACAAGACTTTTTTACTCGGTGCAATACAAATGAAGATACAGTTACATATATGAATGTTAAGTTGAAATCCTCCCACCGTTTCTCACAGAGAAACGTTTCGTTTGGAAGCTTCAAGCTAGTACTACTGCTGGGGCTTACAAAAACCACACCGTCCATCTGGTGTTCGCGCGTCAATATCGAAACCATCTCACACCTCTTTTGTCAATGATGACTGCCAAGATTTCTCCAGATCAAAGGAGAGCATTGTAACAAAAAAGCCTCTGACATCATTTACAGCGGTGGAAGCGCGGTCTGTTGTTTTCTCAAGTGCCTTCACTGGATGTGTCACTCTGCATCATTACGTAGACAAATGAAAACACAAATGGGCACAGTTACAGGTAACAGTCCAAAAATCTGGGAATTGTTTTACTTTTGATTTAGGAAATCTTTTAAGGCAGGAGTGTTTTGACTATAATATCGGCGAGGCTAGCCATTAGCGTGCCTAGGCTGGCCACTAGCTGGATTTCCTACCCCCTCGACGGACCTTTAGCATGGATAGGCTGGCGTTAGCATCGGCGAGGCTAGCCATTAGCATGTCTAGGCATGCCACTAGCTGGATTTCCTACCCCCTCGACGGACCTTTAGCATGGATAGGCTGGCATTAGCATCAGAGAGGCTAGCCATTAGCATGTCTCAGAGAGTCACTAGTCAGCTAGACCTGCAATCACAGTTGTTCCTTTGACAGAACGCGTTGTTATACACATTAACTTTAAGCATATTGTAAAGCTGACAGCCTGTTAGCATTGATTAGGTGCTGCGTTAACTCCATTTTGCTCGTAATTACAGGTTGATGGTGTTTTCTTTTTATATAGTTTGGCTTTCTTGCACATATCAGAGAAAAAGCCAGAGCTAACTAGTTTGTACTTTTCATCTTTGGATTTTAAATCCCTTGTATTGAATTACAGCTTAATAATTATTTAAATTGTGATATTATCTTTATTAAAACTAAATAATATGTACCCCCCCCCCCCCCCACACACACACACACACACACACATCTAATAGAGTGACTCTCCGAGACATGCTAATGGCTAGCCTCTCTGAAGGTAGCGCCAGCACCTATCCATGCTAAAGGTCCGTCGACAGGGTAGGGAATCCAGCTAGTGGCCAGCCTAGGCACACTAATGGCTAGCCTCTCCGATGCTAACGCCAGCCTATCCATGCTAATAGTCCGTCAAGGGGGTAGGAAGTCCGGCTAGTGGCCAGCCTAGGCACGCTAATGGCTAGCCTCTCCAATGCTAACACCAGCCCGTCCATACTAACGCTAGCCTGTCCATGCTAATAGACAGCAGAGGGAGTATGTGAACCAGTCAATGACCAGCCGAGGGCTGCTAGTCCCTAGCGTATCTAGTAATAACACCGGTAAAGGTGCTATTTCTCAGTAATCAGCGCCAGCCTCTCAGTTACCGGCGCCAGCTTATCATTAATCAGGTCGGTAGTTTGCTTCAGAATTTATATAGCCTCCTGCTGCTGGGTAGTAGTCTTAATTTTGGCCCCCATACCGCGCCATAAAATAACTGGATAGGGTTTTGGACTATGTCGATACCAGTATATGCGGGGTCTCTTTTTTTGACAGTAAGGGACCCGTGGTCCGAAAGTAGATGGGCTTTTCATACACAAGATTTCACACTGGAAATTTCAATTAGTGTTTCTGGACATGCAAAGGATGGATGACTGGCAGGATAGGGGTACTTCAGAGGTTCAGTCAGATTTCACTTGGGTATGCATCCTTTCCCCTTTAAGCACTATGGCTTTATTATTGCTACAAAATATCTTCATGCAAAAAAATAAATGTTTTCATTACAAGATCAAACATAAACATTTTAGTCGTTGTTTGACTTTAGGTTATAGGACACTATTGATAAATCCATAAAATGGTCCTCTCGGGAAACCAAACCTGCTTTTTTCCAGTAGAAAAAGCATCCAGGAAATTGTTTGGTCAAGACTTTAATTTCTGTTTTTATCTGGTTTTTCTGTTTTAGCAGGCCCACAGCTTCTGTTAAAACCAAACCTTACTAAGTGATGGAAACAAGTCATATTGTGTACCTGGTGAGTCAGGGCCTTGATTTCCTCTAGTGTGGCTTCTTGTTTCTTCATCAGAGCCTCTTGTTGTGGACTGTAGTCAGAGGGCTGTGAACAGTAAAGTAGAAAGCACCTTACTTTTGACGGACGCCATCGACTTGTGGTTTTGAGGAGCATGTTTGTGTGTGTTGTGTGATGGGTATAGACTGATGGTTTGTCTCTAAGTAGATCACCTCCTCATGTTTCTCCCTGTGAGTGTGTGTCCACGTGCCCATGGGACGCAACCTGAGCAAGAGGAATCAATACAGTCAAGTCGCAGATTTGGTCTTCGGTGAGATTTCACAGCATTTGCCTTCGAGCTCTCAGTGTTGTGTCAGTGCTGATCAAACGGGTGATTGTGTTATAACCTTTGTGTTCATGATGCAGTCTTTTCTGACCATAAGCCGGTATTATTTGACACTAACATGGGTGAGAGTATGCTGAAATCTGTTCCTCCTGTCACACTTTCTCGCTCTGTGAATTCAGCTACCTCAGGACAATTTTTATTTTTATTCAGTGAAGCTGTGCATCGTTAATCAGATGGGAGAAGTCTGGATGGCCTGCTAAGCTGTTTTAACAATATTAGTAAGGACATTCTGGACACTATTGCACCTCTTCGAATGAAGAAGGTAAATCATGCTGCTAAGTCATGGTCAACTGAGCTCACGCGGGCTGCAAGACGGGAATGCAGGAGATGTGAGAGAAAATGGAAAAAGGACAAACTGCATGGCTCCCTGATTGCCCTAAGGGAAAGCTGGAAAAATTATCAGGAGTTTGTTAAAAAGGCAAAGACTGACTATTATTCAAAACTAGTCGCTTCTAATTGTAACAACTCTCGGATGCTTTATGCCTCAATTAATGCTGTGATAAATGTGGATAATGGTTTCCCTGCACAGCTATCAGACGACATGTGTACTAGTTTTCTTAGGTTTTTTTTATTGAAAAGGTGGCATTGTTGCGTTCTGCACTGTCAAGAGCAAATATGCAAACTCCCTCATTTCCTTTGGGTAGACATTTAGAGTATTTTCAGCCAGCATCCCTTGATGACTTAGTTAAGTTGGTGGACGTAATTAAACCGAGTGTATCTCCTGAAGACATCATACCACCACGGCTGTTTAAGGAAGTCTTTAATGGAATAGCACCATTAATATTGAAAGTTATTAATAGCATTTTGGCCTCTGGCTGTGTCCCAATTGATTTTAAAAAGACAGTTCTTAACCCACTGTTAAAGAGATCGGGGTTAGATGTTATGCAGCCTTGCAATTACCGGCCGATTGCAAAGCTCCCTTTTCTGAGTAACATTCTGGAAAAATGTGTCTATACTCAGTTGATGGATTTCCTAGAAGAGTCTAACATCAAGGAAACTTTTCAGTCTGGCTTTAAAGCTTTTCATAGTGCGGAAACGGCACTGATAAACGTATTAAATGACATTATGTTGGAAATTGATAGGGGAAATCCTGTGCTACTTGTTTTGTTGGACCTTACAGCTGCGTTTGACACTGTGGACCACGAAGTGTTGCTCCATCGTTTGGAGTATAATGTAGGAATCTCTGGTTTGGCCTTAGACTGGTTCAGACCTTATTTGAAGGATAGGACAGTAAGTGTAATGATGGGTGGGTTTAGTTCTGGATTCACACACCTGCAGCGGGGGGGTCCCACAGGGTTCAATATTAGGACCACTATTGTTTTTGATTTATATTTTGCCACTGGGGGGACATCATGAGGAAGTATGGAATTCGATTTCATATGTATGCTGACGATTGCCAACTTTACTTACCCTTGGATTATAGAAGCTACTGTCCCATTATTACCTTAATGCACTGTCTAAATGAAGTTAAGTAATGGTTGACGGACAATTTTTTAATGTCTGAATGAAAGCAAGACTGAGGCAGTGTTGTTTGGGTTACATCGTGATTTAGAGCGATCAAAACTGGATTGTAGGGATACGAATGCCTACCCACGTTCTTCGGCATGGAATGATCTTCCATTATCTGTGCGACTCTTCACGTCAGTAGAGGTTTTTAAGAAGGCGCTGAAGACCCATTATTATAATCTGGCTTTTAAATCTGTGTGTTAACTGATGTTATTTTGTATTTTGCTGTTTTTTATTTTTTATTTGGTTTTCTATATATTCTTTGTTTTATCTTTCTTTAGTTTAGTCTTGTTCAGCACCTTGGTGACATAATATATGCCTGTAAAGTGCTTTTATAAATAAAGGTGATGATGGTGATGATGGTGATGATGATGATGATGATGATGATGATGATGATGATGATGATGATGATGAATAGACATGTTAATTAATGGATGAATGCTGATTACATTGATTAGTTTGAACTCGTACTTGACCCAATTGTGTGGAAGGTTAAGAGGAGAGATTTTGCCATTTCGATAGAGCTGATTGTCAAGGAGCAGAATCAAATGGACTGGCCATTAACCCAGATAGACCAGGTTTGAATCTTGATTAGCTGACAGAGAAACAAGGGAGCTCAGTGGGTCATCGACCACACATGGATTAACCCGTTTCCCTCAAAACAGCTTCTGAGTGTTGTGTGAGCTGTCCTGTGGTGAGGACATGAGCATGATGGTGTGTCTGTGATTTGGGAACCTACTGTGGGTACAAAGATGGTGGGTGTACTTACAGTTCAGAAATGTGTGTGTTCCTGAAAGCAGTGAGTGGGTGTTTGATGTTGTGAGCTACCTAAAGTAATGTTTTTCTTGGTTTAGCTCAAATCTTCAGGCACCGTGTTTAAAAGGCTAGTGAGAGCCGGCTCTGATACTAACACCCTGTAATTCATGTGCGTACAAAGTAGTGAGCACTCCATTTGATGAAGATAAGCTCCTCAGTTTTTTTTTATATTACTCACACCTCCACACCTGACACCACGGTTCCCGATGAGAAAAGAGTGGTCTCCAGGTTGAGGGGAGGTCTGGGGGTGTGTCCAAATGCAGGGGCTATATCCTTCCAAGTATGCTTTTGAAGGCCCATTACATCACTGCAAAACATCAGGGCTGTCCAAAGTAGAAGAATGCTCAAAATGTGTCCTGGTTTTTCTTGTAATAAAAGCGGACAAAGCGGCAGATGATTACAGTTTAATGGGTAACAATTTACAAGGTACGCAAAATTGTGCTTCGTTACTAGGGAACCGCTTAGGGGATAATGAGTAATGAAGCAGGGAAGAATGGTAGTTAACCAGTAGTTACTGGTGAAAATCTCATCAATCTTTTTTCGGGGTCTAATAGATAGTTATCTATGAACGCAATAAGGAACGAATCCCAGATGAATATAGTACCTGTGGACTCTCTTTTGTAAACTTCATGAAGGATGCAAATAATTTGCAACATCACAGTGATTTAACATCACTGTTTCATCTTTTCCTCTCCCTGGGCTGTCACCTTACCGTGGTGGAGGGGTTTGAGTGTCTCAATGATCCTAGGAGCTAAGTTTTCGGAGGCCCGAAGACCTCTTATGATGAATTATATAAATGGAAACCGTGTTCCCTTGCCTGGACGTGGGTCACCAGGGCTCCCCTCTGGAGCCAGGCCTGGAGGTGGGGCACATTGGCGAGCGCCTGGTGGCCGGGCTTTCACCCAAGGAGCCCGGCCGGGCACAGCCCGAAGAGGAAACGTGGGTCCCCCTTCCATGGGCTCACCACTCGTGGGAGGGGCCAAAGGGGTCGGGTGCAGTGTGTGACGGGTGGTAGTCGAGGGCGGGGACCTTGGCGGTCTGATCCTCGGCTACAGAAGCTGGCTCTTGGCACATGGAATGTCACCTCTCTGGTGGGGAAGGAGCAGTAAGTATTGGCTAACTACCTATTAGACTCTGAAAAAAGACTGATGAGCATTTTCCCTAGTAACTACTTATTAACTACCTATTATTCCCTGCTTCATTACTCATTACCCCTTAAGTCGTTCCCTTTTAACAAAGTACAATTTTGTGTACCTCATTGTAAAGTGTTACCTATTAATGTCTGCTGGTAAAAAATTAAAGCCTTAAAGGAGATGTGTTGTTGGGGCTTTTGTTGTCGTCATGGTTACTGGGTGACAGGACATGTGCTGAGGTAGCAGCAGCACTGGGTAATGACCATACTTGATACTTCCTGGATGCCTCCCTAGGGAAGGTGTTTCAGGAGACCTAACAGGGCATGCTGGAGTTACTTTATTTCCAGGCTGGCTTGAAGGTTCCCACTGCACGAACTAGTGGGAGTGGCTTGAGAGAGGACAGACTGGATTGCTACTCCCATTAGAGATGTAAGAAAATATCACCAAACTGAGATGTCAACATTTTTTTAGTTGTGATGCTGAATCAATATTTAAAAGCATAGTATCACGTTTTTATTGAGAATTTAGGGTTAGGGTTTACGGTAACCCTAACCCCAACACACTGGACTTGTCTTGAAAGTTTCTGAACTGAGTTTTCCAGTTTATTTAGTCTTAAGATTTGCAAATATTGTCTGGCTTTAGTATCGCAACACACCACATCATCTCCCCTGTATTGTGGTAAACATCGAATTGCCAGATTCTTGCCAATACACACTCCTACCCCATCACCCGGACCCACTGAAGCATTTTCAGTTTTGCATTTGCAATCATTAGGTGCTGCATTGACTGAGTTTGATGTAGAAAACTTGAATAAAAAAGGATTTTCTATATTTCAACAAGCAAAAACGATCACTTACGGCAACATCAGACTGACTTGTCTCATCCAGAAGCTCCACGCTCTTTGACTTTTTCAACCTAATAAAAATAATTTAGTTTAGACAACATGTAAGTCATAAAAGTTTTCAATTCCCGCAATTTCTTTCCTCCCTGGAGGGGACAATTTGATTAGACGATAGTAAAACTGAAAAGAAACACTTGGACGTAAATGAAGGCTGTCAACTTACTTGCACTTCTCGGAGGATTTTAATAGCGCTTTCTTCTTCTCTTTGGTTTCACTACAATGAAAGGGAGAAGACAACAGGTGAGGATGCACAACCTGAAAGGGAACAATAACCTCTAAACAACCTTTTCCCTTTAATCAAGAGTTGCAAGGCTGAGTGTTTATTATGACCTTATCAGAGTTTCTCTACTGGTGTTTAAACACCTGTTGGGTATTGGTTGTCCTGAGATAACCATCTGCCTACTGGGGACTTAGGACAACACACACACGCGCACGCACACACACACACACACACACACACACACACACACACACACACACACACACACACACACACACACAACTGAAGCCAGCCAAGGACACTGGAAGACCTGCCTGCTGAGATGATTCATTCATTATTTGAGACATACTCTGCAAAATGTCAGGTTTCTCACCTCAGATCACACACACACACACACACACACAGAGTCACACCAAAGCATCAGTGCACAGATTGGTCGGACTCAGCAAGGCCTTTTTTGTGTGCCATGTCCCAAATGTGTTGCTCACACCTCTCCAAGGTCTTCAGTTCGATGGTGTGTCTCTCCGTGGCCATCTCCAACAGTTTGGCAAGTCTCTGTCACAAAAACAAAAACAACCACACGAGTCTGTTTGTGCAGAGCGCTTGGCTTAAGCTGAGGTCAGCTGAGTTGAAAGATACTTTAAAGAAACCAGAGTGACCTTGTTTTAGTCCTGCAAAGACTGAAATCTTACTGAAAGTACCTCAGTCCGATCTAAAAGCTCTTAAGAAAGCGTTGCTCTTTTGCAGTGATCCAAGAATAAAAGCAACAAAGAGAAATAATATTAGTTGCTGCTAAGAGGTGACTGTTTCCTTAGCTTTGGGCAGGATTTTCTGTTTTTGGTGCAAGTCATTAAATGTAACAAAGACCATGATTGTCATGAAAAGTGACTGTTGAATAATGAATGCATGAAAAGGGCTCCATTAGTACAGTGGTCACGTGTTCGCTTTCAGGTCCCAGTTTTGAAAAGTTCAGCATGAAAATAGACAGACAGATTAAAATAATAAACTGAATGAACAAATCAAAACTTGCTGCAGAAAAGTGAGCCTCCAAAGACCAAATTAGAAATATTTTTCATTTATAGGTGCCGATCCTCTGTGATGGACTAGCTCTCGGTCCAGGGTGTACCCCGCCTGATTGCCCATTGACCGCTGGAGCCCCCGACCCCCCCACCCCCTTACCCCCGCGACCCTACGTGGACAAGCGGGTTCAGAAAATGGATGGATGGATGGATGGATGGATGGATGGATGGATGGATGGATGGATGGATGGATGGATGGATGGATGGTGTCGATCCTGTCAGCAAATTGAAGCTACAGTTTGAAGATTGGAAAAATGTTGCCCGGTCGATTTCTGCTGCAACATTCGGTTGGTCGGTACAAGCTCAGGTTCGTTTGAATTACCTCTGTAGCACATTGCTCTTTCTTCTTCTTCAACTGTTCACTCTGTTCAGTCCACAGAGCATTCAGCTCAATCTGCATTTTCTCCTTCTGCTCCTGCACTCGCTCTTTCTTCACATTGTTGTCAGAAGACTTGTCCACTCCCCTGATGGACACATGAGCAAAGCACATTCGTAAAAAATAACGGAGTCAATGCAAACACACCGTGCATCATCTATTTCCTTCTTTCTTCATTTTTATGTTATAAAACCTAATATTTGTAGCAAACAAGAAGCTTCCAGTTAATAATCCTGACCAATACAACTTAGTGGGTCATTAATAAGCTGCTGGTCAGTGCTCTGAATGGAAGGGAAAACTGCGTTTTTGGGTGATTTGACATAAATAAGTGGACAGATGGGTCTCTGAACATCCTTCTTCCACTGATATGATCAAAGGCTCTTTTGTTAAGCAGCCTGCTGTATTTCAGCAGGGAAATGAAAATACGCACTCTTTTTTCTTCAGCGAAGTCTTCTTTTTGATAGCCTTGAAGGAGTCTGAGTATTTTTGCATCAGATCTTCTGTTTTTTTCTGATACTTCTTTTCATTCTCCTTCAGCTCTTTCTCCTGTCGCTTGGTGACCTTCAGATAGTTTTTGTGTAGTATCAGTTCTTCAATTGGCACTGTGGAGGGATCTGCAGCAGGAGCACAAAGGGGTAGGTTGTGGGAATCTTCTAATTTGTGACAGTGAAATCAAAATTTAATAACAAAAATTCTTTCAAAATTGTTTCACATTTTTGCCATCTGTGACCTTTTGCCAAGAGTGCACTGGCAGAAGAGAAAACGTGATGAATGCTGCACATGATGCACTTCACTGTTACCTTAATTATAGGTTACCGACTGAGATGAGTCACCTGATTCTGCAGACTCGGTCGATGCATTTGCTGGAGCGGACAAGGACACTGTGGTTTCTTTTTCAGGTGTGGGTTCTTCGGTGCTGACTGCTTCAGATGCATCCTTATGATCTGAAACAGGCTCAGAAACTGTTTCTTCTTTGGCTTCAGGAGTGGCCTCTGGCTCTGGGGCTTTCTCAGCCTCCTCAGCTGATGAAGGGTTTGCAGGAGGAATTTCACTTGATGAATTTTCTACATCTGGCTCAGTTGCTTCAGCAGGAGTTTCAGATTGCTCGGGTTCGGGAGGAACAGCCTCTTTGACGTTTTCTTCACTAGTTTCAGGAGGAGTTTGGGGTAAATTGTCTGCTGTATTAGTGTTTACTTCAGGTTCAGATGCAGTGTTTTCTGTAAAAGTAAGGAAATTCAGTTATTAAATCACAATCCAAGCAAAAAATAATAAAAAAAACAACAGAAGTGTCATTTTTAAAGCTCAGACACCAATCAACAGCACTGCCTTCACGTGTTTATTACCTTCAGCGGGGGCTTCGCTGGCTTTGTCAGCAGGGGTTTGAGTCTCAAGAGGCAACTCATAAGGTGAAATGTAGTCAGAGGATGACTGCGGGGGTTAGAATACAGGACATGAACAATCAAGCAAAGGCGGCCCTCTTCCAGGAACACATAATCAGGGCCATTGGAGTTTTACAGTAACTCTAGGAACTTCAGTTTACCTCTTTGGGGGTCTTTGAGGGCTTGTCCTTTGTAGGATTAAATAAAGCATCTGTGAAATCTAAGGGAGAGTCAGACACATCAGTGTTCAATTCAGAAACAATTCAGCACAGAATGTTACAATACAAAGTATTATGAGAGAAAATGTGATAAAAGGAATATGATGCACCATGATAGGATATTTTATTTATTTATTGGCTTATATTTCTAGAGGATAAAACCCCTTGAGATGCACCATCTCGTTTTCAAGGGGGTCCTCCTTTGAAACACTGAAACAATAAGACATAGCAAGACTATCAGTGGCATAAGCCAAAACTAACTAATACAAACAGACCAAATAAATTAAACAAGACAAAAAATATAAAGTTAAAAAAAGACTTTGCTTTGACAACCTGATTATGTGACATCAAATGCCAAACTCAAAAACAGTTACAGATGCAAGAAGATGCAATATGTGAGTAGACAGAATTTTTGAATCGTGAAAAACAAGTAATCAATCGTATCTCCAGTGGGAGTCTATTCCAATCTTCTAGGGCTTTGACACAAAAAGCAGTTCTTCCTGATTCTTTTTTGAAAAAAGGTACAACATGATATGATATGGTAGAACGGGGTAGGATTGGGTAGGGTCAGGTAGGGTAGGGTACGGTAAGTTATGGTACAATATGATATGGTACGATATAATATGATACAAAATGATACGGTACAATACAATACAAGACCGCAATAAACAGTATGGTACAATGGGATGGGGGTGGGGTAGGGTAGGGTAGGGTAGGGTAGGGTAGGGTAGGGTAGGGTAGGGTAGGGTAGGGTTTGATAGGGTAGACGTAGCATTAAATGACACAAAACAATGAGATAGGATTAGAGATGTTCTGTCATTGGTCTGCCATTTTTATCAGTCGAAATTGTCATTAAAATATAATATCAGAAAATATCTGTATTGGTTTTCAGATATTTACATGCACAACTTTTACTAACTTAAATTGAAGTAGTTGTTGCATAGAATTTTTTAAAAATTGAAACATGCATAATAGAAGAAATGTGATGTTAGTGACCTAAAAAGGTTTTGTTTTTCTTTTTTATTAGAAGGGGACCCAGCATATATTGGTATCGGTTTATATTAGTATCGGAAATTAAGAGTCAGACAATATTAGTATATGGATATCGGTGAAATAATAATGAAATTGAGCATCCCTAGATAGGATAGGATAGGATAGGATACGATACGATACGATACGATACGATACGATACGATACGATACGATAGGATAGGATAGGATAGGATAGGATAGGATAGGATAGGATAGGATGCGATAGGATAGGATAGGATAGGATAGGATTTGATACGATACGATACGATACGATACGATACGATAGGATACGATACGATACGATACGATACGATAGGATACGATAGGATAGGATAGGATAGGATAGGATTTGATACGATACGATACGATACCATACGATACGATAGGATAGGATAGGATAGGATAGGATAGGATAGGATAGGATAGGATGCGATGCGATGCGATGCGATAGGATAGGATAGGATAGGATAGGATAGGATAGGATAGGATTGGATGGGATAGGATAGGATAGGATAGGATAGTTGCAGTGGCGGACTGGCCATAAGTGGGTTCTGGAGAATCCCAGAACGGCTGCTGTGCTCTAGGGCCGGTGTCGGCCTTTCACCCCTTTCACTCATTGGCCTAAGTCTGTCTGTCTGAGCTTATCAGCTCAGCTCAGAAGCGACATCATCAGATGACCTCATTGATGACTTTGTATCCATGAAAAGGAGACGTGTGCGTCTGCAGAAGGCTTCTTCCACTCTTGAAATAGGCTGTTCATATAATCAAGCCTGCAACGTTTTATACCCAAATGGCACTAAGGATAGCCATTTTGCATTGAGGAGGGCCACAAAATAACCCCCCACAGTAATCGGCTTTTATCGAAGTTTCACGAATCAGACACTAAGTTTAAAGGAATCTGCTGTGAGTCTATAATCCAGTTCAGTCCTCAACCTGCAACCTCAACACTGATGGAAGGCATTTATTCAGTCATGTGTGAACACAGAGCAAAAATATAAACACCTGCAAAGGCAGCAGGGATGTAGTCCTTGACCTCGATGAACACAAAGAGAGCGGGCAGAGTGAGAGGCATGTTGCTCTCGCTGCGCAGGCAGATGTGATGGAAGCCTACAGAGTATAAATACGAACCTCAGTCAAGTTCAGCTCCTCTGAAACAAAAGCTGATCAAAATGTTAGAAAAATTCTGAGATTCTGATGAACTCGGTGTGTTTGTTTAGCTATGTTCTTCAGCGCCCTCCTGACCTGACTGGATGGCATCGACAGGGATGATTCTGTGTCCCACAAATTTTCCATTCTCTTCGTGGACTACCATCCTTAAGGCGGCCATTTCTGGGAGCAGGATCTGCAAGTAAGAGTAAAACACCAATAAGTGCACTGCGCTTCTCATTGAATCCGAAGAGCCTTGTTGCCCACCTTTTCAAAAACAAACGGCTCCTCATTCCACACTGGGTTGATGGCGTTGGGTGTGGTGGACCACTTGGTTCGATATTTCTTCTTGGGGTCTCCTGGCAAACCAATCACCTCCACTTCCACCCCAGTTTTCACGTTCTTGTCAGAAAGAAACTGTCCTGAGTAGATCTAGTGAAGATCGATGCAATGTGATGACAAGCAGACCTCGATAACACACACTTCCCTGGCCTAATAATAATTCTGTGAGAAGTTTCAGGGTAAAAACAGTGAAAGAAGATGGAAACCTGCCTTTATTGTCAGTGTGCTTGCCACGACTGTGTCAATCCTGTCACAGAAAGGGTCAAACTTCTTGTCACTACGGCGCAAAACGTCATGTTTGAGGAGGTAGCCTGTTCTACCATTGAATTCAAACAGAGCCATGTTCAGCTGCATGGGAAAATCTAAATAAAGCAAAAAACACACACACACAACCCAGTTAGTTTTTTCTTCAGCTGGAGTTCAGATGCTCAGAGGCTCAAAGAGGTGCAACACTGACCTCCTGTGGTCAATTAAAGAAGTTCAGCTTCACCCAAAATTAAACAATAATGCAATGCAAGAAATGTGTGAAAACATTGGAGGGAAACTACTTCATATTTTATGCAATATCACAAGTTATACCCATCGTCTGGTAGTTAAGAGCAACCATTTGGCATCCGACGTTCCAAAAAGGTTGAGGGTTGTAGTTGGATGAATCCATTCTTGTTCCTTTGGGGTAAATCCTGCTCATCTGTCTCTTATTGTATCTGTGGAAAACGGTTTAAGAAGCATGAAAGTGCATTTCTGTTTTGTAACTCTTCCCCCAACTATTTCTGATAGCATTAAACACAAATGTTTTTAGATTAAGGCAGAAGAAAGGTTTCTGTTTGAGGATACTCGACAAATTCAACAGCCGTCTTAGCAATCATGGCCTCCCCTTTGGTCTCCACAAAAGATGAAATGGCGTAACTCTTGTTTTTCTCTGTGAATAGATAAAGAAGTGAGTTGCTCAAACTGACATGGATACATTTTTGGAGAGTTTTAGGTTATGTTTTCATACTTTTGGCGTTCTCGAAAGAGATGAATTTGTTGGGCTGGATGTAGTTGACTATAGATGACATTGCCTCGTACGCTGTCACTTCTTGCCCTGCTGTGCCCTGTTGGGCAGCAACAGGAATTAGCCTTAAGTTTTGACTCTGCTTGTGGTAAAGCAGAACATTTTTCATCACCTACCTCATCTGATGTCTTCATTTTCTCCTCATCCTGTTCTTCTGCATCTTCCTGCTCCTCTGCGTCCTCCAGAGCTGCCTCTCCTTCAGCTTTAGCACAGAAACACGAGTCCGTTAGTGCTTCAAAATTTAAAAGACTACCTTTTTTGGTGCATAACTTAAATTTTTATCAGGTACCCTGGTTCTCTTGAGTGCTTGCTGCAGGGTCATCCTGGGTGGAGGTGTTTGGGTCCTGGGGGGTTTCAGCTGCTGCAGTCTGATCAGTGACTGCTGTGCTGGGTTTTTTATTCTGAGCAGGCGTTTCTGTGTGCCCCTTTTTGTTCTTGATGAGGATTTTGCCCATGAGCTCAGTGGGGCTGGGAATCTGTTGGCCTGGCTTCAGCTGCAAGAGAAAATGAAAGAGAGGGAAGTCAAATATTTGGTTTAATCTTTTTACATGACAGTTCTTCAACCAGTTAGCAGTAAAAACATAACCTAACAAGTTATAATCCAGGTTTCAGACCTTAAATTCATGTAGAGTTAACAGAAAATGTTGCACAAGGGAACTTACGGGGTATTTTTCCAAAGGCTCTGTTAGCAGAGCATCTCCAAATATGGTTTTGCAGTAGTTTGCCATCTTTTCTTGCTGTTTCACCCTGAAAAATATCACAATAACATTTGTCTCGATTCCAATCTTTGGCCTTTTGCGACGCTGAAACCTCCTCTTACACACGCTCTAGCAAATCAGAGGACAAGTTAAAAGATCTTACGAGTCAACGTGGTTCTCGAATGAGAGGATAACCGGATACTTTGAAGTCTTGAAGGCACTTTCTGCAATGGCTTCGATCACATCCTGTCAAATGCAATGAAAACAGTGTTGTTGGTCTTATTTAGAGCAACTTTTATTTGGATTAGATTAAAGAAATAAACCTTGTGTAGGGAGGAAAAGGAAAAAAGCATCCTAAATGATAGAAACACAGCCAGATGCCATAAATTTGTTAAAATTGCACAAAAACTCAATAACATGGAGTTGGGGAAGTAGTATCTGAACATAAACAGAAGTGTGAAGAGTTACTGCTGTTGATTACATGAAAGCTGCTGTAAACTGTGAACTGATGTGTTGTGACCGTGGAGCTGCAGCCCTCCTTAAATGGAACTGTTGGATGTGAGAGGGTGATGGCTGCTTGAATGTGTGTGTGTGTGTGTGTGTGTGTGTGTGTGTGTGTGTGTGTGTGTGTGTGTGTGTGTGTGTGTGTGTGTGTGTGTGTGTGTGTGTGTGTGTGTGTGTGTGTGTGTGTGTGTGTGTGTGTGTGTGTGTGTGTGTGTGTTTGTGTGTGTGTGTGTGTGTGTGTGCGTGCGTGTTACTGTGTGTATTCGTATGTGCATTTCCAGAATAAACCACCTTGAAAAGGATTTCAGTGGTCATTGTGAAGCCATGAGTAATGATGGGCTCTTCTTCTGGAGGTTTCCCCTTCCAGCAGTCCAGCTCCAGACACCGACAGCCGGACAGTAGACACTGACGATACATCTCAGGAGAGGACACGCCGGAGAACTGACCAGCTGCACGGGACAACGGAGGAGAAAAGGGGATAAAAACACACTTGGACAAAGATGGAGGCAAGCGGGGGGTTGCTTTGGCAAGATTCTAGCGATAGGATATGTATCACAATATGGAGGAGCCGATTTGCTATATTGCGATGCTAAAAGCCAGATGATATTTGTGATTTTTAAGGCTGGACTGAATTGGAAAACCAAGGCTAGACACAGTGGTATCCAACTTGGATGATCCAAGATCTCGTTGTTCGGTCTGAATCAAGGCAGGAAAAACTGCTGCCACCTAAAGGTTGGGGTGTGAATTGCACCACACTAAAGATAAATACTAGTAAATATTTGCATAAAATTTCTAAATAAATAATCGATACAATGCTTTTAAATATTGATTCAGTATCACAACAGAAAATACTGCAATTCTTCTTTGCATCGATGTTTTCTCACAGCCCTTGAAGCAAGTTAAAGGAATTACCTTTGTCCTAACACGTAGGGGCTTTAGCTCTAATCTGCATATGCAAATTGGCAGATTCACTTTATTTTATGATTTTTATCTTTATTTAAATCATATCCATTGCTAATGTTTCAGAAAGAAACCTCTATTATAAAAAAATGAAGCTATATCCTCAAGAGTGGCCCCTTTACTCAACTCATGACAGGTTTTCTAGAGGCTAAGAGCAAAAGGCTTTTAGCTGATGAGTGTGTGACCTGTTAGGTACGTGTTGTGGGAAGACTTGATGAAGTAATGAGGTAACGGTTGATTCATCTCCTGACACTTGGCCAGCTTATCCTGCATCACAACCGAAGTCTCCGAACCCATCAGGAAGAACAAGAGGCCTTCTGGAGAAATCATGCCTGCAGAGGAAGAAACGTCACTTTGTAGAACACCGAGAAAAAAAAGGCTTTGAGTTAATTTTCTGAGTCTTACCTCTGTTGGAAACATTAGCGGTGGGTTCATACTTGTCGATGAGAGCCTTGATCTGGTCTGGACGAAGACGGGGAAACAGCTCCTCGTTGAGACGGGAGTCTCTTTGTTTCTCGTTGAGGAACTTAGTGAAATTCTCCTTCGTCATGTTGGGTTTAGTGGAGCTGGAGTGCACAATGAGGCGCAAAAATCACACTAACAACCCCCCTCGTGGTGCTCAACCCCACCATGAACATGTTAGCATCCAAAGTTCAGCTCTGATTTTTTTATTGTGTGATTTTGTGTAGAAAACACTTCAAAATTCAACCAAAACTGAAAAACAAACAGATGAACAGGCTGGTGCAGCAGCAAAGTCAACATACTAATTGGTGAAGATCTCGTAGATTTCTGGCCGAGGGCAGAGATTGGTCAGGAAGGTCCTGAAGGCGGTTTCGGTGAACACATCATGTTTTATGGTGTCATACTGAAACACAAAGTTAGGATTTTTACGTCAAACCTTCTCTTAAAACAGTTTTTTTACTCAAATTAGAACAAAGTTTGGTTCAGTCTGGATTGCAAATGCCAACATATTTATTGGAAAAGTCATAAACCCCAATTAAGAATAAATCGAGTTTAAATTTCACAAATCTTTAAAAACTAAATAATATTCAAGAGCTGACCTTTCCTTTAGGGAGGTGTGCTGCTGCTAAGGCACTTTCAACCCTCTTCTTGTCTGCAGGAAACATCTTGTAAATACTGAAACCACACACACACACACACACACACACACACACACACATGTTACATTTGATCCAAATGATTTCAAATATTTATTATGGACTTCTGCTCAGTAACCTACTTCTTCACTGGGATCTTTCCATCCTTATTGGTTTGAAGGGAAATGCGGACGTATCTGAGAGTGAATTCACAGAATTTTAATTAAAATTCCCAAATGCACGAGGTGCTACAGGTGAGCTTCGGCAGATTCGCTCACATTTTATCCAGGAAAACTTGTCTGCATGAGTTGTTTCTTGCTGGGTTGTATGCGATTGCCAGAATGTCGTCTGCCCAGCTCTGTGGAAAGGCAAAAACAAATATTCTATAAGACAAACATTGTAAAAGCTATTCACAAAGTTAACACTAGAGGGTGTAAATACAGGAAATGGTGGCAGTCAACGCTGCTCTTAAACAAACAATAGTAATTTTATTACAGCTGATTAAATCTGGAGCCATTAAGTCTAATAAAACTAAAAGAGAAGCAGTAGGTTCCTTATTTGAGGGGGAGCAGCTGCACCGTGACGCAGATGTTGTGTGTGAACTGATTGAACTATTACCTGTGTCACTTTCTCCTTGGAGGCAAAGAAGTTATGATAGGTCAGGTTCACCGTGTCTGGACCTGAGACGATGGTCAGCGTTTTGGCGAGGTGGTTGCTGTCTGGGAAATCCATGTTGAACACGTTGCGTACTTTTGGTTGCTGTGAAAAGCCAACGAACACAAGTGTCTCAAATTTGGTTGATTATTATTTTTTTTTTTTTTTGTAAGACTGTGATTTATATTTCTTCCTCTTAGCTGGAGAACACGATGCAAATGGTGACCATGACATGCAAACGTGTGCACAGACACATTCACACGCACGGACTTCTAATCCCACATGAACGAGGTCTCCCCGCGCTCAGTCATGTCTGTAGTGATGATGTCAGCAGCGAAGCAGCTTTTCCAAAATGCTCCAGAGAGGCCCAAACAGGAAGAGCTGCCTCCATCTTCATCCTGAATGGAACGACGCGGCTCTCTCTGCTCCCGTGGGGACCATATTTCCCCTCCATGAGGCGCGATGCTGGTTGATGCTAGTCTCCGTAGGAGCCACTGAGGACTTTAGAAATTAAACGAAGCCACAACCGGCTGCTTTCAGCTCTAAAAGAAAAATCTCAGAGTCGATGGTGAGCCGGTCTGTGGCGTGGAGTGTGTTTGTGCAGCTTTTAAAGTCATGTGTTTCTCTGCCTCTGCAGTTGTCCGTGGCTGTTTTTGCAATGCAAATATTCTTCTCAAATTATTGGGCAAACTAGGGACTCGACACCATATTTGCATGCATGCAGGGACACTGATACAGTAGGCAGCCCCCATTTGACTAATCAAAATAAATGTGAATATTACTATGATAAATATTACGGCAACACGCAGCGTGATAGCACTGTTTCCTCACAGCCAGAAGGTCACAGGTTCAACTCCCAGCTACGGCCTTCCTGATAGGAGTTTGCGTTTGTCACCGGGCATGCATGGGTTTCCTCCCTTGGACCGGCATTAAGGCTACACTCAGTTATCACTAGGTGTGAGTGAGTTTTCTGTCTCATTCATCTCTCCGTGTCTCTGTGATGGACGTGTCCCGTCACTCGGTGACTATAGGCCTCCTTTCCACGCAGGAGGAAGAAGTTACAGAAGATGAATGATTGAAAAATAACCAATAAGGTGACACTCACTTTGGGAAGTTTAGCAAATTTTCCTGTTCTCGTGTCCCGGATGGTTGCAACATCCAGGAACGTCGTCTCCTAGAAACCAGAAGCAGAGTCACATCCATAAGATGCTCAGATTTGTTAAGCGTGCATTTCCTTAAAGCGTCAGCGGCTTTCTGAGGCCTTGATGAAGGAGCGGAGCACTAAATGACAGATTAACACTGACTGGTGTCCAGCTGCATGGTGAACCTGGACCGTGATCAGCATCAGAGAAAAAGCTGCCAAGATGGGAAAAGTGGTCCAAGAAGTTACATACTACACCTGTTCTGCTATGAATTCCACTTTTTATATCACTCTCGGCCTTTATGAGCATTTTTCTGCTGTTAAAATGGATTTAGACACAATTTTTCAGCATTAATGACACCATAGTTTAGTGCAATATGCTTTAAATAATCAAGGTTTACATTTAACACCTGAAAATTAGGAGTTTTTCAGCTTTAAACTGGTCTGTTTAGCTAAATGGATGAGAGATATCGTCTTTCTTTTCTGACCTCCCTAAATGGATTACCTTGCTTTGGTTGACCCAGTAGACGTAAAACCCTTTCGGATCCATCTTCATGGTGACAGGAACCGTCTTTGTGGAGTCCTTGAGGGAGACAAGAATCGAAACATTTGTTGATTTCAGTCGATTCCCATTGAAATCTGGAAGTCTTCACTCACCTCTGACCACTTGGTGAATCGTTCTCCTTTGACCAGGTAGTCTTTGACCTCTGGAGGGTCAAGAAAGAATCTTTTCTTATTCATTTTGTTCTGATGACGTCAGCTTTGATTCGGGAATGCTGAAGCTAAAACAAATCCACCTTGGTCATGATGATCACTTCATCTACCTCCAAAAGATGCACGGAACTGGAGCTTAGTGCATCCGACTCAGTAGCCAGGACGCGCCCCAGCTCGTATGCATTGCAAATTAAGTCAGGAGAAAACGCATATACCAAGACTGAAGCTAAATCTGTGGCTGTCTAACAGCATGTGGCCTTTTATTTTAAGAGATTCACTCAAAATAACAAATTAAAGACTTCCAGTCGTCCATAATGGATAAATGGGATATTTCTGATGCTACAACATGATTATTTAAGTGATTTTTACGTAAAATTTTCTAACAATTGTTCAAGTTTAAATGACTGACATTGTGTTCTTCACAAGAAAGCATATTTCAGCAAGTCGAACAAAACTCAGAATAAGTTGGATGATAACTGGAGGTTGGTGAGGAAATGTTTTCATGTAGTTTGAGTGAAACGACCCTTTAATACGTCCTCCTAATAAACTGTTTTCACACAGGCTACAACTGAGTAATCCCACATAAATACATGATTTACTTTAGCGTGTTCATTTCTGTAAAATGTGAAAACACGACACATGTTTTTACACACTTTCATCGGTATTTCCGTCCCAAACATTTTAGTGAAGGATGCCAGGAGGTCCATCTGCTACGGATCATTCTGTCATTTAGAAGTGGAGGCAGGAAGCAGGACGGCCGAATGCTGGTTCAACAAAGGATCTCGGTTATTTGGATATCATTCAAATAAACCTTCTGACTGCACAATATCTAATGCAAACAGTGAGCCAGACGGAGACCACAGAGGGGACATTTGGGAATCACCGCAGTTTATCCAAGATGCTATAAATGTCATGTGAAGGTGTCAAAAGGACGTCCTCCGATTCACAGAACGGTCCAATAAAACAAGGACTGCTCATCCCAGTGTGTGTGTGTGTGTGTGTGTGTGTGTGTGTGTGTGTGCGTGTGTGTGTGTGTGTGTGTGTGTGTTTCTTTCTTCAGTAGCTTTCTATATTTGCGTTAGCACACCTGTGTGCTCCAGACCAGCACACTAAAATATCTGCTCCTTTAATGGAGGACATAGTAATCAGTTAATCAATATGTTTGATTATGTTGATATAAAAGAAGATTTTTCTGTTAAATTTTGTACTTTGTTTTTACTTATTTATTTATTTATGATGATAAACGATAAATGACTCGCACTTGTATAGCGCCTCTCAGAGTAAGGACTCAAAAGCGCTTTACACTACATGTGTATCATTCATCCATTCACACACTCATTCGCACACAGCTGCCCTGCGGCGCGCTGACAGAGGCGAGGCTGCGGAGCACAGGAGCCACCGATCCCTCCGACCACCACCAGCAGGCAATGGGTTAAGTGTCTTGCCTAAGGACACAACAGCAGAATTCTCTGTCCAGAGCCGGGATCAAACCTGCAACCTTCCGATTACTGGACAACCCCGCTCAGCCTGTTGAGCTACTGCTGCCATCTGTTTATTTATTTGTGTGTTCCAGCTTTTTTCTTTAATAAACAACACTGGTGGAGTTTGTTGTGTTAGATGAGGTACCAAATAGAAAGTGTTGCCTATGATTCATAGCTTTATATCATTACATTTAGCTCATTTTGTCTTTAAAAGTGAAAATGTGAAAATCACAATTTAACCATAAGAATCACAATGATGTGTCTGAATGCTTTCCACACAAATACCCCAAATTCATTTTAAATTCATAAAGTTTAATCCAAATGTTTAGAATATTATCCATTTGTAAATGTTACTTTTTAAACATATAGAATAAAATCTAAATTTTTTTATGTTGAATCTAAAACATTTTATATAAAGTAAAGGTGTGTTATCTGAGAATTAAGAATGACATCTTGTGGTCAAGTTTGGTTACTGCATCCCATTTTATAAACCAAGGAGTCATGCATTTATAAGTAGATAAACACATGTCTCTGTAATAATTAATTGTTGGTAATTGAAAAGTAGCTTGAAATATTTTTGAGCTAACTATTTGTTTCTAATTCCTTGTTAGCATTGTTAGCTCAAAGTTAGCCTCCAGTATTCTTTACTGATACTAGAATAAAAATAAAAGATGCTGTGACTTCTCAGGGTACAAGAAACAACTTCTGGGTCACTCCTGTTTACTGGCTTAAGATCTTTACAAAACACCACGACATTAATAATATTTATATTATTGTTGTTTGTTGTTTTGAAATTCTAAAATCGTAGCCTTTTCGTTCATGTAGTAAAAATGTGACAATCATAACTTTGTTTGCACTAAAATGTGAGTTATGCAGTTGAACTTCGTAAATGCACACTTCACTGATCACTTAGTGGTCACGCGCAAATACTCAAAAGACGACATTTGGGCTCAAAGTCAAAATTAATCCACGTGTCTCTGGTTTGGGGCATTACGTAATCCATGATCCTCCACTGAAATAATAAATGACACCTTTGTTGGCTCAAAGGGCGCTCTCCGTTTGCGCGCGCGCGCGCGTCTAAACTCTTTCCAAATGTCCGACATGATAATGTCCTCCATCCTGGCGTGAAGATGATGTTTTTTATTTCCTTCTTCTATTTTTTCTTGAGTGTCGCACAGCTGCTGCTTCTTTAAGAAGCCATCGCCCACCTCCTGTCCTGTATTTTTAGCTGAGCCAGCGACTGGATTTGCCGGATAAGACGGACAGTTGTGCACCGTCTGATCGCGCTGAATCGTTTTGATTGATGACATCAAATCACATCCTGTGGATCCGCCGTGGGCATGCAGCCAGATGTTCCCTGGAAACCTCACATGAGGCAGACATCAGTCCAGCCGCTCTCGGATGCTGAAACGCGCAATCTCTCTCTCTCTCTCTCTCTCTCTCTCTCTCTCTCTCTCTCTCTCTCTCTCTCTCTCTCTCTCTCTCTCTCTCTCTCTCTCTCTCTCTCTCTCTCTCTCTCTCTCTCTCTCCCTCTCTCTGGATGTTTGATAACCATTATGAAACGCGATGCTGCGCTGGGTTTTGGAAATGAGGCGCAGTGATTTAGACACCAAATGAATTGACGAGAGACCAATCCCGCGTCCAAATCTTCCTGCGGTGTGGAAGACCTTTCTCCTCGGTCCTCTTCTTCCTCTTTTCTCGGACTGGGGATCAGGATAAACCTTCAAGACGGAGGGGGTAGTGGAGCATCGAGGGAAAAACAGGGGCAACATGCGAGAGCGGGACTTCATGCCCAATATGGAGAGAGGCAAACCTGCTACTTACACGGGGGACAAAAAGGCTAAAATGGCTGCGAAGACTAATAAGAAGTGGGTGAGACTTGCCACTGTTTTTGCATATGTGTTATCAGTGTCCTTAGCAGCCATCATCCTGGCTATTTACTACAGCCTGATCTGGAAACCCACGAGCGCATCCTCTTCTTCTGGGAAGCCAGTGGGGCCCGAGGAGGTCTCCCCCACCGCAAACATCTCAATTAACGCCACGGTTCCCACAAACAGCACAGTCCCAGAGTGGAACTCTACACAGACAAGGATACTATCTGTGAACCAGAGCTGGCTGGGCGCAGCCCCGCACAGCCGGGCGTTTCAGTGGGACGACAGCGCGGAACGAGGGTCTGTCTCCGCGCGCGCCGCAGCCACGGAAAGTGCGCACTCTCCGCAGGATCAAGGACTCTACACATCCCCCCACGGTCACACGGAGAGATCAGACACTTTGGATAGTGAGGCGTTTACGTCTCAATCAAGAGTAAGCCACCAGTCAAGCACCAGAGAAGCTGTCACTCAGCAGGAGGAGGAGAGGGGAGAGGATGCAGGGACTGAGGAGCCGGAGCTGGATGCTGCTGCTCCTCTCCCTCCGACTTAGATCTGACCCGAGAGGAGGCTGATCGGGCCTCTTCAACCTTAAAAACAGAATGTTTTTACATTCTCAGAGCCGCAGGTCGGATTAACTCATGTTTGCGGATGGATGAAACAGGAGAGCTCCTCTCTTCAAAGATCACTGTTTCCCCTTATTTTAGGACATCTGTTTGCCTTAAATCAGTTCGTGTCTATTTTTGCCTCAGACACCCCTTTTGAAGCCACTTAAAGGATTAAATATGGATATTTTACTAAAAAGTAACAGAACAAGGGCCAAATATTGTTTTTCTCACATATACAGCTTAAAATCACTGCCATGTATCAGCTGGGTTGAAGTCGTTTAGCATTTTCAACCAGTTTATTTTTCATTGATGGATCAAACCCTGGATTATTATTATTATTATTCTGCATTATTAAGTTATGCTCAGGTACAGTATGTTTATATATCCATGTAAATGTCATGTGTATTTGGTTGTGTACATAGAAGACTGGCATACATTTTGGCCTTGATTAACTTTTAGTGGACTTAGGTGATTTTTATTAAAGCTACAGTATGTATAATAGATATTATTATATCACAACGTCCAAATAAACATCCTTATAGAAAATGATTCATGCTTTTCTGTCAGATTGGGAGTATAGTTTTCTTAATCCGAGCCAAACCAGGGGACATGTTTCAGATTTTTCCCAAAAAAAACAAAGATTTAAAAATGGACAAGAGCTAAATGACTCAGTTCAGAGCGTTACAATGAGCATTGATTGTGGCGAAGGCGTACAACAGAGAGAAGAGCAGTGCCAGTGCAGAAAGATTTACCTTGGGATGGTTTCTGCAAACCTGCAAATGTTTCTTTATTTTAGTGGGGGGGGGGGGGGGGGGCTTTTAAATTCCCACAGGTGTCTGAGCATCTCCAGACGCTGTCGCTCACACTTGAACCACTTCATACGAACACTCGAGTGAACTGAGGAGGGGAAATAAAACCAGCAGCCGTCCGCTCAGCACCATGTGAGGAAGGCTTATTGATTTGAGTGTGAGTGTGTGTATGTGTGTGTTTTGTTGCGCTGTTGAACATTACACAATTGGTGCTATTTTAATTCAGCTCTCTGTAAAAAACGAGCTGCTCGGCTTGAAAGGTTTGGGTTCTTTGCTGCCAATGACAACCGGACTCAGGAAATGAAATCACTTGATTTCCGCCTCACTTTGATGTAGACAGGGACATGCAGGGAAACGAGCCAGCGTGTCTGCTGGGCAGCAAACAGGAAGTCCATTCATCAGAGCAAAATAATAAACACAACAGCTACTTCCTTTTGTGATGCGTTAACCTGTTGAAGCTGGAGGCTACATCTGAGTCAGAGCACGGATGACCTGAGAGCGTTTGAAGTCGTTCGCCTGAGCTAATGATTTTATTATCTCATGTTAAATGAGTGAGATTTGTTTTTCTTGTAGGTAAGAAAAAAACAAGTAAAATCTAATACTATGAGTTCTTTTTACCTTTAAATAAAAACCGTGGAAATTTGGAAAAGGCAAGTGAACAAATCACTAAGTTTTTGTATTTCTTGACTTAAACAGTAGGAAAAAAATGTTTTTGAAAGAAAACAAAAGCTTTTCAGTTTGGATTTTTCTTCATTTATTGTTTAATTTAGGGTATTTTTGTTTGTTTGTTTGTTGGGAATGGAGAGATTTCCTCTGCTTTTAAGTCAAAGTCCAAAAGAAATGTCCTCCTAGACAACAGCAGTTTCCACATGCATTTCAGAGTTCCTGTAGTGAATTATTACAAATACATGTGTTTACCTACTTGAAAACCACATTTCCTGATGTCTAAAGGGGACATGTTATACAAAACTCACCTTTTGCATCCTTTTGTTCTACCATGTGGGTCACTACTGACGCTATAAACACTCCACTCGCCCCTTTCTGTCAATGTTGGGATTTAGAAAGGATGTGCCTAAAACGAGCTGTTTCAAAAAGTTCCAATTTGTGATGTCACAAACAGGGAAATTAAACTAGAACCACTTCTCACCTGCAGAGAACCGCTGCTGCTGGAGGAGGAGCAGCTCTACTCTGAGCCCCTCCCAAATGTCTAAGCTTCTCAGCTCATATTGGGGGGGGGGGGGGCGTGGCCAGCTCCAGTCTGTTTTCTCAAAGTGACCTCAAATGTCTCATTCTGGAAGGTACTGAAAATATCAAGAATAAAACCAGTGCTTTATGGGAGAACGATTTAGTGCTTGAACATGTTTTGTATCGGCCACAGAACTATTGTCACTGAAGAAAGAAGTGAATTTTTAAGATCTGATCCTTTTTAACCATTTCACTGTCACCCTGTAGACATTTTGCTTCTCTGCTGGACACTTTTGCTTTCTCCTCTTGCAGACAAGGATGGAAGTGATGTGTTCTTGTCTTAGATCCCAGAAACAAGATAAACGTTTAGACTCTCTGCAGATAAAAAGCAAAACTGCAGGCCTAGTGGTAAACTTCGGTTAGATGACTCTGGGCTGATCTCAGATCAGCGTAGCTGCAGCTTGGAAGGAGAAAGAGGAGGTAGAGAGAGTACGAGCGTCTGAGGAGGCGTGGTTGTTACATCGAGAACCGAGACAAGATCAGGAGGGATGACGCACATGCTCAGTGGGGACAGATGACCTGTCAGGTTCTGTCAAGGTCACGGGTCCAGGCCAGCTCAGAACTCACCTCCATCTACCAGCTGCACTGACACACTCAGCCTGTCTCCGTTACCTCACAGACCCAGTCGGGGGAAAGTAGGTTTCACTGCTAAAGCTAGACTTTATTGTTTTGGAGGAAATTAGCTCATCTTTGCTGCATGTGGGAATTAAGATAAACTAAATGACATCACAAATGTATAGCCGGAGCATGCAGCCAGGCAGCTCTGGAATAAAATAAGAATAAGACAGCAGTTCCTCCCGGCCTACACTCACTAACACAACAAACCAGGTTTTTTTCTGAGGGGTTCGGGCATTTTGGGTTTACTTTTCTACTGTTAGCTAATTCTGGGTTCCCAGAAAGAGGTGACCTAATGCTAGATGACACAGGCATCCCCCCCACTGAAGGGTCCAATCTTTGTCTGTTCTGACAGAGATCCCGTGTGACTGTGCTAGAACCGAACCAGTACTATATGACCATTACCAGTGATCCTTTATTAAAAGTTTAAATGTTTTTATTGTTCTGGTGGGTGTTCTATCATGTGTTCCGACGCAGAGCGTCCTGACTAAAGTTACAGGAAGAGGATATTGGGGACAGAAGAGGTCCTAGTCCTTTCAGTTCAGCTTCTACAAAAGTTTTCTTTTACTGGGGTTTTCAGTTATGAGGCACGTATTAACGTGTGCTTTAGGAAACAGCTCAGCAGATAAATGTCAGGGGAAAAGGGTTTTGGTGCCTTTATTTTGGAGGGCTCCTGCAAAGGTAACATTGAAATGTGCTCATTTTCACGTTGTTTTTTGCTTTTTTATGAATTAGTATTGGTAATGGTGTCTTTTGAAGCCATTTAAAAATGGTGCGTGTGTGTGTGTGTGTGTGTGTGTGTGTGTGTGTGTGTGTGTGTGTGTGTGTGTGTGTGTGTGTGTCCAAATCATAGTTTTATCATTTGTGCGTCAACCCAAAAATCGCACTGCTAAGCACATTTGTCCATCCATTTTCTGAACCTGCTTGTCCACGTAGGGTCGCGCTGTTGGGGGTGGGGGGGGGGGGGGGGGGGGCTGGTGCCTATCTCCAGCGGTCAGTGGGCAATCAGGCGGGGTACACAAAGGTGTCGGCATTTTACATTATTTGTCTAAAACAACATTTGCTTACACTGAAAAGTTATTTTAAATATGATCAAATATTCTGCAGTGGGATAAGAAAATGTTTGGCCAGAATTCTTAAAACTAACAAGGCACACGGCATATAGATTCATTTGTTAATTTTGAGCCAGGTAGCTTTTCCTTTTCCCTGGAAGATTTATTTTTACTCTAAACAAGATCTTTTGATCATATTAAGGAAAGTTTACCTTACTTCAACTAGTGCTGTTTTTGCAGTGTAAGAACATGTTTTCATTTTAGACCAATAAGATCAAATGTCTATAAAAGCAAGGCTCTTTCACTTTCTTGAAAATCAATTTTTGCAGTGCGTCGTTGTAACTAAAGCAGGATACGCTGAAGAAAATAGACCTCTGTAAAAATTAGACTTTAAGATGTTAAAAACTAAAAGCAGAGCTCTTTATTCTGCTGAAAATCAGGATTATTTTGTATATTTACTGCTGAGTGCAGCTCACATAATCCTACACTGCACTTCAGTCCTCTAGAGCAGCCTACAGGGCTTATTTCCATAACAGCAACACCCCCACTGCAGCGTCAAACTCAAAAATCATTAGCTTTGCACCAAAGTGAGAAATTTTTACAGAGATCATCAACAATCAGGTTTACACTGAAATTAAAGCTGTTGTTTTTTTTAAAGGAGTGCAGAACGCGAGCCCAGAAGGCTGCGTTGGAGATCACCTTGGGAGAAGATAATTAAAACAGTGGCACCTGGGGGACGTCCCACCTGTTTTAACCGCCCTGCAGAGAGCTCGTTTACACGAATCAGCTCCAACCAAGACAGATTCTTCAGCTCGTGTCATCATTTCTCTCTGAGACTTTTATTTCACCTTAAATAAAATGATTTTCTAAAGTTGGGCAACAAAAACAATCAGACTCTGAGATGCAGAACAAACCTTTATTGATGCGGTCTGATTCCTCAGACTTGACCTACAGTGAATGGAGCAGCACAACGCTGACACACTCGTAGATTTCACACGCAGGTGAAACAAAACTATCACCTCCTACAGCTTGCACGGATGTGTTACATCTAACTAATCTATGACGGCATGCAACACTGAATCCCACAGGGAGTTTAAAGGTGACAAAGGTCACCTGTTTATCTAACAGATGCTACCTTTTTCATCTACCCAAGGCCCGCATCCGTTTCCTGGTGAACGGACCGTATCCAAACGTTGTGCCCTAATCCTCGCGTTTCCTTCTTTTTTGCTGATGATTTGTTTTTTATGTAACCTCCACACACATCTGTGTTCTCCACTCGGCGTTACATAACCGTTTACGATGCCGCAGCTCCGACGAAAGCCACAAACGCATCTGAGAACAGAGTTCTTGTAAGGCTTCTTATCGTTAAAAAGAAGGAAAATACAGCAAAACTAGCAATAAATAAAAACTCAAACAGAGAAACAGCAACATTCTGCACGTCTGCCCATAAGGCAAATAAATAAAATGGTGCACGCTGTTGCACTGTCACCACAGTGCATGTAATCGTCATGATACAAGCCATGAAATTGAAAGGCATCTTCATTAAAGGAAGATAATGATAAGCAAGGCACAACGATTGGGTGTTTCTTCAAGAAAATATGCTTTTTTTAGCTGTTTTTGTGGTTATGAGAAAAAAACAGGAGAATTCCAGATAAATCCCAGTGTTTGGACTGGGAATTCATCAACCATTGTTGTCTTCTGATTGTTTACTCGACCTGAAAAGACACGTTGCATCACGCCTAAACTTCACACAGCTTGTAACGAAGGCTCTTCTCTATAAAATCAGATCAACTTTGTTACACAGCTGAGTTTTTGCTTCATTCGATGCAGAAAGGTAGAAAAAGTAGTTTAACTTCCCCAGCAAAACAAACCAAGGCAACTTCTTAGTTTAACCACTGAAGTTTCCAGTCAGCGCACTCTACTGAAGAAACAAATGAGCTAAAAATGCACTTATGGTAATTTATTTTGATTTGATCAAAAATGACCAAAAGTTGTCGATTTAAGCTTCCACCTTTTAAAAAACTGGAGTTAAGATACATTTTTCTTTAGTTTCTTAGAACAGAAATTGAGTTACTTCCAGCGTTTTGCCACCTGTGTCCAAAATAGCTGAAATGAGCTTCATATGCTAAAAAATAGATCTCCTATGCAACTGGTCTGGTCAGTTTCTTGCTCCAAATATGTGCATTACCAAAAAAATATGTTAAATTATAATAATTTTGTTCAGAAAAAGCAGATTAAAAAAATCAGTCAGTTTTCAGGCAATTCATTCAGATTCTACTTAAATTAAATACAAAGTTTGCTCAAAAGAAGCAGAATCAGGCACTAAATAATCCGACTGTGGCTTTGTTTATTACAACGGGCACTCCTGATATGTGCCTTAAAATCTTCCTACAAATGTAAACATTCAATCATATTGCACTCAGGCAACAACGTTCCCCAAAAAAAGTGTCAAAACAGTCCTGCGTAAAGTGCTTCGGTGTGATCAGTGTTGCCCGATTCACGTGTCAGACTCAGGAAGGACACACTGCAGCAAACGAAACAAACGGCTCTGCTCTGGAAGCTGCAAAAGCATCCAAAGTGTTCGATATTTATATTCCAGAAGGTCAAACGATCTTCCCGTGCTCTCTTGCCTGCAAAATACAAGTGAGAAAACACGTGAAATGACTAATTTCATCTGTATTTTCTCATATTTATGTAACTCAGGCCCACTCTATATGAATGGTGAGGTGGGCGGTTATTGTGTGTGTCCTGGTGGAGATGAAGAGGTTTTATCTGCACTCCATCAGGCTTCAGAGGTGATGACTATACTGGGATCAAAGCTGCAGCTCTGATACATTTCAAATCTCTCCTCATCCATTCCCATCCACTCTATTAACCCCCTCCACACGTCTCCGTGACCCCGGACTGACCTTGTCGCTGCTGGCGGAGTGAGTTGGGTGTGTTTCTCCTGACTCCATCCTCAGGACAGACAAACTGGAGTCCCTCAGCTCTTCTATAAAATAAAACACCATGAGCTCATTTACAGCTAATGGCATCGTTTTGTTCTGAAAGCTGTAGCACACCTGTGTTTGGTCTGCTGCTGTTGCATTTGGACACCTCCACGGGCTGCACCAAGCTCTCGTGCAAGCAGGCACAGGGTTTATTAGTGGGAGGGGCGTTGCTGTTTGCTTGAATTTTCTCTGTTTCTTGCTTCTGGACAACAGGAGGAGCAGAACGACCTCCACCTTTATCCTGAGAACTACCATAGTCCTGCTTGGCACTTTCAGAAGGCTTCGATCCATGCTGGTTCTTTTTGGGTGAGGATGCTTTGAAGGGGCCTTTGGAGTCTGCAGAATCCAGAGAGCTTTGCTTAGCCGCAGCCGCCTGGATGAGATCCTCAGAGAAACGTACCTTCTTCTCCACACCTCGAGATGGAGAGGACTCTGCTTTCTTCTGAGTGACGTTTTCCTCTCTCAGACCATCAGAAACACTGACTTCTCCAGCTGCACTCTCTGGATCCGGCTTTGCTTTGGAGCCCTGATCCTTCAGATCCTGTTTGTTAGCGTCTGTGAGAGCATCACGTTCCTCAAGGAATTCCTCCAGGGTTGTATCAGACGTCTACGAGACAAGATGTTCTTATTTATGGGCTGCTTGAATCTGTGCTGCTTATGCTCATCCTTAATTTGAGCTCACCTGTTGGTTTTCTCCATCATCGTTGTCCTGCCATCTGAAAAATTAATAGTTTAATCTATAAATGTTGGTAAAAATTTGGAAATCAAGTTCAAAATGCAAATTAAAGCTCTCATTCTATTGCTTTTTCATCACATTTGCAGTGGTCTCTAGTATAATTGAATGCCTTGTGAGTCAATTTCTGTGGGGGAAATAAAGCTCCGGCGCTGCTGTTTCGGGGGGGACAGAAAACATCAAGATTTAGATATCTCGCCTCTGATTGGCTAACATCAACGTGACTCCACCACCGACTCTGCAACGTTGGTTTTATTTCCACAAATAACACAAGCCTGAAGGAGTTCTGCTGTGTGGTGGAGTTGCTAATGCAAACGTTAGCTTCTCCTAGCCGATAAGTGCTCTGCTCTCTCCTGAAAGCTAATTCAATAACTGTCTTCGCCGTCGCGAGCCAAGATGAATGTGTCCATGAATGCTAATTTCCCCGCCTATTTTCTTTTAGCGGCTAATGAAGGAAATAGGGGTAGGAGACATTTTTCACATTTAGCCTGCATGTTAAACTCAGAGTGACCGATCGCATTTAAAAACAAGTAAAAACTGGTTCTCAGTGAACTTGCTCTTCAAACTTTTGAATCAGGGTTGCACCACAAGCAAACAGAACATTGTCTCTCGTCGTCGTCTTCCTCCGCTTATCCGGGTCCGGGTCCGGGTCGCGGGGCGGCATCCCAACTAGGGAGCTCCAGACCGTCCTCTCCCCGGCCACCTCCACCAGCTCCTCCGGCAGGACCCCAAGGCGATCCCGGACCAGATTGGAGATGTAACCTCTCCAACGTGTCCTGGGTCGACCCGGGGGCCTCCTGCCGGCAGGACATGCTCGAAACACCTCCCCAGGGAGGCGTCCAGGAGGCATCCTGACCAGATGCCCAAACCACCTCAACTGACTCCTTTCGATCAGGAGGAGCAGCAGTTCTACTCCGAGTCCCTCCCGAATGTCCGAGCTCCTCACCCTATCTCTAAGGCTGAGCCTGGCCACCCTACGGAGGGAACTGATTTTGGCCGCTTGTATCCGCAATCTCGTTCTTTCTGTCATTACCCAAAGCTCATGACCACAGGTGAGGATTGGGACGTAGATCGACCAATAAATCGAGAGCCTGGCTTTCTGGCTCAGCTCCCTCTTCACCGTGAATGATCGGCTCAGCGTCCGCATCACTGCAGACGCCGAACCAATCCGCCTGTTGATCTCCCGATCCCTCCTTCCCTCACTCGTGAACAAGACCCAGAGATACTTAAAGTCCTCCACTTGAGGTAGGACCTCTCTCCCGACCCGGAGTTGGCAAGCCACCTTTTTCCGGTCGAGAACCATGGTCTCAGATTTGGAGGTGCTGATCCTCATCCCAGCCGCTTCACACTCGGCCGCGAACCTACCCAGCAAGAGCTGAAGGTCAGAGCTGGATGGAGCTAGGAGGACCACATCATCCGCAAAAAGCAGAGATGAGATTCTCCGCCACTAAACTCGACATACTCCACACCACGGCTGCGCCTAGAAATTCTGTCCATAAAGGTAATGAACAGAACCGGTGACAAAGGGCAGCCCTGGCAGAGTCCAACCCTCACCGGGAACAGGTCCGACTTACTACCGGCTATGCGGACCAAACTCACGCTCCTCTGGTAAAGGGACTGAATGGCTCTTAACAGAAAGCGTCCCACCCAATACTTCTGGAGCGTCCCCCACAGGGTGCCCCTGGGGACACGGTCATAAGCCTTCTCCAAATCCACAAAACACATGTGGATTGGTTGGGCAAACTCCCATGCCCCCTCCATCACCCTTGCAAGGGTACAGAGCTGGTCCACAGTTCCACGGCCAGGACGAAAACCACATTGCTCCTCCTCAATCTGAGATTCAACTATCGATCGGACCCTCCTCAGAACATTGTTTATTTTCTTATAATTGCAATATCTTAATTTAATTTACTGGAAGTGCTTTTAAATTTGCTTCTCAGCCACATAAATGTCCACGACCACAAAAAGCGATCGGGAGACCGCTGGGAGCAATCCAAACATCCATTTCCGACCTGGATAAGTGGGAAGGAGGAGCTGTGATTAGAGATATCGACAGAAACTTTCTCAGTCACAGTTGTTCTTGTGATGTTTAAATCCCCTGAGGACACACCTCAGCTTCTCTGGCCTCCACCTTCTGCTCCCTTAGGCATGACCATGGACGTAAATTTCACTTTAGAAGTGGGGGGGACACGGGGGTGGGGGCGGGGTGGTATCTTTACAGTATGTTCTAATGGGAAACAGGCTTCAACACAAACGGTTGTTTTCTGCTTGTTCCTACAGCTCAACCAGTGTCAATTTAATATAAAGTAATATTGTTTTTGGATGGTAAAAAGCGCAGGGGTCAAAACTTGACTTTGGAAAAAGTGGGGGGGACATGTCCCCCCTGTCCCCCCCCAAAATTACGTCCATGGGCATGACGACAGAGAACAGTTAAGACTTCTAAATGGAACGCGTTGCTTCACTTCCTGCTATCCTCCGGCTACATTTGTGCTCACAACGAGCGTGGAAAAGCTAGAGAGGAGATGCTGGTGCAAACGCTGCCTTACGGGGTTATTTAACCAGCTGCAACAACTAAATCGAGTGTGGTGGCAGATGTGTGCACAAGGGCACAGTTCAGGAAAACTAAAAGGCCTTCCCACATCCTATTTATGTGTCTTAGTGGTTAATTCTCTCGTGGCAGCTGATGCGAGAGGCATCCCCGACAGTTGGAAGGAGTTAAATGAAGATTGCTGGTTGCCACCAACCTCCTGGCCCTCCCGGTCAGGCGATCTTTGCCTTTTGCTTTGCTGCTCATCACAAGCACATTCTTAGCTGCCTTGTCTTTGCCTCGTCTGCCATGACCTGAAACAGAAAGATTTGATCATTTCTAATCGTTTGGATAATCTACGACAATCAGTAAAAGATTTTCTGATACCTTTAGAGTCACTTCCTGCCTTTTGCTGCCCTCTCTTTACACTCCGTCCCCCTGAAACATAATTAAAACATCTTTTTTACTTTAAGTAGAGGACTATCTTCCTCCTCGCGTTTGATCGTGGTTCACCTCTGCTCGAAGGCCCCCAGTCTCTAGCAGGAAGACATTTGTCTGAAAACCTGGAAGCAGAAAGGCTCGGTTCAGACAAAGTGAGCACATCTCCAGATGATTCATCACTTCCAGCTCAGCTAAAGGCCACAAACAGGATGCTCCCATGTTTCAGTTCATCTCAAGACATGAATTAAATAAGCGGCAGGACCATTTAGTCGCACACGTTATGGTTTGCATTCACTGAGAGCATCTATTGGTGGAACAAAAGCCCCATTTCCGCCTGCATTCATGCTCGGGGCCGTTTGTTTAAGCTTCTCCAAATAAGGCAAACTATTCCATCCCTTATCCCTTCGGCTATAAATAGCAGGTCCTCCCTTGTCTCTTTACATTTTGATGCTTCTTAAAACAGCTTGATAAGGGACTCTTGGTGCTGCATCGTGTTTGTTTAAAATCCACCAGATCAGATGTATTTTTGCCTGCAGTCAGTTTGGGGTGCTGTTGTGTGATTTCACAGCGATGGGACAAAAAAATACAATATTTATAGGAAATAATTCTTCGTTCTTCTGATTTTGTAGCAAAACCTTGTGTTTAAATTGTTTGTCTAATACTTACGACTCAGATTTGATCAATTTATACAAAATATGTTTTTTTTTTCCAGTTTAGAACTGAAGCAAAAACTAAATTAGTTGTTTTATGAGGATTGTTATAAAGCACAGAAGAGGTGGAGCTACTTTAGTGTAATCAAGGCAGCAAAGATGAAGGAGTTTAAATATGTGGGACGATTTCTTGAGAAGTTAGTTTGAAACAACACAAACCAGGAGGAGCTCCGGCACAGGACAATTAAGAGGTTGCCTACATGCTCTCTGTTTTGTCCACGTCCCACGCCCGTCTCCACTGGCCCTTATCGTTTTTGTGTCGCGCCACCCTCTCCCTGTCGATCTGTTCACGCTCCTTCTTCCACCGCAGGTACTCCTCCTGCTCCTCCCGGGACGTCGGGACGTTGAGGTCTGCGAGGGTCTGCAGGTTCTCCGACTCCTACTTGGACACAAAGCGCCTCCTTTAATGCGTAAAAATGTTAAAAACACAGAATCGTTTATGAAATGCATTTTGAAGCACAAACAAAGGGTCCAAGTTCACATCAAACTCAGATAAGATGACAAACGTTTTTTATTTTTATGAATTTATGTTCCTGATTTAAGATTGAACCAAAAAAACAAACATTTTACGCATCTTCTTGAATTCAAACCATAATAAAAAGAAATAAAAAACTAAAAAGATGTCCTTCCCTTGACTCAGACTGTAACACACAATGCTGGAGATAATTTCCCTTCATGTTTGGACCAATCACAGCCAAGTAAACACGTTGCCTTTCTGCATACTGTTAGTGGAGAACACAGCATCTGTGCTCATCCCTCTGTTTGTCGTTTTTCTCTCCACCTCCCTGATCTGCAGCCCCCAGAGGACCTCCAGGGTCACACGGGAAGTCATTCTCACATGTTCCAACAGGCCAGCCCCGGCTGCCGCCCAGGCCGCTAATTAAAACTCATCATTTCCTTCATTTGTTGGAAATTGCCAGGAGCTGAGACAGGTAGATGTGGACGAATGATGCAGATCTGCACTAAAATATCATCAAACCAAACACGTTTAGAGAAGACCTGCAAACTAAAACTCTTCTGACTTTTATCTCCTAGAAAAAATGCTCAAATAAAACAAAAGAGAAACAAATGACTGCGCCTGGACTGCGGAGCAGCAAAGGCAAACAGAACAGAATAACCTGTCTGTGGTGAATCTATTTTGTGCCTTTGAAGCCTCTCCTCCCTGCCTCCCCAGTCGGCCTGTTTATCACACGCCTGATCTGTGAGACAGCTCTGAGCGGCGGTAACACGCGAGCTGGCGGGATGCAGATGGGAAAAACAACTGGAAAAGGGGAGCGTGCATGACAACGCGTTGGGGAGGGAGGGGGGGGGGGGGGGGGGGGGGCTGCACATGTATGGAGAGTGATCTAAGCCTAACCAGACGTGAGACTTCACCGTCACGTGGCTTTTCTCAAACCTGAGAGATCTAAGTGTAGATTTGTGCATTTAACCTGTCGTTATTTTACCTGACACTGCTCTGGCGCCTCACTCTGCTCCTCAGTGGGCCTCTGACCTTGGTTGACCTCCTCCTGTCAGAGGAAAGAGAGAGAATGAGAAAAAATACGAGCACAACGAAAGGATGACACAGCAAATGACTGTAAAGAGTCACATCTGTGCTGCTATAAGCAATTAAATAAGGCCATGGGAGGACATAAACTCTTCTTTTAGAGAAAACTGAGAGTCCTCCGCTGCCCTCAGGTGGTTCAGGAGTGTAACAGCATGGCTGCAGACTTAATTATCCACACTAAAAAGGCTGATGTTGACTTGTAAAATCAAATGTACCTCATCACAGGTATATAATTAGACTGTGTCTGACTAAAAACATCTGGAGTGCAAATTAGTGTGTCGTGTTGCCATCAGAAGCAAAACGTGAAAACTGCAAAGAGAAAAATGTCAATTAAGGCAGATTGGTCTGGCACGAAGTCCATCTCCAGATGCAGTCACAGCCCGTAAAGAGCTTGGACGTCCTCCTGTCTGTCCCCTAACACATTCCTGGCAGCGTGCCAGCTTGTCTTGGGCAGCATAATGAGGCTTTTCATAGCAAGGAGGCAGTTGAATGTTAATTAGATCAAATCAGCCCTTTCAGAGTAGCGCAGACCACTTAAAGTTTCAGAGAAGAGGCACGGAGACGGGAAACAGACAGACGGTTGGTGCAAGTCCCCCCTGACTCTTCCTCCCTTCTCACTCCTATTATTCCTCTCTCCATTCGCACGTCTTCACTCCCGTCTGTCTCTCCTGTCAGGGAGACTCAGACATGAAATCTAATTGGGACACACCCCGCAGACTCATGAGAAACAGACTTTAGGGGTGGGGGGGTGTCAGAATGAAGCTTACTTCAGGTGAAAAGATGCAGGATGTAAACACTGACCGTGTGGAGGCAAGGCCTCACACTGAGGGCAGGCTGCTGTTCAGATGCTGACTCAGTCCACGTGATAAATACAGGCACAGACCAAGTGGGCCAGAAATACGACAACGAAACAGAACGCTGTGTTCAGTCCCTGGATTTAGTGAAAAGTGACCCGGGGAGCAGCGCAGCCAATCGGAGGAGCGGACGCATATTTAGACACAGCTTTTATGTCTGTGTTTAGAGTTGCGAGGGACTGTTCTGCAGCGTACTGGCTCTAAAAGTGTGTGTGTGTGTGTGTGTGTGTGTGTGTGTGTGTGTGTGTGTGTGTGTGTGTGTGTGTGTGTGTGTGTGTGTGTGTGTGTGTGTGTGTGTGTGTGTGTGTGTGTGTGTGTGTGTTTTCAGGTTAGGGTCAGACCTTTTAGGTCTAGGGGACAAAACCACAAAGAGCAAAATAAATGTAGCTCACTTAATTTTTTTAACTCTTGGAAATTTGAAGTTTCAAGATGCATAAATCTGTGTCCAAAAACTAAATGACCCTTTAATGCTTGACATAATTAGATAATGTGACATTTTTATGTAACAATCATGATTTCTGTTGCAGCATTTTACTTTTAAATCAAATTCTGTGTATCACGTTCACAAATTGTCCTTTTTCATTAATATTTCTCATCAACGTCTATTCTAAATATTTCTGTTGGCTTGAAATTTTGAATGTTATTTTACATAACCTGTGGTCGACGCGCCATCTAGAAGTACCACAGCTGTTTAGGGACATAGGATGATATAATGCTCCGTGTTTCGCGTTTGCGCTTTGACGTGACAATCCTCTCTCTCTAAAAGTTGTGCGGGGATGGCGCCGGTTCTTTCTGTGGGAGCCTTGCTGGTTTGGGGAAACTCTGCTGCCACCCCTGGGTTGCTTGCCCTGCTCTAACTACATGTGATCGCTGGACTGAAAGCTGGAAGTCATTCATAACTGTGGCACGGCTGCAGGGGAGAGGGAGACGAGCACCTTTTGGATGCGCTGTAATACCTAATCTGAACTGTGTGGCGCTAATGAGTCAAATATTTTCACAAACTGGGGCAAAGTTTGCAGCAAGGTTGTTCACGAGTTGTAATTTCACTTTCAAACAGTAGGGGGAGAAGTGAGAAACTTACTATGTAGTTGTGTTTTTATCAGTATGCTGGGTTTGTTTCATGGTTCTGTGAACAAATTAAAATAATAATCGTGAGTCAGATTAAGACCAACAGCTGCGTTAGCAGGCCCCCTCTCCCTGACCCAACTGCAGTAAGTCAGCTTCAGTCCGCCTCCTTTCTGCGGTTTCATTGTGCTCTGACAGCGGCGGGGAAGGGCCAGCCGACATGTCTGACATCTATGTTAAACACATGGGGTGGACAAACAACGCCGGGGTGTGAGACAGCAGGGGTTGTAACCACTGAAGAGTTTAAATCCGACCTGTGCTGCTGCTGCTGCTGCTGCTGCTGCTGCTGATGATGATGATGATGATGATGATGATGATGATGATGATGATGTTTCTTTCCTGGTCGACTGAGACGTCTGCTTTCCTCGTCCTGTTGACTCCACACTCCTCATCTGTCCATCACATGCGGGACTCTTAAGATCTGAAGAACCCGGTCTCTTCTCTGCTCTCTCGCTCACCACCCTCTTACCCTGCAGAGACACTCATTTTAATTGCAAAGTAATAAAAATGACTTTTGTTTTTTGTTTGGGGGGAGGGGGTTAATCTCAAACTCTTTAGCAGAATTTGAAGAAATTATTCAAGATGGTGAAATGTAGTCATTTCTGGATTATTTTGACTTTCAGCTCAAACGTCTTGATAAAGTTTTATTTTGTGTTGACAATATTTTAGCAAAGTCAAAAAGTCACTCTGTAATGTTTCAGACCGGCAAACAAATTTTAGTCAAAGATGACCCGAGAAAATATAAAATGTGGTTTTTAAACGATTATTTCATTTATTAGGGTTGGGGAAAACAGTTAAACCACCCTGGTCCTGTAAAAGCAACAGTCCCCCGTGTTAAAACAGGAACTATTTGTGTTGATGAACCCATCAGACCTGAAGAATTAAAACATCATGTAATTAAAACCTGTCTGACAACAGGGAGTAGGCTAAACCATCTCAAAAGCAACACATCGTGCTCTCTTCTAAAGAAATTTAAAAAACAAATCAACCCAGAAGAATTGATCGTCTTTCTTGGTTATGGTTGAGGTCAGAGGTCATGATTCAACAGTAAGAAAGAGACAAGGGGGGACTCCATGGGAGCAGTGACGTCTCTGGCATTAAAAGTTAGGTGGCACAACTCAACAGTGCGCACACGTGCACGCTCGCGTGCACGCACACTCACAAAGCATCACTGTTGTTCGGTTCTTGCAGGCTGATCTTTCATCTTGAGAAACTTTTCAAAAACTCCTCAGTTAAAGTCCAACACTCCCAAAAGTTTAATCCAGCAATCCCCAACTGGTTTCCTCCAGTGTTCTCATCAACTCTCTTAACCGCCGCTCCGACCGCTACAGCCTCCGCTCCCTATTTTCACTTCCAACGCTGCCCTTTGATAATATTAGTTAAAGCTTTCTGGTTGAATCTCTAATTTTTGTTGAAGTGGCAACGTTTTCTTCATTATTTCTGTTGTTTCTTGTTAGCCAACCAGCAACACCACCACGGCTGCAGCCGCCCACAGAACAGAAACAGAAGCTCACGTGTGCTTTTCTCATCTATCGAATGGATGATCTGAGCTTGGGGCCGGAGTCTCTGGGCCCTACGGTTTACCACTGGGAATGAGTTGAGCATGCGCACTGTGACTTCAGATCTTCCTCGTTAAAAATGGACGCTGACGGGCCGGCACAACAACGGCCCCTTAACTTAGATAAACAAACACGCAAATGTTTTGAAGATAATCTTCTAGTGACAAAATGGGTTTTTATACAAGATTACTCTAAAACAAACCATTCTGTTCCACTGATTATTTTATGCAAGCATAGAGCTCCACAGCGCCATCTGGTGCCCCCCCCCCCCCCCCCCCGGCTTCTAATGCAGACGTCACGGCATGGGAGCCACAACCTGTCTCCCATTCAGATGAAAACATTTTGACCTCCAAGACATTTGGGAAAATATTCTGTGGACTCTTGAGACAAATGTAGAACTTTTTTAGGAGGTGTGTCTCATTACGTCATTTCAGAACAAGAACCAAGAGTCAAACACGGTGGTGGTAGCGTGATGGTCAGGGCTAGCTTTACTGTAGAACCATGAATGTAGGAGTTTGTCTGACCTTTGACCTTAAACAAGCCGCTCCTGCTGAAAGCCCCTTTTTAAATCAAGAGTGAGCTAGCAATCCTCCACACAGAGGCCCGTGACAGACTCATTAGCAGTTATCTCAGCCGCAGCTGAGTGTGTTACAACCAGTTCTTAGGTTTCGGGGTTCATTACTCCCTCACGTAGCATCAAGCTGGTTCGGATGGAATTTTTTAATCATTTTAAAACAAAATTTTGTAATTAATCAGTTTATTTTTATTCATATTTGTTTGCTGATCGTCAACATTAAGGCTGTACATTTCTCTTTAGATGGAAGAGGTGGGTTTACCTTTTTAGCTGTCATGGTGACAGTCAGCTGCTTCCTGTGGCCTCTCCCAGAACCCTGAACTGGACTCTCACCTACTCTGTCAGGCCTAGGCTCCTGTTGCCCTTTTTCAGGCGGAGAGCCACTGCTGAGAGGCTTCGTCACCACTACACGACCATCCTGCTCCAAATTGAGGTAAATTGCATTTCATGAGGCACGTATGTATTTTCCAGGATCATGAAGTAAAGCTTCTGATGGAGCTCACTTCTGTAGACTTGCTGATGGTGACGATGAGATCATCGGCTTTTCCCTTACTGCTCTGCAGTGCCATTCCTTCCACTTCTGCCTTTTTCTTGTCCTCTTCCACTTCCTGAATGTAGGAGAATAAAGTTTAATCAGGGGGCTTTTGAAACTTCAATTCTGAAAAAAACACAAGCTTCCCCACCCGCACACCCTGCTCACCCTCACCTTGTACCGCTTCATGAGCGCCTCGTTCTTCCTGCGGAGAGCCTCGATCTTCTTATCCAGCTCCAGATCTCTCTCGTGATCCCTCCTGGGCAGCATGTCACTGGTGGTCTGGGGAGACACGTCCAGCCGATAATCACACGGAGTTGCCTTGAACTATATGGAGGGCCAAACGTGCCATTGTCCAAACCATAAGTAATAAAAATGGAATGTTTTTATTACCAAAATAAAAGATTTTCTAAGCAACAGATATTTTTGTGCTCATGTGGAGCGTCCTGTGGGGCTAGTTAACACTACGGAAGCCCATTCATGCCACTGTAATTAAAAAAAGAAACATGATGTATTAAAACTAGTATTTCTGATGGGATTACCCCTTTTTTTAATAGCAGCACATATATTTTATTTGTTTGTTTGTTCGTTCGTTCGTGTAACAGCGGTGCGTTTGGCTCTTGTTGAATTTTTGCATCTCTGACTTTTCAGTCAAGACCTAAAAGTTGTACGATCATGTTCAAAATAACTTTGTGTCGGGTTATTATTATTTATGAGTTTGAAAAGTCAGAACAATGTGACTCAGTCATGATAATTAACCAGAAAAATGAAGTTGAGGCTCATATTTCAGACATCACATGTGACCTGTAGTCTTTTAGTTTGGCAAGAATGGGGTTCCATATTTCTCTATGTATTTGATATAGCACCTTCTAGAGTCCAGGAACCCCCCAAGGCGCTTCACAACACAATCAGTCATTCACCCATTCACACACACATTCACACACAGTTGGGGATGAGCTACGATGTAACCACAGCTGCCCTGGGACGCACTGACAGAGGCGAGGCTGCCGAGCACTGGCGCCACCGGTCCCTCCGACCACCACCAGCAGGCAACGTGGGTTAAGTGTCTTGCCCAAGGACACATCGACAGCGACAGACTGAGCGGGGCTCGAACCTGCAACCATCCGATCACGGGGCGAGCACTTAACTCCTGTGCCACCGTCGCCCCATAACATAAATGAGAACACCTCCATATAAAAGTGAGTTATTTAATATTCAGTTATTTATTTCTGGTGACCTGTCCACATAGAGCAGACTAATATTACATGTATGTAATTAACAAGTGTTTTAATTTCTCACTTTTGTCTATTAAAAACACATAATTACTTATCTAGGTACTCTTTTATTTATTTGACTTTGGCACTTTTGGCTTTTGATCCAATTTAGCAGTTTTGACTTTTTATTGAGGATGCAAAAAGCAGATGAAAAGGTTTAGCTAATTAAACATACATAAAAAACTGCTCAGTAAATTCATGAGATAAGGAGTAAATAAACCAAGCAAAGACAGCACTGAACCCTGTTCACTTAGAGACTAATCAGGGGCTCCACGCACTTCCAGCACAACACTGACGCGTCGTCACAGCCACCACAGATGGAGCATTCATCACCCAGCTCAGTTACACATATGCGGAGCATCCTAAACATCCCGGCCCAGTCAGCAGGGCACGCCTCCTCACACCACACGAGGCCCGAGACTAAAAAACCTCCATGTCCACTCGTGCAGCAGCAGCTACTGCTGTTCCTTACAAAAAGAGCCTCCATGTGACATCATGTGTTGTTTAGCTGAGAGACGCCGGGAATTTGCTCGACCGCTCACAGGCTGTCTGTGCAGAAGCATCAAATAGCTGCAAAACAATGACCTCACTTCCTTTGGTTCGCTGTAACTTAATATTCTCCCTCCAACCTGACCTCCGAGTTTAATATGTTTGGAAATATGATAAATAATCCACGTTATAGATTTCAAATGTTTTGCAAAGTTTGTCCAAATAATGTTTTTGTGCTGAATACTGATGCTATTATAAGGTTTTCTTTTCACTCATGAATTGATCTGTTGAAAGAAAAACGTAATGTAGCCGTATTATGACGCAGCCACCACCGTGCTTTAGTGCTTAACTCTGATTTTCATTATGATAAAAACTATCTGAACTCATTAATCCTTAAAAGCTCAGGTGAAGCAACCAGGTCAAAAAGGTCATTCAACAACCAAAATAAAGTGTTAAAAGAGTTTGAAGTATGTGCATTTTAGTAAAATTGAGATATATTACAGAATTACTTTGCAGTATCCTATTAATCACAAAAACGTGCACTGCTTGAAGTTTAACTACTTCTGTGTCTGACAGGTAATAAATCTTATGGGGAACTTTTCCTCTCTGAGATGTTAAATCTGAGGATTTGAAGCTGCAAAGATTTTTCTTTAGACCTAATTCTGAGAAATGTTTCAGCAATGGAGGAAAAACTGTTGGTGTTGGCTTGAAGTTGGAAAATTAATCGACAAGAAGATGAGTTTGTGACCCTTTCACGCTCCAGCTGTTGTCTCAAACACTAAAGAAAAGAACAGTTAAAGCTCCTGTTCTGGAGTTTGAAACGGCGCTGGCATCCTCTCTTGTTCTACGCAGCTCAGGAGGAGTGATAATAAGAAAAGCTGCCAGTTCTGCTTGTCTGATAGCTGTGAAAAAATAAACAAAATTCTCGCTGCAGGATGTTGGGTCATAGTGAGGGCTCTGAGGAAGCCAAAGTGAGTCAGTCATCCTCCAGCGTCCTACAGTCGAGGTTGTTTCTGTGAGATGAGGCTGAAACGGGCTGATGACTCGTTGTCACTATTTTTATTCTACATTACTGCAGTTGTTGTATCTGTGGATCTGGAACAATCAGACCTATCACGAGGAAAAAGTTTGGACTCACTCAGAGAGGCGGCGGGCAGCAAACGGTTACCTCACAGCAGCTCCTGGTTGTCAGGGGATCTAAACACAACACACCATGAGGACATACCACCAAGAATAGGCACGACAGAGCGCTTGACTCTCAGCAAGCCCAATGGCGGAGGAACCAAAAAGAAAGGAGTTTCTGCTGGTGGATGGCTCTGGTGCAGCAAAAATGACTGCACACAGATGGATCTGTCAGAGGACGGACGGCGCCTGTGCCTGGACAAGCGGGGAAAAGGAGAGGAAGGGTGGCCTGCAGTGGGAGCTGCCAGGCTCTCCTCCTACCAGCGTTCCTGTTTCCTCCAGGAGCAGCAGCAGCAGCAGAGAGAGAGGGGAGAGCTGCGTGTGGCTACACCTAAATCTGCGACAGAGCAGAGGGAACCGAACACCAGGGAGAGGAAAAGAGGGAACTCACGGGTCTTTCCATGTCAGGGATGGGAGCCGGGCCAGGTCCAGGAGCAGCAGGGCAGCCGAGGAGGCAGAGATGGCTGCCTCCCGTCCACGATCATGCCTCGATTACAACGAGCCAAGTTGGGCAAGCAGCCAAGATGTCTAACAGATGCACAGAGCTCCCCTGTTAACAGCACCCACCCAGCCCACCCGCCTGCCTGTCCTTCCTCGCTGTGACTCTCCAAACCTCCCCACCCTCCCACTTCTCTGCTCCGGCTCCCCCTCTAAAGCACTTGCTCCTTCCCCTCCTCACTCATCCTAGGAGCATGCAGCTTGAATCCTACTACTCTGGCCACACATCTGACACCAAAACACCACTAGAAACAGCTTTTCATGCTCCTGCAGGCAGAAGGCAGCATATCCACTCACTCACTCACAAACGTAGAGATGTTTTCAGTCATAAAAATGATTTTTAAAGCCGTTTGTTCTTTCTGTGAGGGATTGGACAGCAGAACTGAGCAATACAACAACTAATCAAGCAAATCAAGTGTTCTGTTTAGTAAAATCCTGTCATGGTTTTTCTTTTACTTTTGTATTTTGATATTTTATAAACTTTTGCTTTGAAATTATGCAACTTTAGACCAATATATGTTTTTTGTTTGATTTTTATACAGATTTAGGTTTTTCCGCCTTTGTTATCTCTTAAAAAAAACTAATCCTAATCCTGACATAATCTCACCAGCAAAAACACCCCTGTACCAAACTCAGTGTCTCATGTGCTGCTCATTTCCACAGAGGTTTCAGCAGCTGCTCCCTCCAGCTCCAGGCTACACGTTCCAAATACTAAACAGGCTTCCTAAAGACGGCAGAAGGGGGTCGCGGACAAAAGATTTCCCACAATTCATTATACGTGGCACGCTGCCTGTCGCCAGGTCTGAGAACTAAGGGACCATGGTGGGAAAATGGCCTGTGAAGATCTGCAGCAGCACAAAAATCAGTCACAAGTTCTCTCTGCACCAAAAGATTTTATTAAGCTGACTCGTATTGATGAAAATGACGTGTCAGCTCGAGTCCACATGTTGGATTTAGTTCAGGGTTAACGTTTTAAAATGATATTACCTGCAAACATGATGCCCGAACTTCACTTTTAATCCACAGTTTCAGCCTTGCAAACACAAAAGTAGTGAATCGTGTGTTTTATAATAGAAGATTATATTCGTGGGACGTCGTTGAGAACCAGAGAAGTCCTTGAAAGACCTCTGACAGTTTTGAACAGACTCTGATTCAAGGCCACAGTTTGATTCTGCCTCCAGCTGGGTATTGTGTGGCTTTTAGGCGTAATTGCTCCTCAATTTGAGGTCATTTTTGATCCTTTAACGACTGTTTCTGTGTGATTTTGGTCATTTTTCAGCTCATTTTGAACTAAGTTGGGTTTCATTTACTGACAACGGTTTTGATTTATGCATGTCTGCGTGCATCTGATTTTAGTCTCAGTTCGGTCATTTTTCATCTGTTTTAAAAAAAGATGATCACTATTTATTGTTTCCCTGCGAGTCTGCATGCAGCATTTGCTAATTTAGGCCATGCATCATAATTGTCTTCTATTTTCAAATGTTTTAATTTATTTTATGTCTCATCATGAATAATTGTTGCACGTCTTTGGAGGCAGACATCTTTTTATGTTGAGGCCTTTGTCGCACATTTATGGTTTGTATTTCTTCAGAATTGTCTCATTTTAGTTGTCTACACTCTCCAGATAAGTCACACTGGTTGTTTTATTCCTGTTGATGATTTCTGGAATTGTGGGTTTTTGCAAGGATAATTTTACGATTATTCAGGCGACGGTGGCACAGGAGTTCAGTGCTTGCCCCGTAATCAGAAGGTTGCAGGTTCGAGCACCGCTCAGTTTGTCGCTATCGTTGTGTCCTTGGGCAAGACACTTAAGCCCCCTTGCCTGCTGGTGGGGGTCAGAGGGACCGGTGGCACCAGTGCTCGGCAGCCTCGTCTCTGTCAGTGCGCCCCAGGGCAGCTGTGGCTACATTGTAGCTCATCCCCACCGGTGTGTGAATGTGTGTGTGAATGGGTGAATGACTGATTGTGTTGTAAAGCGCCTTGGGGGGTTCCAGGACTCTAGAAGGTGCTATATCAAATACAGGCCATTTACCATAAATTTGTTTTAAGAGTCAGATATAAGGTTAATTTCTAAAAAAATAAAATAAAATAAACAAGCATTTAGACTTATAAAGAAGGTGAACTGTGAATTTAAAAAAATCTTTCCTCTTAATTGTTTAGATTTTGCAAATAAACTGCAAAATAAAACAAAAAATAATAATAAAATTACCGCAATGTCATTAACTGTCCACATGATGGCGCCAAATTACCATAAGCTGAACCACGACCTTGATTAGAGTGCGTTTCAAAATAAATCTTTATCTATTTAACAATAAACATTTAGTTAACAACTGAAACAAATTTGTGAAGCTAGCTGTAATGTGTATCAGAAAACAACAATAATGACCAACTCTCTCTCTCTCTCTCTCTCTCTTTTCATCCTTTCTTCCCCTTCTCCATTCCCTCTTTTTTGTACATGTATATTTTACCCCTTTAGTTTTTGTCCGTAAAGCTTGTAGGAAAACAAAGAAAACCTTCTGAGGGGTTTGAGAAGACTTGAGATTCTTGGTGTGATTTAAAGTTTAGATGTAAATTTTGACTCCGTTCACGAAAACTCAACCGCCAACGAAGTTGGCAGACTTTCCTTCTTCACTTCAGGGGCGGAGCTTCAGGGCAGGGAGCCCCCGGCCAGGTCTTGGGCCCACCCCTGCGACAAGGAAGACGAGAGGGAACGGCGCCTCTAACACAAACGATGGACAAGCACTCCCATAACTTGTGTTCAGAGGAAAATGAGCTCCGTTCTTAATGATTCCTCTCATGCATTTATTTAGGGTTTATTTAGGTCGCCCCAGTCCAGATCGAGTCATGGTTGCTAAAAACTTGCAACCGACTGACTTTAGTGATGCAGTAGGTAGGGTTAGGGTAGGGTAGGTGTGGATGGTGTTATTGGTAGTGGAGGAAAGTCTTTCTTTTCATGACCGTTTACATTGGGAGATTCTCACTGAAGGCATCAAACCTATGATGTGGAGTTAAAAGGTGAAATAACTGAAAACATGTTTTATTTTCCATTTTCTTCAGAAAAGCCACCCTTTGCTCTGATTACTGCTTTGCACACTCGTGGCATTCTCTTGATGAGTTTCTAGAGGCAGTCACCTGAAATGGGTCTCCAACAGTCTTGAAGGACCCTCCTCCCAACCCCAGTGATGCAGGTGTCTGGTTAGAACAGGTGAGCATCACAGTACTGAGCTTGAAATATTGTGGTTTTTATGCACTTTTTCTGCTCCAAAGCATGAAAGTTAACAGGTGAGATTTTACATTTTCATTTAAGAGAATTACTATTTTTATTTTTGGTGTTGGCCTCTGAAGAAAGATTTAACCCGCTTTAAAACAGGAACTGGAAAGATTACAGTGTGTGTGTGTGTGTGTGTGTGTGTGTGTGTGTGTGTGTGTGTGTTCACTAAGGCTGGACACTGATCAAAGGGGCTAGCCTCTCCAGAGAAGATCACAGCAACCTCCCTGAGCAGAACCCAGAGTCCATCACTGTGGCAGACACCCAACAAAGAGCCTCAGGTCTGAAGAACTGGACAGCTCCAGGACCTGACATGATCCACCGAAGCCTGCTGGCTTAAGAAGCTCACTGCACTCCATGAGTGTCTGGCAGCACAGATGAAGCAGCTGCTAAAGGATGGGACTCACCCTGAATGGCTAACTGACTTGGCTAATACCAAGGAGACGCCCTGTCCCCACTGCTGTTCTGCAGAGGTCAGATCCCCGTCTACCAGATAATCCACAAGACTGGCCATGGACAGCACCTCCTCTACATGGAAGACCTCGATCTCGTCATCCATATAGAGGCGGTCTAATCTTTAGGTGTTTGAATCGCTCTTAGTCCGACCGCCTACCTGAGAGACCATGTTGTCATGGAGACCCTAACAGGGGCTAATCAACCAGACTACACAGCTTCCAGGAATGTGGAGGTCCTCAAACCCTCCCACCACGATAAGGTGGCGATTCTGCGGGAGGGATGTTTTTGTTTTTTTTTTTTTGTCATTTTATTGTTTTTTTGTGTATTTTATATAGTTTTTTTTACTCTACTTTATTTTATTTGATATAAAATACATACAGTTTACAAAAATATTTGTTGTTGTTGTTCTTGCTTCTATTTCTTCTACTTGCTTGTGAAATCTAAACAGCTTCTTGGTTCTAATTGTTACGTTTTACCTTCTTCAGGGAGGGGAAACCAGGGAGGAAAAGAAGTAACTTGTGTAAAGAAAAACAAATTTATTAAAACATTAGAGGATAACACAAAACCAAGGGCTGGAAATCCTAACAGAAATACACTAACACAGCCCATAAAACTCAGAGAGTCCAACGTTCATATAAAATAAAGCAGGAGACTAAGGCTCAGATATTTTAACTGGCAGCACCAAAAGAAAACCATTCAGACCTAAGTGTCCAACAGGATGGTACAAAAGAAAGAAAGAAGTGGGATGGATTAACTAAAAGACTCAGGGTTATTTCCAACCTAAAGAAGCTTTCACCTTCTACATCATAATTCAGCAACTTAACCACAAAAGACTCTCAAACTACCAGTAGCCACTGTAGTTCTTTTACCATGAGTAATTACTAAACCCAAAGAGAGACATAATAAATGCTGAGGAAGTATTTTCTTTCAAGATGTTTAAACTTCTAAAACCCTGAAACCAGCCCAAAGGGAGTCTACTTGGTTACAAGTAGCTCCTAGAATGAAAGTTCTTCCAGCCTTTTATCCTTTCCAGATCCAGAGAAAACGATTAGTCCAATTGCTCCCACCTGAAGAACTGAGGAGGGATCCACTGGTGATGAGGCTGCCGGTGCTCATTGTGGTTTCCATGGTTACTGGACAACAGCATGGAGGCAGCCATCTTGTCTCTGGGTCTGGTGTTGTCACTCCAAAAGAAAACAAAACAATGGGAAGAAAACTACCAAAACAGGGGAACAAATTCTGACTAAATAGTAATAATAATACGACCAACCATCGTAAAACCCAGGTGTCGTAACACTAATCAGCAAGTGGGCCTACATCCACTTTCTACTAGAGATTTTATCGTTTTTACTTCCTAAGTTTTACGACCCCCAGCTCGCCTAGGAGATGATGGTAGGTGAGGGCGTAAAGCAAGAAGTGTGTAAACAGGACAAACCAAGGATTACTCTCTTGAAGGAGGTTTATTAACGAAAAGCGCTGCTGAAATGAGCAGGAAACAAATAAGAAACACAAAGATCTTCCAAATACTGGGTAAACAACAAATACTAATAAACAAAAGATCATCTAAGCCAGGTATTTTATAATAAACACAAACGCCGGGACTAAACCGGGAAAAGGAAAGGACTAGGATAAACACAAAAAGCTCCAACAAAAGGGTGAGCTGAACTCTTTAATGAGTATTCTAATTAGTAACTCAAACAAGCTCTAATCGAGGAAGAATAACTGAACCACACGGTAACACTACTAGACTCAATAGTCAGATCTAGGAGGGTAAGAGGATCACTTGCTTTAACGCTCGGGCCTCTGCTCAGCTTCCCTCCCCGAATGACAGAGGGAGCTGCCTTTTATAGGAAGCTCCCTGATGGGTTGATTAGCGACTCCTGGCTCCGCTAGAGCCAGGAGAACAAACAGTGCCTACGAGACCACCTAGTGGCCACTAAAACAGAGTGTCTGTTACACTAAGTGAAAAAAAGTTCATTTTCTTTTTTGTTCATTTTCAAATTTTTGTTGTTGTTCTTGCTTCTATTTCTTCTACTTGCTTGTGAAATCTAAACAGCTTCTTGGTTCTAATCAGCAAGTGGGCCTAAACTATATGTGTACATCCACTTTCTACTAGAGATTTTATCGTTTTTACTTCCTAAGTGGAAAAAGTTCATTTTCTTCTTAAACACCCCCCTCTTGTTCATCCCTTCAGGTGTTTTCCAGATGTGACTGACGCTTTAGAGTTGCTTACTTGTGAGGATTCTGCATCTCTGCCAGAAACCAGAGAACTCCGAGTTTTGGCTCCTGTGACCGAGCTTCCACTTTTATTTACTCCTCACTTATTTTCTGCAGTCACTGATAATTTATCTTTAATCTCTAATCCTTTATTTTTCCTTTGATGATGCGAGGGTGGGTCGTACGAGACCCTAGAGGATGTGCTTGGAAGAGCTTCATCCACACTTGACTTCTCATATGAAGATTTTCCATCTTCGTCCTCACCTGAACTTATCTTTGAAACCAGAGATGATTCAATGTTACTTTCTTCTCTTCTCTTAGGTGTTTTACTTCTCTTAGCTAAATTCCACACCGTTTGAACTGTATTTTTATCTCATTTTAACCCACCGGCTAATTCTCCATCCGTGTCTGACTGATCTATGTTTGCATCATCAGGTTTGACAAACGCATTTTAATCACTTTCCTCTGCAGGCTGAAGGTCTTTCATCCTCGTCCTCACTCAGTTCCTCTTCTGAGCTGAAGGAAAAGCTAGAAGGAGCCACGTCCTCTCAGAACATATTTTGTAAACCAAACTCCAACAATAGTCTGGTTTCCGTTTCATCTAGCTTCTTTAGTGCAGCCCTCAAATCTATAGGGTCATCGTCTTCTGAGTCAGAGCAGTTTTTCTTTTTTATATATGATTTTTTTATAACTTTTTCCACAATTACATCACAAGAGTCAGAGCAGTTTAAATTACGTTCACCAGAGTTCCCAGAATCCCTGTGACTCATCGTGAGCAGAAGACAAGCTACCAGGAGCCATGTCCTTACAGTCCGAATCATGAAGTTTGGCTTCCATTTCATCTAGACTATTTACATCAGCCTCCTCATCTGTGGGGTCGCTTGTGTCTTCAGATAATGAATCCACATCGACCTCTAAAGCAGAGCAAATTGTCTCACCTGCATCAAAATCGTCAGACTTGTGATTAAATCTGTCCTCCGTAACCAAAGATGTTTCCTCTTCATCATAATTTAAAACCTCCAGTACTTTCATCCTCACCATCAGATTAACTAATTTCTGCTTTGAAACTAACATCGTTTCAGCCGCAGGGCTCATATACGTCAAGTTTTCAGTGTGACTTTCGTCTTCAGGCAATGAATCTTCGTCTTCTTGATCAGAGCAACTAGTTTCATCTTCATCAAGACTTTCATCGATGTCAGACAGCAAATCATAGTTTCTCTCTGAATATGAAAATGTGTCATCCTGACTCAGTTCTTCCTCTGAAAAAACCGATGTGTCACTGTCTATATCCTCTAATTCTTCATCAAAAGGAGACATTTCCTCCTTTTCTTCTAAAGAAAGTGATATTTCATCATTCTCCTCAAAGTTCTCCTCTATAATTGTGGAAAGACCAGCCTGATTCTCCCAAATATTCCTCTCTGTAGTCAGAGATAGACCAGCGTCCTCCCCCCATTGAGTATCAGGATAAGAACCGCTGGAGAACAAGCTAGGAGGAGCTTCGTCTTCACAAATTACCTCCTGCAAACTTATTTCTAACCCTAGGTTGCAACCCATTTCTCCGTCCATATCAGGTAAGTCGCTGTCGTCATAAGGCAACGAGTCGAGGTCGTTTTCTGACTCAGACCAGGCCTCATATGCATCATTAGGAATTTCAGAGACATCAGACATGTAACCGCAATCTTCTGCAGAGACATCAGACATGTAACCGCAATCTTCTGCTGAAACCGGAGATGTTTTCGCTTCTCCTTCTATAAAAGCCTCTAATTCTGTCAGCTCACTGGGAGCTTTAGAGCCAGAGTCTCTTGAGTCAAACACATCCAAATCTGATGTAGTTACTTGATCTGACTTAAAATCAGAAAAGGATTTTTCAGTCAGTGGTTCTGCGTCTTCATGGAAAGCCGATGGTTCGACATCTCTGAGTAGACTAGCTGCTATCTCCAGGACAAAGCCATCGCTGCTTTCATATTCTGGGTTTCCCAAAGTGGATAAACTGTCTTCTGTTTCTCCGTAAGAATGTTCAACATTCATTTTCAGAGACAGACAATTCGTCCCTTCATCGTCTGTAACCGATGGTTCGACGTTTCTGTGTAGAACAGTTGATTGTTCGGGTCCAGAAGCGATAAATTCAGACTCCGGTTTTTCTAAATTAGATAAACTGTCGTCTGTTTCTCCGTAAGAATGTTCAACATTCATTTTCAGAGACAGACAATTCGTCCCTTCATCGTCTGTAACCGATGGTTCGACGTCTCTGTAAAGACATGTTGATTTTCCGGGTCCAAGACTATTAAAATCAGACTCCGGTTGTTCTAAAGAGGATAAATCCTCTTTTTCTGCGTCTCCATAAAAGTATTTATAAGCGTTTATAACCGCTTTAGTAATCAAAGCACCTGCTACCAACCCAGTAACGGCAAACATGGCCGTACGACGTGAAAAGAGATTCCTGAATCCAGGCATCCTTCCAGCTAGGCTCACCGCGACTGACTGACCGAGTGTGTTCTAGCGCGCTATTTACAGACTGGTGGATGACGTCACAAAGGGGCGATCAAAGGGTTGAGAGGAGCACGCAGACTAGCCAGCAAAGCTAAAGAAACTGCGCGTCACGTGCGTCTTCAGCGATTCGTGAGATCATCATACAGGTGACTCCATTTCCTTTACAAACTTCTAGGAATCGCGTGTTCATCTGTTTCATGTTTTTTTTTACCCTAATCAACGGAATGACGGTGGTTCCATGTACACATGACATTATTACCTTGTAGATTATTAGAATAAACGAAATTAAATTCGCTTTTTTAATTAGATCTTATAACTTCCTCGTGAGCATAAAGTGGGTGTAAAAATGAAAGCGGGTTGTTTAGGTTAATAAAATGTGCATTTGTTTATTCAACATAAGCAGGTATGAAAATGTCAGTTGTTGTTATTTTAATTATTCGGATTTTCCCCGCAGGATCACGACCGTTAACAAGTCCCTTTGTCAGACATTTATTTACTGAACTGTTACATGTAGAGTTTACTACTGATAATCTCAAACAGGCCCGGAGTGGCTAATCGGGGTCTGGACCGCAAGGCCCGGTGTTGTTTTTGTTTGTTTGTTTGTTTGTTTGTTTGTTTGTTTGTTTGTTTGTTTGTTTGTTTGTTTGTTTTGGACCGGTGCTCAGTCATCACGCCACTGGGCTGATCCCTAAGACAACCGACCTGCTGAAAGGGCCTCTCATGTCAGGTACAAAAACAAAAACGTAATGTTTACTAACTCGTCCGTTTTTGTCTTCTTCTCTTTTTGTGATGGGGTTAGGGTTCAGTCATGGCTGATCAGATGCCGCTACCGCGCTGTCCCCGGGCCGCCTCTGCCTTTTTTCTGCAGACGCTTCCAGACGGAACACCTCAGGAGACTCCGGGTGGGAGAAGCAGGACTCAGGAGGAACACTCTAGAAACAGACGCCACTAAATGTGCAAAGACGGGCATTTTCACTGAAACGTGCTGTTTCCGGAGTCAGCAGCAAGACCCAGCAGCATCAGCAGGTAGGATGACTCACTGAGGGATTATCATGAGAATGAATAATGGAGAGAATGGCGAAGAACTGCTCTATTAAAGCGGTCCGGATGCTGGCTCTGTCCGGTTCGGTCCGGACGGTAAAGCCAGGGGTGCAGACTCTCCCAGATCCACGGTGCAATTCAACCTGACATCAGTTATCTTTATTTTCATTTACATGAATGATCATGAGGAATCATCTTGGGAAAGAAAAAGATCTAGAGAAGGAAATTGGAAAATGTAGGAGAAAATGAGGATGAACTTCTTTAGTAAATGTTCACTGATGAGTTTTCATGTTTGTGAAATTACAAGTGAGGTCACACACAAGTTGTGTTTTCATAAAACAGTGTTTTCATCTGAAAATAAGTCAGAGTTTTATTTTAACTTCTCAGAGTTGCAGCTGGATGCTCTTCTTCTGTGGCTCTAACAGGCTGTCAGACATCTGTGATTATTTTCTAGTTATTGAATTAAATAATAATTATACGATGAATATTTTTCTAAATCAAAGTTTTAATAAGTTATTAAATCAGACACATCAACAGGTGGTCATATAATAATCAGACTGTTGCCGGTCAGTCATTGTTACCCAAAGCTCTTCTGTTTCATTAATAAACTAATCCTAATTCTTCTGATTAAATTTGTATTTTCTTTGTTTTTGGAGTCAAATATTCATTTCATTTCTCAAAAATAAACATTTACAGGTAAAAACTTTTCTTATCTATAAAATGGTTAAAGATTACCACACATGGCTTCCAGTATCACATTTAATGCAATGGGGTTTAAGGTCCACAAGATGGCGATAAATCACTTTAAACTGAACCATGATCAAACCCTAAAGAACACATTTGCTCTAATGACATTTGACATAACTTACTGGCAAACAGATGAAGCTACATTTGCAATTTGTGACATTTGCAGACAATGAAAGAGTGGATCTGAACAGGCTTGAGTTTCATTAGGGGAGTTCCCCCTGGCAGCCATAGCTAAGAGACGATTCAGATCATCTGAGCCTGCAGCAAGCCCAAGGTGTTGAAGCAGGATTTTCTGTCAAGAGCTGCTATGAGTTGTCTGTCCCTCAGACACAAATAAGGGTTTGTTATGCTGACTGAATAGAAAACATTGTCAAAATCAGGCCAAATCGACTGCTGAACCTTATTTTAACTCATGCAGCATGCAGCCTTTGAAAGACCTGAATAATAAATAAAACAATCGTACAGCCCGGAAACAACAAATGCATGGACTGGTTGTTCTGCATAGCTCATGGACACGATGATTAATCTGTTTGGTTATTTAAAAATTACTTGAAGTAGTTCTGTCTTGTTTGTAGTCTAAATAAATATAACTTATGCAGCCGTGTTTGATGCATTTATAGTTAGCATGTTAAAAGTGAAAAGCAGTGGTCCCAGTGAAGAACCCTGTGGAACCCCTTCACTGACTTGCCATGAAAAGTAAAAGTTTGTTTAAATAAAATTTCATAACATAAAACAAGCAAATTTAGGGTGAATAACACATTCATGTGTCAATATTTAAATCTATATTAAACAAAGCATAAATATTTACAATAACTTCTGAGAAATACTAAAAAACACCTATGGGGAATTTCTGGTACTATAAATAAACATGGTTTTGTCTGAATGGTCTGCACTTGGCATTGTTACCTACAACTTTGATGCCTTTTTTTGGGGGGGGGGGTCCCACTTCAGTAGTAACAACCAGAACATCTGCGACAGGATATGAGTCGACTCATTCAGGTCAACATGCTCCTCAGGATTTTAATCGATGTTTTTGTGAGACAGAAGGAATGAGTTTGTTGATTAATTTGTAAAAACTGAGATTCAGGTCAGCGTGTCTGTTTTTGACTTTTTTGGGACTTCAGGCCGCAGACTTAGCATTTCTGAAGTTCAGGACGCCTTAGATTCCAACAATCGGCACTCTTAGCTCAAGAAAGAAAATGCCGCTGTTGGTAGTGGGATGGGTGTCAACTCATCTAATCAGACTGGTTTTTCTCTCACTAATCATCAGTAGCTGCAGTAATTGTTGAACATCAACTTGACAACTGACGGTTGAAAGACGTTAATCCCCAAAAGGCTGGAGAGCCGAAAGACCTCAGGAAACATCAGCTAGGAATGGAAAAAGTCTAAAGCCTAGCCTTGCAAAAATAGTATAAATTATTTTGTTCGATTGAGAACAAAGTGGATGTTTCAGTTCCTGTAATAGTCGTGGTGTGTCAGACTCAGCAGCCATTTGTTGACAGATTTGTTTTTGCAGCCTTTTCCCTGGATCACCTGATTCCAAACGGGGCGTTCTGATTTGTGCAACACAGTTCGCTCCATGAATCAGTGGTGACAGAACCACCCAAACAAGGCCAGTATAGTCAAACAGGAACTTTTATTTGGAAAAACCAATGCCCTGCAGCATGTGGGTGATGCAAAAAAAGAGAAAACCAAAATATGCAAACAAAACCTATTATTGAATGAAGCAGAGGGAAGAATTTTGCAGATGAATAAAGAAAAGATTGGTTTTTGGGTTAGGGTTAGGTTTTATACAGTGCCCCCATCTTTTTTCGATGTGGCAAATGTTTTAAATTATTTAGTTAAGTTGACTTGATAAAATATGGTCATGTTAAGACAACAAATTTTGTTTTTTCCTTGAACTCAAAATTTGAATGCAGCCCTTTCACTCGTATTTTTAAGTTGAAACAATATGTTTTATTTTACAGTGTATACTAAATGACTCGCATTTGCAAATTTTACAACCTTTAAAAACAAAATTGCACAGAAAATTTTGATGAAGCTCCAATAACGCCTCAAAGACAAAATAATTTACACACTAGAGACAAAAGCTGAGTTGCTCATCTTGCAAAATCTGGCGTACATCTTAAATCTATGGCAGTAAACGTGTGATGAATATGTGCATTGTGCAACTGTTTCACATACAAACAGACTTTCATCTCAGCTTTGTTTTAACAAAAGTCTGGTTTGTTTAACTGTTACAAGAAAAATGCAAAGACTCGCCCAGCCCTCGGGCGTTTGTGATGCACCTAAATTACACATCTGAGCTGTCAAAAGTCTTGGCAGAAGAAAAGGTGTCAGTTTTCCCGTGCAGCCGCAGTTAAACCATACCTGTTCAACAGCTGTCTAGCATTTTGCAAGAAGAGGGCAGAGCTGCACAGACACACCCACATTCCTCCCTCCAACCACAGCCTGATAAATACGGAGGCAAACGCAAACCAAAGGCACCTCGTTTCACCTCTGATTCAGGTACGTAAGCAATGATCACTTCTCTAAACACAGAAAAGTCTTTTTTTTTCTAAAACTGTTTGTTTTTTCAGGAAAACACTGATCTGCTCGTAGCAAAAAGACAAAATGAGTGATCGTAAGTCTCCTTCTGTGGACCTTTTGCTTTAGTTTATCTGTTTTTGCAGCTTCATAAATGTGATGTTTGTTTTAGAATCAGGATCTGCTTGTAGTGTTTTAGCTAAAAACAACAATTTCACTCTCATTTTTAATTTTACTCATGTTAAATCTCCTTTCTTCCTGTTTTTATTACTGCAGCCAACGCGGTGAGTTTTTTTCCTTTTTTCTTTTATTATTTTATCATTTAATTTGTGTTCTTTGCACGGTAAAACTGCAACTTTTTAGAAATAAAAACGGTTGATTGTGTGTTTATGTGCTGTTTTTATGGCTGATTAAAGGACAAACCGAAGCTTCCAGAAGAAAAGTGTGAACATGGAAAAGGAGAACATGGAAAAGGAGAACATGGAAAAGCAGGACAACACGGAAAAGCAGGAGAACACGGAAAAGCAGGAGAACACGGAAAAGGAAAAGGGGAAGGTCATGGACATGGACATGGACATGGCAAGAGCTAAAAAACACTCCAGGCACTTCCTGAATTATTGAGAAATCAAACAAATATTGTGTGATAATGATTCATGTATGACTGTATCGCATCTTCAATAAAATAATTCAGAAAATGAGAACCTTGTGTTAGAATTGTTTTTATTCACATCAAAAGCTTTTAACTATGGCAGTGATCCATTTATCCTGAACAGACACTTCAGTGTTTCCATTCACCACGCCCAAAGCTTTTATTTTGAAGGAATAGTCTGCTGGTTGGCAAATATTTAGCACGTGACTAAGTATTCATGAAAATCTTTAGAGAAAAAACCAACAATAATCATTCAAGTACAACAAATCTGTTAATCCTGCATAGATGAATGGATTTTAAAGAATGACACATCCCGCAACGTCTTGATTTTCATTTTTGTCCAAGTTTAAGGTGAATGAATGTTTTAAAGAATGAGTTTATTGAGTCTTTCGTGGATGGCAAAGGTGTGTGAATGTAATTAGCCGTAACTCTTTGTACCTGACATGATAATAAAATATCAGAAGAGCATTTGTGTCATTTTGCAGCTTCGTTTGTGTGCAGCTTGATTCTCTCCTTTTCAATGTTGGGAATTCATTGATCAAAAGTCATAGACACTTTTGTTAATTGTGTGGCGAGTGAAAATCATCACAGTCAGTTGCTAAAGTCACTAATGTTCCACTATCAGGAGAAAGCCTGCAAAGAGAACTCAAATGTTCTGCAAAAATCATAATTCTGTGATTGGCGCTGGCTCCGTGGGATCCTGTCTTCTTCTTTGGTTGTTGCAAAACAGGCCCGTGTGTTGACTGATTTGGCACCAATGCTCGTTTAACCCGTAGCATAAGACAGCCTGTTTTAGTTTGTTTCTCATTTTTACTTTTCTCCTCGAACAAAAAGCATTAAATACACCTAAAAGTCCAACATGATTAAGTAAAACAGTAGACAGCTCGATATTTTCTTTGAGAAAGTCACAATATTTAGGGTCAATATTTCAGGTCTTTAGCAGAACAAGAGGGCGTTGTCTAGCAGCGGTTCTCTGTAAGAGCAAGTCCTCTGACTTGGTGTCTGAACTTCCGTACCTTGGAGTAAACCTTGACTCAAATCTCAATTCTAAGAAACAGACTGAGTGTAAAATACAGTTTGGCTAATTTTATCATAATCAGATCATGCCTCTGTGCAAAGGTGGCCGAGGTATTTATGCAAGGTTTTCTCACGCATGCTATTGTTACCTGCTGGGTACAGGCCAGCCAATGTTGGCTGTCCAATCAATGTACAAGCAAGCCTTAAATATTTTTGACTAAAAAAATCATTTCAATACCATTATTGTGCGATTCTTGAAAATCATAATCTGTTGAGTTTTGAGATTTTTAGACGCTGCGAGATTTGAAATGGTTTGGCTTCGACGTGTTTGCACGTTTTTGTCTGCTGGTTCTCACAGCTCCGTGAGATCGACAACAATAACCTAGACTAGGGCTGGGCGGTATCGCAAAATTATCCTATACCACGTTTTTTAATACGTCATTTCAGTTTTACAGTATTTGATGATTTTTTTTAATTAAAGATGTTTTAAAATGGCAGAAAGCATGTTCCATCTCGCTCTGTTCAGGTTAGACATCAGCGCTTTCGTCCAGTCAGAACTAATCTTGGTTTCTCCACATTGAGGCTGTTCAATGAGCCTCTAGAACATATAATAAATTAATTCTTTACACATTTTTCAAAGAACCCCAAAATCTGAACAATTTGTAATTTGATTTTTAAAAATTTATTAACTAACTTCAACAAACAAGAACAGATTTTTAATAAAACTATAAAACCGCCAAAGCGACTGCATCAGTTACCCATCCAGATCATTTGTTTCTACATTATTTAGTTCTGCAGAGTTAGCATGAAAAACGAATGAGCCACTGTGGAAAATCCAACTTGATTTTATACTTTGTTCTCAAAGCAGAGAATGTGAGGATCTCATGATGCTCGAGGCGTCCCCCGTGTCTTTGGTGGCGTGCATAGAAGAATCACATGCTAATGATTTAATTTGTCGCATCACTGTGTTCTTCCTTTAGGTATGCATGGCTCTAAAGTTTAATGAGAAAAAAATCAGATGAAATAGGCACATGTGTTGATTGGGTTAATCAGGATGAGAATGTTCCTACCTAATGTTCTGGTTCAGTCTACAAGAAAATAAACTTTTTAAATAAATGATTTATTTTTATATCTTCTGTAAAAAGCTGAGATTAAAATTCTAACAGAAATCCAAATAAAAGTCACCTAATCAAATGTAAATAAGGTTTTATAAATTGTGGTAGATATACGTGTGTTGGACTAATTAGTAAGCTTGTAGTTCATTCCACGTGGTTTAAAGAATGTGAAAGGGGAGGAGTTTAAACCGACAGACTCATCCTGCTGCAACAAGATATCTGAAAGATTAATAAATCAGCTAAATGTTCAGAAACTGCACGACGTCCAAACATAAACATCTGCCTTTGCTCACAACATTCTGATCCACAGGATGTAGTCGCTCTGAAGTGGTTCCATTCTTACCTTTCAGGCTGAACTTTGTGTTTTTAGGTTTTTATAAACCAGATACTGTCAGATATTAAGAGGCTGCCATGTGAGGTTCCACAGGGTTCCGTCCTTGGACAAATCCTCTTTCTCTTTAACATTTTCCATGGAGGACTTATGTAGATTTGTAAAGTTTCCTCTTTGGTTAAATGTCTCTCCACCATCAAACTGTGGCTTTGTGACATCCACCTCCTGCAGCTGAGCTGACATCAGACAGAAACCGCGGTGGTTCTCTGGGCTACTCCGGCCAGCCCAGACTCACAGATTACAAGCATTTTTTTTATTTCAGATATAAGAAATAAATCCAAACTATGAACATTGGTGTCCAAATCCAAATTAGATGATTGTTCTCAGAATAAAATATAGATCCTTTCTGTTTTTACCTGGGCTGCACAGTGGTTAGCATTGTTGGCTTGCTGCTAGGATGTCCTGGGTTTGCGTGTTTCTGCGTGGAGTTTGCATGTTCTCCTTGTGCATGTGTGGGTTCTCTCTGGGTATTCCGGCTTCCTCCCACAGTCCAAAAACATGACTGTCAGGTTAATTGGTCTGTCTAAATTATCCTTAGGTGTGTGTGTGTGTGTGTGTGTGTGTGTGTGTGTGTGTGTGTGTGTGTGTGTGTGTGTGTGTGTGTGTGTGTGTGTGTGTGTGTGTGTGTGTGTGTGTGTGTGTCTTTGTGCTGCCCTGCGATTGACTGGAACTCAGTCCAGAGTGTACCCCGTCTGTATTGTCTGCCCATGCCGGTTATAGGCACTCGCCCCCCGCGACCCAGCATGGACAATGGACAAGTGAAGATGATGGATGTTTTTATCTGTATTAGCTTTAATGCCTTCGTTTACAAACAGTAACAACAATGCAGAAAAGGGCTATCAGATTAATAACAAATGCAGGATATTTGGATCACACAAATGAACTTTTTATTAAAACGCGGACAATGAAGTTCCAGGACTTGGTTAAATACAAAACAGCACAAATAATGTATAAAGTAAGAAATAAATTAATGCCTGATAAAATACAGAAACTGTTCACAGAGAGAGAAGGAGGATATAACCTGAGAGGGACACTAAACTTAAAGATACATAAGTTTAGAACAACATTAAAACAGATGTGTATCACAATAATAGGGGTTAAATTATGGAACAATTTAGAAGAAGAAATAAAAGTAAGTACAAATATAAATGTGTTTAAAATCAATTATAAAAAACATATTCTGAACAAGTATATAGTGGAAAATAGATGATTTATGTGGTGTCCTTTATTCTAAGGAAAAGTAAATTGTATCAATTGTAAAAAGATGTGTTTTTTGGTTTTTTGGTGACTTGTACCATTTTGTTTGTTTTAATGTAGGTTTTGTGTTAGATTTTGTAAACAAGTAAATATTACTTGTATAAAGGGGTAGGGACATATAAGTTTCCACTTCAGCCTACTCCTTTTCAAACAGAGAAGAAGGGATGATGATATGTATTTTTTTTCAGTTTGTGGTATTTTAAAAAAAATTATGTATGTTTTCTTTGTTTGAAATAAACTAAACTAAGTTTATCTCATTGTGCACCTTTTTTATTTTATTCCTTTGAGAAGCACTGTCATTTTTATCCAGCGAAAGGTGCCGTATAAATAAAGTTGCGTATTTAATAGTTAATGGTCGCCTTTTGTTTCTTTTTAACTCCGTTTTATCAGATTCATTTGCACCTTTTGCATCTTTTTAATAGGAAAAATGAGGTTTTTGACGACTGAAAACAAGTAAAAGCTGAGAACCTTCACTGATTTTTAGGCTGTTTTGGGTTTAAATGCATGCATTTTTCTTTCATTCAAAGCCAGACCATCCAAAATAACATGATGCACGTACACTTCTCCTCTTTGTCGCTTAGCTGTGTAGCTTTTCAGTGCTTACAGGCCTCTCCCGACAAGATGTGCATTCCATCATTCAACAAGTTGGAACAAATCAGCCATTATATTTATTGTACTCTTGAATTCTCCATAAACAACATTTTAAACTCATTTCCACAAACACTAGTGGTGTTAGTCATATGTTCGTATGTGTGTGCATTATTCAGATCTCATCTTTCCGATCTCGTTTTAGGCGATTGCCAGGAGACAGTAGCAGGTGTAGCTGCAGATGTGATGTATAAATATTATACACAACAACAGGAAAGGGGTGTGTGTTTGTATGTGCGTGTGTGTTGTTAGGATACAACCTGATGGTAACCACTACGCCCAGTTAGTCATTTTGGTGAAAGACGGGCGTTCCCGTGTGACATCGCCTGTTTAAAACACCGATTATTTGAGAACGAAGAAGAAAATGTTTCGTTTTGTTCTTAGTTTTGCCCGCATGTGTTCACACCCTATTTTAAATGAACATAACCAGACTATAGTTTCTCTTACTGAATTAAGGACGTTTCTTTGAGGAAAGCGTTTAACGATAAAGCCAGTTTCTCTAAGATATTTAACTTAGCGAGGATAGAAGAACATCTTTTCTGAAAACACAAAATGTAAAAATATTTAAAAAAAATTTTTAGAAAATGATTAAAATATATTTAAAATGAGCAAGAAATAGACAATTGTGATTAAAAAATGTAAAGAAAGAGAGAGAGTGAATAGGTGGATCCCGAGGAAGGTGGAATAGGTGGGGAGAGCAGAACAAGGAGAGGGCGATGAAGGTCACACCAAAACCAGCTTGAACAAGTGAGTCTTCAGCTGCTTTTTAAAGGAGACCACTGATCTCAGGCTCAGGGGGAGAGAGGTCCAGAGTCTGGGGGCCACAGCAGCAGATGATCTGTCACCTTTGGTCTTTAGCCTGGTATGCTGCAAAACCAGTAGGCTTTGATCACTGGACCTCAGGGACCTGCTGGAGGTGTAGGGACTAAGAAGATCACCAATGTAAGATGGTGTTTGTCCATGTAAGGCCCCATAGACCAGAACCAGGATCTTGAAATGAACCCTGAAGTTGACTGGCAGCCAGTGAAGCTGGAGGAGAAGCGGGGTGATGTGGGTGTGTTTGGAGGGCTTGGTCAGAAGCCGAGCACAGGCATTCTGAACCACCTGTAGACGGTTCAGGGAGGTTCTGCTCAGACACGTGAAAAGAGAGTTACAGTAGCCACTCATATAGTCCTCTTTTCTGCTAATTAATGGATCTACATCCTCACAAATGTTAACAATAAATGTCCTAAATGTTAAAATATTGAAAGAAAATCAAACCCAAATCATCAACTCTCCACCACCGTGCTTATGACCATTTAGTCAGTTTAAACCTGCTGTTGCTTCACCTTAGCCAACCTTAGCTCTGAAGAAACAAAGGATGGCCCCACCCTTAGTCGAAAGTTTGTGGAAGCCATGAAATTAAAGAAGCCGAACAAAGATGAGACTTTCTGGCAAAACCTAACCTGTTCTGCAATCATCAGATTGCACAACAAGGCAAAGCAGAAGAAACTCTATCTTCATCTCAGAGACAAAACACAAACATCAAATATTTGCAATCATCTGGTTTTCTGTGAATATTTCATTCAGTGGTCTGACTTTTAGTAAAACGAGCATACTTTGTGTCATTGTTCTATCACTTTAAAATACCTGCAGGTCTGATTTAGACACGGACAGCATTTTTCTCACGTGAGGTAAAGTGAGGTTAACGTTGTCTTGGAGCGTGTTGCAGCCTAGAAATGCTGCAGGAACCTGCACCAGAATAGACACAGACAGGATTAAAGCAACGGGTGTGCGCCACTCCTGATCAGATTAAATCCATTTCAGGTTAGAAATGCAACAAAACTCAGTTTCTCTGCAAAAAAAATAAAAAAATTCAAACCACCACATTTCATCTAAATGAGACATTTTTCGCTGACAAACTGAAATATTAATTAAGGAAAATTAAAACAGGAAATTTGCATAAAAATAGGAAATCAACACAAAAGCAGAATTTAGTTTAAAAGCCTTTATTTGCTCTTTCTCTGACTGATTAGTAGAAATTTAAAACACGCCAGTGTGGAACAACAGTTGGTTTGAAGAAAAACACAAAACGACGTTTCAAAGTGAAATTTGATCAGTAAATTTATTCACAAATACTTTTAAACTCAGAGTTACGTTTACGCCTTATTTATTTACTTAGTGGTAAGTCGTGTGCACGTGGAGATCACACAGGATTTCTCTGACTGACCCGAGATCCATCTGAAACGGAACAAAAGGATTCCTAATCATTGTGCTTTGTTTTTAAGAAAATCTCATCCCAGGAGGGAACAAAATGCTCTCCGTGTTCCTTTGGTTTTCCTTTAGGAGCCTTCTAGGAAACTACTTATTAAAATAGGAGGATAAAAGCAGCTCCAGGCGCCTCCTGCTACAACTCGTCTTCCAGTGTTCTATAAAATTCAGTGGGGGGTGTCAGGAATGTCCGAACTCTGATGGAAAAACAGGAAACGGGAACATTTTAACGGTGTTGTTCTTCTCTTTTGAGATCGCTGTGTGTTTTATCTGTTTTTACCAGCGAATCTGAGGAGAGGTGTTTTTTCAGAAGAGTCCGTTGACCTGTTCGGTGTCAGGATCCAGATCGATGTCATAGAAACAAGGTCGGGTGGGCAGGCCGGGGATTGTTGGCATCTAAAGAGGAAGAAAGCAGCAGCTGATCACTTTTACTGGGTTCATTTGAGGTTCCTATTAGGAGCTCCACTCAACGCAGAGACGAGTTAAATATGTCCAACAATACGGTCAGAACCAACAAAGATGCTTTTTGAAGTTAAATATCTGCTTTATTTATGTTTAAAACAATAAAGCCTGTTTGTTTGGCTACAATAAAAATCAGAAATTCTATTTTTATAGCCGCTTTCTGGATTGTTGTTCGAAGGCGGCAAAGATGCAGCACTAACAGAGCTCCACCCAAAACCCGAGACACGAAGAAGACCCGTTTGTCCGGTGCTTACCGTGCCAACCAATGGGAAGAGAAAGCCAGCGCCCACACTCGCTCGGATGTCTCTGATGGGCAGGACGAAACCCGTCGGCACGCCCTTCCTCTCCGCCTCGTGTGAGAGGGACAAGTGCGTCTTCGCCATGCAGACTGGAAGGTTGCTAAAACCCTGAGGGGTTTTGAAAAAAAAGGATTCCTGGTTCATGACTAAGCACGGCAGGAAAATAAGCCATGAGTCTGAAGCTTCCTGACCTGTTTGGTGTAGAGCTCCACCTTGTGTTGGGCCTCGGGTAGGAGCTCGATGTCGTCGGCTCCGTAGATCTTCTGGGCGATGATCCGGATCTTATCGGCAATGGGCAGCTGAGGAGAAATTCAAGGATCGTGAAAAAGACATTTTAACAAACTTTTACTTAAATGAGTCCGTACCTCTAAATCATAGAGGAATGTGAATTTGCTGGGGGCCTCGCTGGCCCTCTGGACAGCCTGACCAAGGGCCACGGCGCCGGCTCCGCCCTCGGCCCAATGGGAACATTGCACGGCGTCAAAAGCTCCCGCAGCTTTGGCCAAGCTGCAGACCAGGTCCAGCTCGGCCTCGGTGTCGGTCCTGCAAACAGAAAATATTCAATAAGAGGTTATTTTTTCATCCTTTAGGGGAAATTTGGATATAAATACATAAAATTCCTCTCTCACTTGAACGCATTGACAGCCACCACCACCGGAACACCAAAAAGTTTCGCATTTTCTATCTGCTTCCTCATGTTGCAGCAGCCATTTTTCAGCAAATCAAGGTTCTAAAAATAATTCAATACAAGCAATTAAATAAAATTATATTAAATGAATCTAAAGCACATTAACACAGAGACTGCTCCATTACCTCCTCGACGTATTCCCTAGGCAGCGGCATCCCAGCAGTGACCTGAGCACAACGAAGGTTTTATAAAACGTTATAACTAAATTAAAGGTCCTGCTGAGTATTTATGAGCTGAGGGAAACTTTAAAGCAAACGCACTGTTGGTCCTCCTCCGTGCATCTTCAGGGCTCGGACCGTGGCCACCAGAACCACCACATGTGGTCTCAGGCCCGAGTATCGGCACTTGATGTTAAAGAACTTCTCCATGCCGATGTCGGCACCAAAACCAGCTTCTGTCACTGTCGAGTCCAAGTCGCAGATGCAGTGAGACATCCAGGTCAGTAACATGAAACATGAAAGCAGCCAATCAGGGCTTCTTACCCACAAAACCCTCTGGTCCCACCAGCTTCAGAGCTATCTTATCAGCCAAGATGGACGAGTTTCCGTGTGCGATGTTGGCGAAGGGACCCGCGTGGACGAACACAGGCGTTCCCTGTGCATTCAGATGACTCCGGTTTAACAAAAACTCGTAATCCTGACAGGAAACCGGGTTCACCCACCTCTAAAGTCTGCATCAGGTTTGGCTTGATGGCATCTTTCATCAACACACTCAGAGCTCCGCTCACTCCCTGCGGATTTCAAAGATAAACATAAGAACAGTATCGTGTATAAACACAGAGACAGATCATTAAGGGGGCGTGTGCCTGACCAGGTCCTCGGTGGTGATGGGCGCCCCGCTGCGGCTGCTGCCTACGACCATCTTAGCTAGGCGGTACCGCATGTCCTCCAGGCTGCTGGTGAGAGCGAGAACGGCCATGATCTCACTCGCCACCGTGATGTCAAACTGGGCCTGGACGACAGATACCCATCATCACGCTGCGGCGCCTACTTCCTGTTGCCTACTGAACAATCTCATAAAAAGGTGTGCAATGCACAAATCCCACCTCTCTGGTGTGGCCCTTTTCAGTTGGAGACTGGCCGATCGTGATCTTCCTTAAAAATCGATCGTTTGTGTCCAAAACTGCAGAAAAACAGACATTCATTCATGAGGCTGGATCCACTGAGCTCCCAGTAGTCAGGATGGAGACGCGTCAGGACCTCGCTGCCAGGTAATAGAACTCGGGTCAAAGTCCAAACGGGCAAAGCGTGTGATCTCCTCATCGGTCAGAGCGGAAGGGTCGGTCTTCTCTATACCCAGTTTCTACACAAATAAAAGAAAAATCAGATCACCTGTGCAGAAAGTCTAAATAAAACCCTCCGGGGTGCGACCGCTTGCCTTCAGCCTGTTGATCTGGATCGGGGAGAACTTCCTCTGTCCTCCGCTGAGTGGAACCAGGCGGTTGAACAAAGCCTGTGAGCGTGTCAAACAAAGGTTTTTTTTTTACTAATGTGCACTTGTAGACCCCACTGACAGAAGCTGGAACCCACCTTGTCGGACTGCGTGGCCTCGTGGAACATGCGAGCGTCGATGGCTGCAGCCACCAGGTTGTTGGCAGCGGTGATGGCGTGGATGTCACCAGTAAGATGGAGGTTAAACTGCAGATAAATAAAGAGCTTATTAATGAAACGTCCTCTTAAAACATTACAGAAGCAGCGCGGTACCTCTTCCATTGGGATGACTTGAGAATAACCGCCCCCTGCAGCGCCCCCTGTTGACAAGAGAGAGAGTTGCAAAACCATCACATAGTTTAGTTTACTGTAGATTTGCCTTACCCCAAAATTCCACTATCTCCGCTCAGCTCCGGCACGAACTCTGCAGCAAAATCGGTCCCGTTGTAGTCAATCAGAGCTGTTCCACTACTGCGGCCGTGTGGCGCAGTGCGCCGCCCGCCGTTCCGCCATCCGGCAAAAATAGGATCGATTCTATTTTTGCCGGACGCCGGAGCACCTCCGCAGTCGATGGACAGAAATCACAACCGCCCAACAGGAAAGGGAGCAAGCACAGCTTCCATTATTTCACAATAAATCGGAAAAAAAAAGCGTTTTTTGTTTCATATGCACAGGTTTAACAACTTTTAACAACTATCAATGGCAGCTGAAGTTTAAATGCACAAAAGTAAGCCAGAAATACAGTTTCTACTATCAAAGTAGTCACACTTTGTTGATCCATACACTGCTGATCTCTCAACACAAATGATGGGCAGATTAAACAGTTCATGTCGATGCTTCTCCCACACAACGGGTGTTTGGATCGAACTTCCGCGTTTATTGCTCGGACTGTATCGCAAGATCTCGAAAATCCTGCGCATGCCTGTTTGCGCACCTCAGGTCTCCGCACCGGAGCGGAGCCGTTGTAGAGCGGGTACCAGTAAAAATTGAGTTCGGAAGCGAGCGGCTGCGGAAGGCAGGGGCGGAGCGGAGGTAGTGGAATTTTGGGGTAAAGCTCACCCTTAATGCCGAACGTGGGTCCCTGAGAAGGCTGTCGGACACAGGCGAACACATTGAGCTTCATGTGGGCTCCCATGGCCTGGACCAATCCGATGGTGGTGGTGCTCTTCCCTTCACCCAGAGGGGTGGGTGTAATACTGCACAGAGTTAAACAGCATCAGCCCAAACATAATCCAGATGTTGCATCCAGAGCAGCTAAAAGCTGACCGAACGTACCCGGTGACCACCACGTATTTGCCGTCCGGCTGGGATTGCAGTCGCTTCATGATCCTCAGCTGCACCTTGGCCTTGGTTTTGCCATAAAGCGCCACTTCATCAGAGAAGAGGCCGACCTCCCTGGCCAGAAGGTCGATGGGCTTGGGCACGCAGGACCGAGAAATCACTATGTCGCTGTTGGAGTTGGCAACAAATAAATACAACAACTTTTCATCTGAACAAAAACTCAAAAACACTGGAAATTAAAGGTCTTCTTCGCTCGTTTTATTAACAAATGTGTTGTGGTCTCTAGTATGAATGAATGAATGAATGAATGAATGAATGAATGAATGAATGAGGAATAATTTTCTGTGAAAAACTATTGAGCTCTGGCGCTCCCGTTTCAGGAAGTGGAAGTTAGTCTGAGTGGGAAGCAGAAAACAGGATTTTAAGTCTTATTCATTAATATTCATGATAATAAATAGTCTAATCTCTGATTGGCTAGCATAAACGCAAAACTTCTGCTGCCTTTGTAAACAGAAATCAGAACACTGTTATGCTGGACCAACATGTCTTCAGGTACAGCCTTATTTATTAGTTCCTGAGCCCGAGGAGGGAGGAGAACAGGAAGAGCCACTTCCTGATCGTTAAATAAAGGTTTCAGAACGGTAACGTTTGCATTTAGACGTACATTTACTCCCTAAAAGAGAACGTTTGTGGTGATCATCAGAATGTTTGAAGTTGCGATAAACAGCTGCTAATGGTTAGCTTTTACCATCCAAGGCGTGTTCAGCTCTCCTTCCTGTGGGGGTTACCTAGCCAAGGTGGGCGGGGCCATGAATGCTAATTTTCCCTGTGAGGTAGAAGAGACTAGCTTTTCCAGACTGGCTCCTTTTCCCGTCCATTTCGTCTCTGTGGCTAATTCGAACGATGGAGGTTGAAGTTTTTCACGTTCAGCATGCAAATGAAACTGATGATGGTATTTGTCAGTGAGCGAAACCTTAAAAGCAAAGAGACGAACCTTGGCACGGGCTTCTGGAGGTGGAGTTGGGTGTAAGTGATGTCCCACTTCCCCGGCTGGTGGCTCTCCAGAAAACGCTTTGCACTCAACACTGTGTTCTAAACAAACATCAACTTTAAGCCTTTTTTTGGTTAAAATGTTTTGGGGGATTCAGTTCAGCTGCACTGATGGACCTCACCGCCATCAGCATGGCCACAGTCATTGGTCCCACCCCACCTGGAACAGGGGTGATGAAGCCCGCCTGCTCCTTGGCTGAAGAAAACTCGACATCACCCACCACCCTCTTCCCACTGGGCTTCGTCTCATCTGGAAGAACAGCAACTTCTACCCATCAACCGACTCTCGGCACACGTCACACACCTTCCTGAGCGTTAAACGGTACCTGGAATGTGATTGATGCCACAGTCGATGACCAGCGCTCCCTTCTTAATCCAGTCTCCTTTCACCATCTCTGCTTTTCCGATACCAACCACCAGGATGTCTGCTTTCCCTACCTGGAAGGGGAACAGGAGGATGTTTGGGAAAAAGCCACCACAAGATGGCAGTACAGAGTTCTTTTTCTTGCAACACCTTCAGAGTTTCAAAGAATGTTTTTGTCTTGCATAAAAACGTGTTGAAGCAACATAAGATAACCCCTAAAAATAAAATTTATTTTGTGCATCTGAGCATCAAAACCTGACTTTTAAGTGATGTACTCAGCTAAATATTTGAGATGTACCTCTCCTGCAAGGTCTGCAGTTTTAGAGTGGCAGGTGGTGACGGTGGCATGGTTCCACAGCAGCAGATCGTGCATCGGTGCACCCACAATCTTACTGCGACCGAGCACTACCGCTCTTTTTCCTGCTACAGACACACCTGTAGGGAAGTAATACAGTTAATGGGTAATTAATAATGAACATAAAAGTGACTGTAAATCAGTCTGTTTTACAGAAGAATGTAAAAGAGCACTAGACCTTTAACTTATTTTAGTTTTCACCTGTCTGTTTGATCAGCTCCATGCAGCCGTTCGGTGTGCAGGGGATGAAGCAGTCGCCCAGATCGCCACGAGACAGCTTCCCTGCATTGATGCTGGTCAGTCTATAAGTGCATGAGAGGAGCAGAAAGCAGACTGTTGACTCGTGTCCCTCGGTTTAAAAATAAAAGCCCAGAGGTGAGAATCGTCGCTGCAGAAACCCCTCACCCATCTACATCTTTCTCTGGCGCTACGGCATTGGTGACTTTTTCTGTGTTGATCTTGTGGATTGAGTCTAAAGGCAGCTGCACGAGGAGGCCGTGGACAAACGGGTTCTCGTTCACCTCTCTGATGCTGTGAAGAACCTGCAGGAACGCACACACACAGAAATACCTGATTTGTCTAAAAACATCCGATTACATAAATCCAGCCTCACCTCTTCTTCTGTTGCCGTTTTGGGAAGTCTCATATGTGTTGCATTTAATCCAATCTGCAAAAACGAGGAGTTATAAATGATTCGTAATGGAAAATAAGTGTACCGTTTTTTCTTGATATAAATTGTTTGACTAACAATAAATGAGCTGAGTGACCTCTGTTGCCGCTTTCAGCTTCATGCTGATGTACAGATTTGAATCTTCGCGGTCTCCAACCTGTGAGGGGCGACATGGCACTCGGACACGTGACCATTTAGCAGAAAACATTTTAAATTTGTGATATTAATATTTTAAGGCCTACAAATGACCTGTAAAACCACCAGGCCAGGTTTGAAGTTGGGATCCTTGAGCTTCATCTGCTCCACATCCTGTTTCAGACGCTGCCTCACCTGCCTAAAAAAAAAAAAAAAGCAGACGATTTGCAGTAAGATTATTGAGGGTAAAGAGACTTTTGTACTTGGCATGGTTGCAGATTTTCCAACCAGATGCATGCCATCAGCCATCTTTTCAAACTTTACACTCTTGTCTGCTAATCCTGGCTGCACATGCAACTTGCATGTCATATCTTTGACTACAGTCTTCACTTTATCTTTATTTCTTTGACAGATGCATTCCAACACTCTGTGCTGAGATGATAAGCCCCAGCAGAAGGATTTCTTTTAATCAACTAGATAAATCAAAGAAGGCCTTAAACTAGGTGGACTTTAGCTCATGGTCAATGCATCCTCAGGAACCACTGATTTCCCTTTTTCCTATTCTCTCTCTCTCTTTCTTAACATTTTTTTTATCACAATTGTCTCTTTTTGCTCATTTTAAATATATTTTTAAACATTTTCTAAATGCTTTTTTATATTTTTACATTTTTTGTTTTTGTGAAGCGCCTCGTGATTTTTATCTTGAGAGGCGCTATAGAAATGATACTTTCTTCTCCTTCTTCTTGTATTCTAAAATCCTATTTATTTTTCCAAACAAATGTGATCCCAGATTTTATTTGCTAAGCAGGTTTTGTTGTGGAAGAACCTGAGAACAAATCACCTTTGCATCACTTGAACTGAATCTGGATGAATGATTTTGGTTTAAAGCAAATTCTTTGCAAGTAAACTTTAAATCTTGCAACATTTATGCATCTCACTAGATGGTTTATCTCAAACCCTATTTTTGAGCTCCTAAAGAAGAAATGACAACATAAAAAGCCTCCTTATCTCATAGATGGCTCATAAATCCATCCCTGGTCACTAAACAACTTGAGCAATATTTGTGCATGTCGTGCATCCTGCAGGCAAGCTTTAGCCTCCATCTAAGCCAGGGAAACCAAGAGATCTGACGGCTTTCCAGCTTCATTGTGTAACATGGAATAATTTGACTAATGAATGCAGTGAGGGGCCGTTAACAGGCTGCAGGTTGTTATGTCTCGTGACAAGCACATGCAGCTGAATGTCCTCCCATGCTGCTGTTGCTGCATGAGTAGACACGATGATCGCCTGAAATATGAGGAAATCTGAAGGTTTGGTTACCATCAAATCAGTACAAAGTTTACAGATAATGCAAATACCAATCTCCTGACACATGCAGGATCTTCTTGGTTTGATGTTTGAGTTCAGTGGAACAATAGGGCAAAGATCAAATCACACCACTTTACATAATTTGGTTTTAGGTGTCTAACCTGTTACAGCCAAATAATAATGTCTGAGCCATAATGAGCTTAAAACACACTGACCTAATAAGCATGATATGAAAAAAGGTTGAAAGACATAAATGTCCCTCGAGTGAAATAATCGTCTAAAAAGTTTAGGAAACTGAAATGAGCCAATGTGGCTGCTTAGTTAGCCGAGTGGGTTTTGTAAACCTGCAGCAACTAGCATAAATGTCACACGTGCATCCTTGAACATGTTAAATCAGGTACTTACGCTGAAACCTCTTTCCCGCTGATAATTTGGGCTGTCATTTTTCGTCTGAAACTCTGTTCCGAGAGGATGGTGACTATCAAACACGCACACAAGGAGAGAGGTGCGTGGTGGAGAAGTGGGGACCACTTTATTGAAGTTTAATTCGCACGACTTTTGTCGAAGACAGCGTAGTTTGTATTCACGAAAACGACACTAACGCTGAAAATGTTTCGTAGAACGTTCAGGAATAGCCCCGACGTTAATCGACCAATGAACATGGACGACACAGCATTGCCTCTGCCAGCCAATCAGATCTCACATTGAAAGCGCGAGCTGTTTCCCTTGACCAATAAAAATTAGAGAGACTTTTTCCACCCCCATGTATGGGCGGGACGAATTTGACGTAACTCCGCTGAGACTCAGCAGAGGGCAGTAGTTATTTACAAACTGCTGAGATAAAAATCGCCCGAAAGTATACTCGCATTGTTTATGTAGGTCGGTTGTGGACGCGCTAGAGATTGCTTGGCTTTTACTAAACCGCCACTATTCATGTATTGTTAGAAAATACAACTTAGCACTTTCTTTATCCAGCTGCACGTCCAGCGTAAGACATGAAGAGACCCAGAGAGCTATGGAGCATAGATTCAGTGGTGTTTTAAACAACGAAGACCTCTCGCGATTTTCAGACATTGAGAACAATTTCCCCACCGAAAGGTACGTTGATTTAGATGTTTATTTTTTGGGTAGGTAAACATTAGCTCTCCAGTTGGTGAATTGGTGGTAAATTGACTTTTTGTCGCCGCGTTCTCCATTTTTGCTAAGTCTATTACTGTTAGCGCTAAAGGAGATGGCCAGACCCCCTGCATTTTTAATCCCTGGTTAATTAAATGTGTCGTTTCAGACCTAAAACACTGTTCGAGGAAATTCGTGCCTCTATAATCAACAATGACGAAGAGGATCGCTCCTTCTGGAGACCCGTGCTTCCTTGGGGGGGGCGTGTTTACCATCAAGGCTGGGCGGAAGGCCATATCCTGCATCCCCCTGTACGTGGAAGTCCAGCTAAAGAACACATGCACCATTGATGGCTTCCTCATGATCCTGTATGTGATCCTGCGGGACAATCAGGGCTTCCACAGGGAGCTGGCTGTATTCCTGGGAAAGCAGTTTGTGGAGCATTTCCTCTACCTGATGGACTCCTGTGACTACACCACAGTGAAGATGCTGTGGATCTGGAACAAGATGTCTAAGAGACAGTACCGCTCTGAGATCCACCAGGCAGCCCTGGAGATCGACCTGTTTGGGAATGAGCATGAAAACTTCACAGAGAACCTGGAAAACCTCATGTCTACTGCTCAGGAGAGCTCGTGCAGCAGCTGTGACTGTCCTGGTCGCTTCCAGAACATCAGAAAAACCACAATCAACATCAGGTAAGATGCTCACAGGTAAACTTTGTTTCATTTAGACACACAACCCCAAAAAAATAACACTTTGATATCTTTATTTTTCCCCAGCCCTCCTCACGAGCTTCCTCACAAAGACCCGATCCAGTCAGCTGTCGACCAGTTTTTCAGGCCCAAGCTCCTCCTCTGCTCAGAACTGGGGTGAGACGCAGCGAGGATGCTCTTCCATTCCGACGTAGCATCATTTAGCAGGTCACATGTTCTCTTACCAGGTGCGATGGCTTACGGGAGTTTTCTCAGAGGGTATTCTGCCACGGCCCTCCACCTTTTGTCATCCTCAACATGCAGCAGTGGAGGTCAGAGGATCTGTCCTATGTTCCTTACCATCTGGCTCTTTGTCAGCACAGGTATGGTGTGTGTGTTCAGTCATTTAAAAAACAACCATTAATAATAATCACGTCATCTACTGACATATGAGGATTGTTTTATGACACAAAAAGCTGCACAAAAAGCATATTTGTCCTTTTCTTAAATTATTTCACTACAATTCTTTGCTATTGCAATAAACAAGCAGCTTGACGCCATATTGGTGCATGGGATCATGTTTCTGCTGCTTCGACTTGCTTATGTAATTTAACTGATGATGCAGAAAAACGTTGTCTAAACAGATGATAAAGGCTGGGTAATTTTGGTCTGGTCAGTAAAAGAAGCTCATTTATAAATATCTGAAATAAAAGACAAAACTTAGTAAAGACGTTTCTAAACTAATTCCTGCAAATGATGAGAATGAATGTATTTGTTTAATGTTTTTTTTATCATTTAGTTATTTTCTCTGTTAATCAGCAGCTTTTATTGCAGGACAACTTCCTGTTGTTCAACCACACACACCCTGTGGTCTAGCTAAGAGCTTTTCCCTAAATTAGGTCTCAGCTTTTTTTTTTTTTTTTGAGTCGGTGTAAACATACCTTTACTATTTTTAACCAAGAAAACAAATAAAAATAACTCCAAATAATAAAATTTCTTATTTAAAATGTCAGACCTGGTGGAATTTTTGTTCCAGTTTACAGTTTAGTACAACTAATAAATGAAAACTAAAATACGAAAGAAAAAATGCATATCAATATGTTTAAAATCTTTAAGCTTAGAAAAATGTCAACGTTCCCAGCAGATACTTGCTAGAGGGCGCCACTCTCTTCAACAAGGAGGAGCATCACTACTCTGCAGCCTTCCAGATCGACGGCTGCTGGATGCACTATGATGGGCTGAGGAGCGATAATCTGATCCTACTGAACAAGCCACCCGAGCTCCTGCTGCTCTCCTCTCTGGTCTACATCCGCGCCTCCGACAAATGACCACCTTACCACGGGTGGAGGCCGTCCAGGTGACCCACAACTATTAAATCCATCTGTCAACTGACAAATTTCCTATTAATGGCATTTTTTTTGTTGTTTCTTTTTCCATTTTGTTGTTAAAATGTATATTTTCTTTAACTCATGCCCCGAGGATGTCTTCTTTGCAGCTACAACTGGATCAAACGCTGATGATTATAATTTTTGGGGCATGCTTGGAATCCAAGAATATTATATGGGCTATAATAGTTCTGGGTTGATGTACTCTAAATATTGTTATTAACCGCAGTTTATACCTTCTATACCGTAAAAACAGCCGATGGAACAGTTTCTGCTGTTTTCTTAAGGTGGAAATCCTTTAACCCTCCCACTGTCTTTGAGTGACCCCGCGAGGAAAGTTGACCATTGAGCAGGATTGATGGTTTATCCCTTGAGGTCTACGTGACAGGGGTGAGGTGGTGTTCACTCCTCACCCCTGTCACGTGGACCTCAAGGGATAAACCATCAATCCTGCTCAATGGTCAACTTTCCTCGCGGGGTCACACCCACTAGGACAGTGGGAGGGTTAAAAGTAGCCGTGTGTAACAGACGTTTAGACAGTTAAGAGGGTACTATTGTTCCAGCAGATGATACTTTTCATTTATTTACAAATGATCGTGGTGCTTTATTAGACTTTTGGTCAAATGGAAATGATGAGACAAAGTTGGACTGTTTTGTTAAGCTGTTGAAATACTTGGAGAACCTCGTGTTTACAGTGTGAACGTTAAAACGCAGTGATGTTTAAGGCAGAGTGAGTCGTTTGTTTCAAATTTAGTGAAAATGATATATAAACGATGTTTGGCTTTTATGGCATTGGTCTGTGATGAAAAATGCAGTTTCTGCCTGTTGTTTTTTAAACGCTAATCCTCACGAGAATAGCTGATCACATGGTGCCTCTGCAGAGAAAAGCAGACGTCGTTTTAAAATAAAAACGAGTATTTTCACACACACCTGTCTGGGTTCTTTCACTCATGCATATGGATGCAAGAACAGACTCAAAAAAAAACAGACATGACCTTTTAAGGCAGGCATTTATTTTTTTAAACTGGGTACGACCGCACCACACAGATGGACTAAAATGTATGAAATGTCTTCAATCAACCGTGAGAAGATGTGAGAAAGCTACAGTTTCCTTTACACTTAGTTATTTTGTACTTCCAGCATTAATCCACAGGATAGAAAATTCAAGTCGCTAACTGACTTCGGACAAACGACGGGCTAAAAGAAGCAGAGCGGTCGTTTTGGCTGAACGCTGGACATCAAGTCGTCACAGGAGTTGTTTTTTATATTTTTCCCTTTTCAGTCGAATGTAGACCAGCTGTTAAAGTTCTCTGCTTTCTTTCTACAAGCACTTTGGTGAGAGCACGTCATTAGACAGAAACAAAATACATACAAACTCCCTTTTGCAGAATCACATTTACAGATTTTCATCTCTTCAAAACAAAGTAGCAGTTAAAACGTACGACGTAAACAACAAAACTGTAAAATAATGCTAGAGGACTCGTAGCGGCAGCGCTCCGTTACACATGCACGAGTAAGATCTACGAACTGTTTATGCATTTTTTTTAATGAAAAAGTTCACATGACCTGTCAGAAACTAAGGGTCACCAGTAATCTGACCAATTTGCGAGGCAAATTGCACTTAAATGAATCAAAAATGAATTTAGTGTAGATGAAGCAAAGCAACAACGTGTTTACATGGTAACAGCTGAAGTGCTTTAAAGATCTCCATCTTTCATTTAACCAATAGGAAACTCATCTATATAAAATGTACACATGAACTTGAAACACGATCACTGAAGACGCCGGTAGGTTGAAACAAGGTTGGGTGTTTGGTCAACATGTGGACTTCTGTTACAGCAACGTGAGACGCCTTGGCTTTTTAAGGAGACAAACACAAAACACATTCAGTCCCATGAACAAACGAGTCTTATTGCATCATCTAAACGTCGTCCACTTCAAACAAAAACATCAATAACGCGTAACAGGTGAATGCAACACAGAGCTTAGGTATTGGTTTCCAATTATGTGCAAAGGCTGACAAAGTAAACTTAACATGAAGTGACTCAGCAACACGCCGCACCTAGACGGGCGTTAGAAGAGAGCTCTTTGCTATTGCTGTGCACTGCTTGATGCATCGTTGAGCCAGAAGCTGCACGTCGACACCCTCAGATACACCGATTTTCTTCTAGGGACCAGATAACTCAGCCCGTGTCAACTAGCACGTGGAAGAATGGAAAGAAAAACAGGTCCGGCACCTTTGCATGAACCATTTACCTTTAAGGTGATGGGCCAGCAAGTGTCAGATAGCATCATAGCTTTCTAACTAAAATATAGTAAATCTGGCTGATCTCCAAACATCAGAGACTTCTTTTGCTCTCAGTAAATTAGATGTGATTGCACGTTGAGGGGCCGTTTAAGATTCTGGACATTTAAACGCCCAGAGAGCAAATTACTAGTATCTAATGTAACAATTTAGAGAAGGCTAAACATAAACTTCATTTATGAAGGAGCGCAAACGGCTAAATCCTGAATCCTAAATATAGCACCAGTTATTATTGTGGACTCACCAAAGAGCAACAAAATGGGTCATGGCCGATTTTAACCGTTGCAAAGATTAGCAACAGCATGACCCGACCTTTGGTGGACGAGACAACTGAACACAGTTCTTTAACGCCTTTGAGAATGAAACAGACCAGATGGGATGGATGAAAGGGTGAAATTCACCTCTAAAGTGACTCGGGAATCAAACTACACACATTCACGCACAAATTAAGTGACCCAGTGCAGAAAAACATTTACAGGCAATGCACTAGAGGATATAGTCATATCTATGTATAGATAGATATATATAGAGAGATAGACATATATATATATATCTCTATCAATATATATATCTATATCTGTGCATTTATACTATTTACACGAGAGAGAGAGACAGAGAGAGAGAGCCCTTTGAGAAAATAGAAAGTTTCTAACTTTGCTCTTTTCTTGTGAAGCACTGATTTAGGTGCAGAACTTTTATCGATGCCGAGCATCGGTTCTTCACGCAGACACGTAACGAACAGTCCCGTCATGCACGTACCCCTCGACTTTACACACTACACGGCCAAGAGCCACACATTCCTACACAGACAAGCAGACTGCGGTGTTCATGGACGTAATTTTTTGGGGGGGGGGGCAGGGGGGACATGCCCCCCCCCCCCCCCCCCCCCCCCACACACTTTTTCCGTAGTCAAGGTTTGACCCCTGCACTTTTTACCATCCAAAAACAATATTACGCTATATTAAATTGACACTGGTTAAGCTCTAGGACCAAGCGGAAAACAACCGTTTGTGTTGAAGCCTGTTTCACATTAGAGCATACTGTAAAGATCTCCCCCCCCCCCCGTGTCCTCCCCCCACTTCTAAAGTGATAATTACGTCCATGGCGGTGTTCTACAGAATCTGAACCCGTAGTTCTGACTGCAGCAGAAACGTTTAAAACTTCGGACTTCGTGACAACAGAACAAAACATAAAATTATGAAGCATGGGCAAATTTTTCCCCCACAGCCCAATGGGACATGGCTCAAAGTGATCCAGCTGCAGGAGTCGTCTTCGTGTGCCCCACATCCATTCAAACATCTTTTTATCTAAATAACGTCATTGCTCTTCTTCGGCTCTGCAGCCAGACTCTGGGCTCTTCTAACCAGCCTGTGAACATCCATCAGCCCAGAAAGCTCTCCGGTTTTCTTAAAGGCGTGCAGCTAAGCTCGTCGCACTTGAAGAATATGGGAAAGAGGCGCAGACAACAGAAAAAGATAAAGTCTTTGTTTCTAAAGTTGTTTTACTGAGTCCAAGCTGGCAGGGCCAAGGGTCAAAGGGCAGTCAGACCAAAGTTACAACGACAATACATCATGCCGTTGGAGTCCAACCAACTGTCCGAGATGGGGTCATAGCGCTGGACAGTGTTCAGATAGGATGACCCTGAGTGACCTCCAACCACGTAGAGGCAGTTGTCCACAATTGCAGAGCCCACACCTGAAAGGAAATGATAATCATATAAAAACATCAGGAGACTAAAGAAAAAACTGGTTCAAAATCCAACAAACTCACCAGTCCGAGGTTCATTCATGGGACGGCAGGCTGTCCACTGGTTCTGATGTGGGTCGTACCGCTCGATGCTGGACAGGTGGGACACTCCGTTGTGTCCACCCACCACAAAGATGAAGCCGAGCATGACGCCCACGCCAAAGTTGATCCGCTTATCTGCCATGGGGGCTACCATTTCCCAGGCATCTTTGCTAGGATCGTACCGCTCCACACTGTGTAATTCAACAAACAGCCGATCATCAGTCAGGTATGGCAATACCACAGCTGTGGTTTCAGATGATGTCAATGTCTATGGCAACAATAATTTTAATTAACAACACAAAAAACATCAGATTCTCTATGATGCATATGTCAGTTTAAAGGTGCATGAAGTAAGAATGACATCCTGTGGTCAAACTGGGTACTGCAGTCCATGTACGAAAGAGTCCTCTCTGAGCTAACCACCAGGAAGTAGGGCTGGGCGATATGGCCTCGAATCAGTTATCACCATTGTAATAAAAATGAACTTGTCATCTGTTGTATAATTGCTTTATACAAGTTATTGATCACTACTGTTTGTCAATCACACTTATCATGAGGATGTAATCAAGGAGAGCCGAACATAATGTGATCATGAGGATGTAATCAAGGTAATCCTGGTGGAGGTGTGCAGCTTTGCACGCACATCAGGGAATGTATAAGGAGCAGAGCAGAGCTCAGAGCTGTTAGAGCTGTTTGAAGGATTCTATTTGACGAGGTTCATGGATTACGTTTTCTAACTGGGGTGTTCAGCTCTCCACCCATAAGCAACGGTAAGAGAAATGTTTCGTTCATGATTGATAACTTGTATGAATGCCGGTTGAATAAAGCCTTGTTGTTCATCTGATATTCAAGTTGTGTTTCATTGTTTCTGGCGTCGACTTGACAACGATCCTGATTAAATAAATATAAAGTGTAAAAAGAGACTTTGAGTCTTTTAAGGTAATTAAAATAAAATAAAACATTTTATTTTAGAACATTTTTGGCGTCACGAACAGGATCAGTCAAGCTATTCCAGCAACAATGAAGTGTTTTTGGAGAAGCAAAAAGGAGCCGAGTGCTTCTGGGGAGGGAACGCCGATTCCCGTGCCGATTCCCGGCTGGGAAACGGAGGAGTTCCGATCCATTGGTGATATGTTAAGGCAGCGCGGTGGACGCCCTGGGCCGTGGGGAGAGTTAAATGGAGTGGTCAGCCCCGCCGTGGTGCTGGACCGTTTGACGCGGATAGAAGTTAAAAAAAAAGCGCCGCTGGCAGGAGTGAGAGATATGATGTGGCTTTTTGCAGAAGCATGGAAAAAACAGGAGTTAGAATTGAGCAGTTGTAGAGAGCGAGCGGCGCAGGAGAAAATCCATGCTGAAGAAGTTGAGAAATCATGCTCAGAGTTTGAGCAGAGAGTGTGTGTGATGGGGAAAGAGCTAAAGCATGCTCAGAATGTTTTGGATAAAACGCTGACTTTTGTGTCTCGAGCGCAAAGGAAGGAAAAGAAGCGACCTCGTAGAACAGGTCCTGCTCAGATCCGGGCGTTTGTAAAGAATGTTGGTGAAGATTGGGACCCGCAGAAATGGAACGGGGATCTTTGGGGGGATGATGAGGAGGAGGAGTGGGTGATTAAACCTGACCCACCACCTCAGCCCTTGTATCCATCATTACAGAGGATAAAGATGTCAGAACAAAGACCTATTACTAGGCGTCGGCGAGAACAGCAAATTATTCCACCAATACTGGTAGATATGGTGGATGATCAGGGACGGCCGGAACTCGATGAGGCGGGTAATATAAGAAGGATGTTACAACAGCAGCCACAACCCGCCCCTAGGCTGCTAACAACGCTAGAGGATTATTCACAAGATGAGTTAAATCACATGAATGGGAAGCTGAAACAGCGCCCAGGCGAACCAACTGACTCCTGGCTTAATCGCCTTATGGAGGATGGCGCGTGTGATATAGCCATAGATGCCGGTGATGCCATGAGATTTTCAGGATTAAGTACTGATGCACAGATAAATGCTGAATACAGGGCTACAGTCCGGGCATTGCCAGCTGATGAAGATTTCAATGTGGGGGATGCATATGCTCTGGCATGTCATGTAATCTATCCTACCACGGCGGACTGGTCTGAGATTAAAGGGCAATGGCAGACAGTGAGAGATGCCATTCAGCGGCTCACCAGACTCACTATTAGAGAGCAAGTGGCTCGAAACGGGGGAGCTGGAGTGGTGGACGGTAACATCTCTAAGGCAACTAGAGATCACCTCATCAGACATGCCCCACCACATTATAAACCCATGGTGACCAGCTTGTTGTTTGGCGCGGCAGACCAGACTTTTGCCGCGATAAAAGATCGTCTTGGCGAACTCACCACGCTGGGTGATTGGTCTGAGACGAGGAGAGAGGGAGCTAGAACTGAAAATAAACCCAGGATTGATCCACATTCAAGGGGTCGTAAAGGGGGGGCAATGGGCCCCTCTAGAACAGATCTGTGGAGGGCACTGCGACAAGCGGGAGTGCCGTTTGAGGAGATTGATGGATTGCCCACTAATGCATTGATGGAGAAATGCAGACAAATGGGACTGAAGGTCCATTGTCAGTTCAGACATTGTCCTGAAAAGGACGACAGGATGTCTGTGTCAGAATTGGTTGGAATGTTGCAGAATGTGATCAGGGAGGTGGCGTCGAAGCCTGCTGAACCTTCCGCCCCTCCCAAGGAATCTTCAGAGGAGGAGAGTTCAGATGAGTGTTATCAGGTGGCGGCAGTGAAGCGTAGAAAGAAAAAACAGCACCGAAGGGAACATGATGATGAATAGGATGAAGGTCAAGCTCGGGTTGTTGCCAGTGCCTCAGGATGGTCAGTAAATGATATCAGACCACATGTGGAATTACAGATTTATTGGAAAAAATCAGTACAGACAGTAATGGCATTGGTTGACACTGGGGCGGAGGCCTCTGTAATTCATGGCAATCCTGATAAAATAAAGGGAAACATTGTACCTTTGACTGGACTTGGGGGGCAGATGTTAGTAGGAAAGGGAGTAACTTTGCCCTTAAAAATAGGAAATCAACCTATTAGAAATTACAGTGTAGTAGTGGCTCCTGCAAAGGAATGGATTATTGGAATGGATATATTGGCCGGAATGACTCTTCATCTGAAACATGGTCGATTTTGTTTTGGTATAAACAGAATCCACACCATTTTGGTAGGCAAGGTCAAAATGACACCTTTTCCCATTCCTGAAGCAACACAGGTGGTATCACAAAAACAATACCGGTTGCCTGGGGGTCAGAAAGAAATTACGGACACTATTAAAGAATATCTGGAGGCAGGAGTTTTGAAAACATGCACCACACGGTGGAATAATCCCTTATGGCCAGTGAAGAAATCAGATGGTTCATGGAGAATGACTGTGGATTATAGAGCGCTGAATAAACATACTCCTCCTTTAACGTCTGCGGTTCCGGATGTTATCACGATTGTGGAAAGGGTGCAGCATCACTCTGGTACATGGTATGCGGTGATAGATTTGGCCAATGCTTTCTTTACCATACCTATCCCTGAGGACAAGATGGAACAGTTTGCCTTTACATGGGAAGGAAGACAGTACACCTTCACCAGATTACCACAAGGGTATGTGCATTCACCCACAATCTGTCATAGGATAGTGGCTGAAAATCTGTCGACTTTAAAGATCCCATCAGGCATATTGTTATCACACTACATTGATGACATCATGATTCAGGGAAACACTAAAGAAGAGGTTGAGCAATTGCTCCCACTTCTGATAACACATATGAAGAATCATGGATGGGAGATAAATCCAGCGAAAGTGCAGGGACCTGCACAGTCAGTGAAGTTCTTGGGAATTATCTGGAATAGAGGGGAAAGAGAAATAACAACTAAAGCTAAAGAGAAAATAGCACGGTTCCCAATACCACAGAATAAGACAGATGCTCAGCGGTATATTGGGTTGTTTGGGTTCTGGAGACACCACATACCTCATTTAGGACAGATCTTGCAGCCTCTGTACAGATGCACTCGGAAGAAGGAGCAGTTTGAATGGGGGCCTGATCAACAACAGTCATTTGAACTAGCTAAAGAGGCAATCCAACAAGCTGTTTCTTTGGGGAAGATGTTGTCAGGACCAGTGGAGTTACAGGTTTCTGCAGTAAATGATTATGCTAACTGGAGTTTGTGGCAAAAACAAGATAGGTGCAGAAAACCTTTGGGTTTTTGGTCTAGGAAATTGCCTGATGCAGGACAGAGATATACTCCATTTGAAAAACAGTTGTTGGCATGTTATTGGGCTTTGTTGGAAACAGAAGCCCAAACTGTGGGGCATGAAGTAATGATGAGAACACATATACCCATTCTAACTTGGGTCATGAGCAATCCTACAACTCACCGCATAGGGGTAGCTCAAGAGGCTAGCATCATAAAATGGAAGTGGTATGTTTCTGAGAGAATGAAACCAGGAGAAAAAGGAGTATCAATGCTCCACGAGCAAGTGGCAGACATTCCAGAAATGGATGAAGTGCCTTTTGAGGTAAAACCAATCCAGGATTCTCCTGTGAAACTGGGGGTAAGATGGAGCGAACTCACCCCAGAGCAGCAGGAGCGAGCCTGGTTCACTGATGGTTCCTGTCAATATGTGGCAGGAACCAGGAAATGGAAGGCTGGGGCATTTAACCCTGGTACACAACAAGTTATGGAACTCACAGGGACAGGAAAGAGTAGTCAATGGGCGGAGTTGAAAGCAGTACACATGGTAATAATGGCAGCTGGGGTGCAGGGAGTAAGTATTTATACTGACTCCTGGTCAGTAGCCCAAGGAATGTTAACTTGGATGCCAACTTGGCATGCTACACAATGGAAGATACATTCAAAAGAGGTTTGGGGAGCTGACCTATGGAAGGACATTTGGGAGAAATGCCAAAATATTCCTGTGTCAGTATTACATGTGGATGCTCATACTAATAACAATGATCCTGAATCCCTGCATAATCAGACTGTAGATAAGATAGTGAAAATTCAGGCTGTAAGACAATCAAGTCCTGGATTAGCCAAATGGGCTCACGTTACTGCTGGACATTGGGGTGTGCAGGGAACATTGAAATGGGCGAGGGACAGAGGAATAGATCTCATCATTGATGATATTAAAACTGCCATAGAAGATTGTGAACATTGTCAGCATACAGGTAAAGAACCGTTGGTACTGGAAAAAGGAGACAAGATAGCTCAGTTAGTAATCAAACGGTGTGTAATGTCCAAAGTTGAAGAGATTACTAAACCTACCACTATCACTCAGAGGGGTGAAACTGGGTTTGAATCATCAGACTTTACTGCGGGGGCAAAAGTGTGGGTGGAGCAGCTCAATGGTCCTCCCAGAGCTGGAGAGATTATTGCACAGGGAAAAGATGCTGTGGTAAGTGTATTGTTCCCCGGAGAGGAAAAATGGATTAATATTCCGATAAACAAATGTTACAGGAGAGAAAATTAATGCTTGTCATTCTATCTGCAGTTTTGTATGTATCCCATAGGCGGGTGTCTGAGTGACGGTGGTTGACTGGGTCCCCTTCCCCTACAAAAGGATTGAACCTTTGTCGAGGCGATGGATGGGCTCCGCGGACCTGGTGGTGTCGGATGTTTGGTCATCGTCCTCCATGTCCTCGCTGTCATCGCACTGAGGGCACATTTCTGTTGGGGGCTCACGGAAGGACAAGTGTTGGAAGAAGGGGTCATGGGCCATCTGGAATTGGTTAGCAGTATGTCCAACCGCACTCAAGGCACATTCACATGCAGAGCAAATGACGCTTGCTACTTGGGAAACCTAACATCTACCGGTAAGATGTACCGGTGCAGAGGATGTCTTAAAATCCGAGGAAGGGTGATCAGCCCGGGGGTGTTGGTTCAAGGATCAACAGTAACCTTTAATTCTGCAGCGCGCATCTGTGCATACCATCAGGGGAATGGTACTTGCATACAAAATGGCACAAATTGGAGTATGAAGGTTGATCGCGATTTCCGGATCAGGAATGGAACTGTAATCACAGGAGGATACGCCTATTTGTACATATTCTGGGTGCTGCCCGACACAGCTAGAGCTACGCAGACAGCTGTAGCTCCCCTGGTTCACACTTGTCAACAAATGGGACAAATAAGGGTAGCCGAATATGTGCGATGGACTGTGAAATTCCCTCCTATTCCGCCTTGCAACAGGAGGAGGCGAGCATGGTATGACACCGTGCTAGGAGGAACTGGAACTTTGTATGGTCTGGCTAACACAGCAAACAATGAGGTAACACGAACTATGCTGTCTAACACTGGAGAATACACCGCACAAGCTGTCACCAAGACTGCAAGATGGATGCCTTCGACTGTATCTAGTCAGCTAGAAGGAAGTGATGTGTGGAAAAGTGTATTTAAATGGAATCTAAAGCTTTGGAATGAAACTTATGATGCATTGCATAATTTGTCACACATAGGTAATTGGACAGTCTGTTCCTTGCAGACTATTCATGCTGAGACACAGAGAAATAGGTTTCAAATACAGGTAATGAGTAATAACTATCATGCATGGCGAACATTATGGAACATCAGTAGTTCATTATGGCTACAGCTACATGCAGAAATGACGATTTGTAATAAATCTATGTGTACTGGATACTGGGATCAGTATAATATGACATCAGTAATGACTGTGTGTAGATATCAGATACTGCCGGTGATAACCACTAAAGGGTTTTGGTATCTCCATGTTAGTGGAGAGTGGTGGGATGTTAAAACAAATCGAACATATGAAGTAAAACACTGTGATGAGACTGATAAGGGTTTAGCCTGCCCATTGGTAAAAGGACATAGCAATCCATGTTTCACTGATTCAAGGGTCGTACTCTGTGATTGGACGGTCACACCCCCAGAGGAACAGTTTTGGCAGGTGGGTCCTAACACCTTATGCGTGGCTACAATGACCAATTCCCCACAGGTACCTTCAGTTCCCTTTTCAGGTTGTCTCAAGGGTATACATATGTGGGAATGGAATAACGTGACCTATTGGTTGAGTAATTACACTGTATCTAGTCGGCTGACTAAGATACAATGGGAGGTTTTACACTCCCCTTGGACACTCTCACTGGAACGATTCAAATGCGCATTGGATGGTTCCACTGAAGTGGCAAAATTGATTGACTCTCATAGGTCCAACCTTTCCAGGCTCATGGTGTCTACTCTTGTGACACAAGGGGAAATAAAACATGTTGCTACATTGATTGAACAGGCTTCCGCTCACCATTGGTGGGATATATTTACAGGCATGTCGAGTACCGCTAATAAAGTGCTAATTCCACCTATGATTGCAGCATTAATTATAATCAGCATTCTAACATTGTGTAATCTTATTATTTGTTGGTATGTTATTCGATTAAGAAGAGAAATAAATTGGGTAATAATGCAAAGACTACGATGAAAATTAAAGTGGAACTACAAGGTATGTTATAAATGACGTTGGTTTTGATGGGGAAATGGTGATGGATATGTTACATAAATTAGATGAAAAGTTCAAGAGTGGAATGTAATAAAAATGAACTTGTCATCTGTTGTATAATTGCTTTATACAAGTTATTGATCACTACTGTTTGTCAATCACACTTATCATGAGGATGTAATCAAGGAGAGCCGAACATAATGTGATCATGAGGATGTAATCAAGGTAATCCTGGTGGAGGTGTGCAGCTTTGCACGCACATCAGGGAATGTATAAGGAGCAGAGCAGAGCTCAGAGCTGTTAGAGCTGTTTGAAGGATTCTATTTGACGAGGTTCATGGATTACGTTTTCTAACTGGGGTGTTCAGCTCTCCACCCATAAGCAACGGTAAGAGAAATGTTTCGTTCATGATTGATAACTTGTATGAATGCCGGTTGAATAAAGCCTTGTTGTTCATCTGATATTCAAGTTGTGTTTCATTGTTTCTGGCGTCGACTTGACAACGATCCTGATTAAATAAATATAAAGTGTAAAAAGAGACTTTGAGTCTTTTAAGGTAATTAAAATAAAATAAAACATTTTATTTTAGAACAACCATATACTGAGCAGTTCAACTCGATAGCGATAAATGGACACTAATTACCCGTACGGTGACCAAGGGAGCAGTGATGGTAGATTTGGTCGAGAGGATCGTTTTCAAAACATTCTTCAGCAACCATTCGGCAACGTTTTGGATTTGGACGCTGCCGCCAGCCGCGGCCCTCGCCCTCTGCTTCATCATCTGAATCATCGCCACATCGTCTCTCCCTTCTTGTTAGATCGGACTGGGTGGAGTCACGTGACTCCACCCAATTCAGTTTGTACCGCAGCCTCTTAAAGGAACATGATCAGCAGCAACCCGCACACCTTTTATTTTATTTTTTTTCAAATACCTAATATATTGACATGGGCAAAATGACATTGTTTATAGACAAATTTTGATATCGGTAGATTTTAAACAATGACCTCTTCCCTTTTCAGCCTTTAAAAAAAAAAAAAAGGCAAAACCCGTTAACCACCCAGCCTGTTGAGAGGGAAATCTGTTTAAATGTAATCGTCCTTCCAACATGAATAAGTAATTAGACCATTTTAAATTTCTTTCTTATTGCACCTTTAACTTTTCTCCTATTAAAAAAAAATAAGGGCAAACCATAGAAAACTTTTTGAAAGATTATACCTAAATCATAGCTAATTAAATGATTTAAAGTTTAAGATGCCAAAGTTAACGACTAATGAGGCTGTCACAAGTCTGACTAAGGTATTTAGTAGGAGGATACCAGCGATCTGGGACTGTTTTGTACCAAAAAGCAAGAACACAAAACCACAAGAGGAATGAGGAAGAAGTCCCTTGAAATTTTCTGTCCAAACATGTCCTCCTGAGAGGTTTCAGGTGTCAAGGAGATGACCAACTGGGACGCAGCTCTCTGGTGATGCTCGGCAACACAAAGACACGAACACTGAATCACTCAACACTTCAGCTATAACAGCAACAGGTCCATCACCATTTTCTCAGTAACAGCTGATATCCTTTACTAGATTGCTCATTATATTAAATATCTGACAAGATCCTGAAGGGAAAACTGGGTTACCTATTCATGTGCGCTGGCCCGTAGCCTCCGATAGCGTAGATCATGCCATCCAGCACAGCGGTGGCAAAACAGCTACGGGACTTTGTCATGGGAGCCACAGGTTGCCACTCCTTCAGCTTAGGGACATATTTCTCCACAGACTGAAGGTAATACTGGCCGTCATAGCCTCCCAGAGCATACAGTTCTCCTGCTAAGACCACCACACCGAGCGTGCTGCGACATTCTGCCATCCTCTCCATGGAGGACCATGTGTTGCTTTCGGGGTCCCAGCTCTCCACGGTGCTCTCGTGTCTCCGATAGCTAATCCCTTGCCTCATGTGCGTGGCAATGCCTCCCACCACAAAAACTCTGTTGTCCAGCACCGCCACGCCAAACTCATAACGGGGAACACTAAGAGGGGCCAGTCCAATCCATGAATCTCTCTGAGGGAAATACATTTCCATGCTGAAAGAGAAGAGGATAAAATGTAATAAGACTATTTCAAATCGTATATTTCCATTTTCACATCATCATCATCATCGTTACCTTTCCAGTGTAGCAAACAGACCAGCTTTGCCACCTACTGCAAGTAGCACCTTTGGGGCACACCTGGGCCGTGCTGACAACACAGTCTGATAGGAAAGTCTGTGTTCAGGCATAAAGTGATATTTGAGGGCCTCGTTGAGCAAGTGCTTGCACGCGTGGTCATCTCGTAAAAGGTGGTTGGCTTCATATAGGCGGGTGAGGAATTTGACGCTGAGAAGTGGAAGGCGAACACAGTGTAACAACGGAGCAAGGTGCTGCTGTCTCTCCGTCACATCATATTTGATCCACGATTCCAGGGCATAAAAAACACTCTCCTCTGTGTCCACCTTAAGACAGTCATTAGAAACTATTTCATCCAACTCAGCTCTTGTAAGTTCAAAAAACTCCTCCGTTTGACACACCTCCTCAAAGTTCTCACAGATGAATTTTGTTGCAGCCAAGCACAGGTCATGACAGCCATATGTCTCTGCAAAGCGGGATATCCCTATACAGTTTCCAGCATCCAGCTGGCTTTCTAAGAAGGAACAGCACTCCTTAAGTACAAGCTTAACCTGGAGTAAATTGGCAGCCGGCAGCAGAGACTCAACAGTTTCCTGGGAGATGAACACCGTCCCTGTGTAGGCATACTCTACAATAGCCTGGAAGAGAAACAGTAAAAGGTGTAAGAAAAGGACTTTTACAGCTTTGAATTTGTGGATCTACTTGGTTTAAGCATACCTTCAATGCGGTCTCATCAACGCACTGGAACTCCACCTCAGAGGTCTCTTTCTCTGAAAGGTTACCTGTAAACATGGCCTTGAAGTAAGGGCTGATGCTAGCCAGAACTACTTTGTGGGCATGAATCTTGGCATCACCCACACGTAGGACGATGTCGCACAGTTCATGATCCTGCCGCAAGAGCTGGAGGCCTTGCAGCAGCTGCTCTGAGTGGGGCCGTGTGAGACTTGCAAACATATAGGACTGGTCCTGTTGGTCCATCTGGTAACAGAAACCCAGACATCGGAGCAGAGTTTATTACACAGTGTAGACTTGACCAACATGCTGTAAATCTAAGAACTACCACATTTCAAGCTTGTGTAACATGAACTTATTACTGTAGACGTTTGTGGCGACATGCCGAGTTAAAAGGCTGCATTCGGGATCAGTTTGTTTGCAGTTTCCAAGGTAAGGCTAAAGAGCATCCGAGTCCTAAGCTAACGCTGCTTTTAGCTAGGAAGTACGAACACTACACGACACACGTGAACCAAATTTACCAAACTATAAAATGCATTTATTTAAGCACTGCAACAAATCATCAAATATAAGAATGACATGTTGGGATCTGTCTTTGTTTTTCAACGGAGGAAGCTCTTAAATCAGAAATCACTCGCTACCTCTTAGCTAAAGCAACACACATAGCTAACAGTGAGCTATAGTTTTTGAGTCCAGCAAACACACAGCTTATCCAAATACATATATTTCCATCTCAATGCACTACAGGTTGTTCGCTAAAAATTATTATTAGCCTGTTCTGGGCGCAGAATTGATATACAGAAACATGGCTGACGGTTACAAACGTGACGTTTTAGCTAGCTTTCGGATAACAATTTATCTCGTCAAAGCAGAAAAAAAACAAACCTGTAATTTGTGGTCCGTATGATGCGCGAAAACAACGACTGACTGTGCGGTGGCGATGACTGAGAATCCCGAGCAGCTAGCAAGAAAACAAGCGACTGCCAACCTACCTAGCCACAAAGCTACAGACCATAGACTGTACATACAGCTACAGACAAGCTAAAGACAATAACAACGCTCTATCAGAATAAAACACCCACTTCCGGTGCTTTCAAAATAAGACGACTTTACTAGACTCACTGACAGGCTGTTTGAAAAAACACGTTTTCATCTTTCTCTTCTTTTTAATCTCTAGTCTACAATATTTAATCAAATACAGGTTTCATGATATATTTCTATTTAATTCCCAACTATAATCAGCCGAGGACACATATTTTAACCTCGCTAGCATTAATTATTTTTTTCATTCAAATGATAAAAAAAGACAAAATAGACTAAAACAATTGCCTAATTGTTCAGTTGTGAAAACAAAAATAGGTTTTTGCTGCCATAATCATTCACTGTAAACCAATGGTGTAATTGTTTAGTAAACAAAAATCTGTATAATCTGTATATAGTTTTCTGTATCAAACAACACCAAAACATAAATTATCACAAAATTGCAAACATTTTTATTTAGAGCATTAATGGCTATAGTACATAAAATGTTAAATGTATGTTGCATTTTATTTTATTTTATGTGTATGGCAACCCAATTTCTCATATAACAGTTAGACAGTAATTTCAAGTTGATCATCCACAGTTGGTTTAATAAAGAGCAAGTCACCTAGCCTAGTGAACTAGATCAAATTCTTGCTTTGCAAAGAATGGTTAGGGTTAGAAGCTCTTGATTTACCGGTCGATCTACGCTCCTACCCTCATCTATGGTCACGATCTTTGTCCGAAAGAACGAGACTGTGGATACAAGCTGCCGAAATGAGTTTTCTCCGCAGGGTGTCTGGGCTCTCCCTTAGAGATAGGGTGAGAAGCTCAGTCATCTGGGAGGGGCTCGGAGTAGACCTGCTGCTCCTCCACGTCGAGAGGAGCCAATTGAGGTGGCTCGGGCATCCGGTCAGGACGCCTCTCTGGTGAGGTTTTCTGGGCACGTCCAACTGGGAGGAGACCCAAAGGAAGACCGTGGACACGCTAAAGAGACTATGTCTCTTGTCTGGCCAAAGAACGCCTTTGGATTCCCCTGGAGGAGTTGGCCCAAGTAGCTGGGGAGAGGGAAGTCTGGGCCTCTCAGCTTAACCTGCTGCCCCCACGATCCGACTCCGGATAAGTGGCTGAAAATGGATGGATGGATGGATGGATCCTCTGGACGTATTAGGTAAGTACTGTATGTCTTTTTGCATCTTTTTGTAATTCCATAAGAGTCTCTACTGCCTCTATAAAAACTCCAAATGCAAAAGAGAAACATCCATCCACTTTTTGCCAGTGTTTGATTTGAGACATTGCTTGCAAAGCAAGTGTTTCAAAAAGTTCTCTATCATGTCACAATAAAGGAAATTAGTCTAGAACCACCACCTGTCAACACAGCAGGAGCAGTGGCTGTTGGCTTTACCTGAGAGGAATTTTGTGCAAAATAATTAGCGGTCAGACCGTGGCGATAATGTGCTGCAATCGTGTCCTTTTTACAAAAGATTAGATTACGCAATGAAGTTATAAAGGGGGTATGGGGCGGTCTCTGCACTGACGCGGACTCACATTTAGCGTGGACACAACTTTTAATTGTGATTGAAATCATGCTCTATAAGTTTTTTTTGACCAGCTGATCCTAAAGGTGTCTGTCCTTCAGTCCCCTTGAACTGTCTGGTGATCTGAGCTCCAGCTCTAACGGAGAGAAGCTCCTGGAGTTCTGCATTGCTCCAGTTTACCATCTCTGCTGATTGTATTTACAAAGCCAAAACTTACTGTCGGTATTTACTTTCGTTTTAATATTTTTACCGGCCGAAGCTTGGTAGTAATTTCACGTGTGATTATGACACCACCCTCTGTTGCACCAAGGCATATGCATACACAAGATCAGCGTTGCAGCAATAACGTTACCAAGCATGGTGGCATGAATGCTGATAAATTTCCGCATCACCATGCTGCCACAGCGCATTCATAAGACACACCATTGTGGCAGTTGTACGCTGATTTGAGTGTTTTCTAAAAAGACTGACTGGTCAATTCCAAACAGATGATTTTGGGGACCTTCTCTAATTAGCAGAGGTGTGGATTCGAGACACATGACTTGGACTCGAGTCAGACTTGAGTAATTATTTTAATGACTTCTGACTTGACTTGATAAAATCTATAAAGACTTACGACTTGAACGCCAATGACTTGTGACTTGAATCGACTTGTATCTGTTGACTTGATGATGACTTGAGCATATTTGATATTTTAGCACAAAAGTGGCATGACATGGCCATAAATCATTCTTCGTTCTGGGTTTGATTTACTGCTAAATGCAGCAGCACTTTGTTTATAATCAGTTTCAGTTGCACTTTCTGCTTGTTAGAACAAATAAATGAAGCTTTAAGAAGCTTTATTTCTGGAATCTTTTTATTATCATCATCATTAAATTGAAGTTGGACAGATGACTTGAATTTGACTTGAAAATTCAAAGTTAAGGACTTGGACTTGACTTGGACTTCCACATCACTGACTGGACTCGACTTGGACTTGATTGTCTTGGACTTGACTCAAGACTTGACTGGAAAGACTTGTGACTTACTTGTGAGTTGCAAAACAGTGACTTGTTAACACCTCAGCTAATTAGATCCAGAACTGGATTTTGGCGCCAGACTTTTTCTCAAAAGTGAATAATTGATGAACATTTTTTAATTGACACAAAATGTCGCTTTGACTATGAGTTCCATTATTTTACTTATTAATTTTTAAGGAGACCAATATAGTTAAGGAGACCAATATAGTTTTATTCTGTGTTACAACGGCTTGCCATACACCACTGCAGCCCTGTAAAGAGGTGGATTCTGCCTGGAGGAGTCTGGAACTCGCGTCACCATGGAAGCACTCAGTTTGCGACATGCATTCGCCATTTTGCTGCCTTGGTGTGTGTTTGGTTGGTTGGTGTGTGTATGTGTGTGGGCTCCTTTCGATGTGAATACCTCCGTGCTTCCAAACATTCACCACTTCAGCCCCAGCCAAAAGAAGAAATGTATGCGTGTAACCAGCGGAACCGTTAGCTGCTACGGCATGACATGAGCGACTGAACGACGGGACTGTAGATAGTTTCTCCCCGGGTTATCGAGGAGAGCCAGGGGGGAAATTGGCAAGGTTGGTTTTCTTTTTAACTTTGCTAGCCCTTCCAGACAGCGCCTACGGCGAGAACGAGCGGAGAGGCGTGTTAGCCATACGGAATTAACAAGCGAGGCTTGTGGACAAAGATGGAGCGTAATAAAATAAACTGTATTACTCAGTAACTGTTAAGAACTCCACTGGAGGAATGTTCCAGTATTATTAAACAACCAGTGAGAACCAGTAGGAAGTGTAAAAAAAAACACTTTGCTCCGTCGCTACTGCAACCAGACGATCCACAAGTGGTTGCCCTCATTATCCTGTTTATTTTATTCTAATGCTGTGTAGGAGCTTTATTAATGCGCTTTCACCTTCAGTTATCTTACAGATGTTTAAAAACTGTCTTTTTTATTTAGCTGGGATGAAAAGACAAAATAGAGGCAGAAATGTACATTTAGAAATGTGGCCGCATTCTGAAAAGACCGCATAGACTTGGAACTGTAACTCAAAACAGAAAAAAATGCATTTCTTAAAATTAATTAAAATGTTTAATAAATCAACAAAAGTGAAAATGTAGAAAATCATACCCACACATCATTTTTACTATTAAATAATAATATAACGTTATATTAGGTTCCCCTAACAATTACAAAGCAAGATTTTAAAAAGCATAAAAAATATCGACATATAAAATAAAAAATTATGATACGAAGTAAAATCTGATTATTGCCAGCTATTACTGTGTAATTATCAACATTACTGTTATCAGTGTTTAATTTGCACATATATATAATGAAAAGTATTAAAGCTGAATTTACATTATTATGCACACACAACACACATTTATGGTTATGAGATGATTTCATTCATTGTTCACATGACTGAACAATTACACCCCCCCCCCAAACAGGCAAACGAATTGAGACAAGATGGAAAAAATATCGGTTGGTATTATCGGCCCGGTTTTATTTATCCAACCGATACCGATATGTTAAAAAATTAATAACATAGGCTGATACCGATATTGAAATGTCTCACATTACTTTGTATATATATTAAATAATCCAAAACCAACATTTTGGTGCTATGTTACATTTTTATTTCCTAACGAAAATCACCCCCAAAGTGGTTTTTGGCTTCACTCATGCAGTTTCCTCTCTCAGTTGAAAATCCGCTGCTGGTCTGCCCAGCGGCTGTAGAAGCGTAGACAGGCATGGTTGAGTCATCATGCTCTGCCCCTTCCCATCCTGGGAATCTCAAGTCCAAGTCCCTCTTCCCTGGACTGTAAACACTAACATGCAATCTCTCCGTGTAGTTAGCAGGGAGTTTAATCTCCACAGTTGTGAACAAGTAAATTATTTCTTATATAATTCCTAGAACCCTTTAAAACCTAGAACCAAAAATTGCATTTTTGGTTTCTTTGGTGAGAGTGTGTATGTTCGCAGCTCGACCCTCTAACGGAGAGTTCTCTGTGAATGGATGGGGGCATGAGTGGGACATGACTGCATGGATCTACGGTCTCCAGGTCCGTAGCTGTTGAAATTCACACGTGGGGAGCCAGGATTTCATTGAATCCAGGTGTCTTATTTCTGGGTTGAAGGAATGGTACCAAAAATAACATATTTAATCGAAAATGACATCTCAGTAGTTCCAACAGTAATATTTTACCCTTTAAACAAACTTTGTTTGCTAGTTTTTACCAACATTGCCGTTTTGAAATACAATAAATTTCCATTTCTTACATTGTCCAATCATTTTTTTGTCTAGACTCTTGGCAAATGTTTAACTAAATATTTAATTTTTTGGAAAAAATGTTACTTTTGGAAATAGCATAAAAAGATCCTGCAATCGATGAATAATTTCATCATTGCTTGATAGATCTAAATGTTTTGTTTTAATGTTTGGTCTAGTCTTGAGGTGTAATTTTATCTACTTTAGAAGTACAGCCTTCTATTGACTGTTTATCCTCTCTGTGTTACATTCTTAGCTTGACAAACAGGATCACATTTTTCCATCATCATCTGTTCCAAGATGGAAGCAAAAGTTGAAGGTGGGGAACATTACTGTCCTAGTTGGATTGAGATTGCCTCCTTGGATTCTCAAATTTGACAAATCCATAAGATCATCAATAATGATACCAGGTTTGATCTCCCAAGAGTTACATGAGCAGCTTCTGGACCTGAAGAATTACCAAAATCGCACAAATGGGGTGGAAAAGCTTAAACATATCCTCTCAGAAGTGGACATTCGGTCGGTTTCACCTGCTAGTATCGAGGAGTTCATCAACTTTCTTCCCCGACTTTTAGGTGACAGTAATTTCAAGGTGCTTTATGGCGCATTACAAGTTTTAAATGTACTCATTCAGAAGCTGGAGAAGGGAAACGAGAAATTTTTTAAACGTATAGTTTTAGTTGCTCTCAAGGCTTTAGGTGACACACGCACCATCACCAGGAACGAGTACCTCAATGTGTTCCAGCAGCTGATGAAAACTGTTGCACCGCAGCAGGTATTGGATCTGGTTATCGGCAACTTGAAACACAAAAACTCCAGGGTTCGCGAAGATGTCCTTAACATCATCATGGCAGCTATGCTCACTCATCCAAGGAAGGATTTCAACATTCCCAGGCTTTGCTTTGAGGTTGCACCCTACTTGGCCGACAGCAAGAGGAAAGTCCGCCACGCTTCTCTGGAGCTGTTTGCCGTTTTCGACCATTGCCTTGAAGCCGGGAGGAAACAGCCTCTTATGAAAGCTGTGGACATGGTTGAGCTCAACGAGGACGCAGAGGGTCTGATGGCAGCCGTACAGGCAAGACGAGCAAGGAGGGTTCTTCCAAAACTAATCTCAGAGGGAATCGTGGAGTATGGTTTGGTGGTACCAAAACCTGGACAATGGTCCCAAGTACAGTATGGTTCAGGAGCTGATCTGGACTGGGTGATGAACGGCGGGAGGATAAGTAGCGCTGGGAGCAACAGAACCGAGCAGGACAGTGACCGACTGTACGGATACGGCAGCTTAGGCTCGCTCACTGATGACCTACCGCTTCAGAGGAGAATCGTCAGTGCAGGCAAAGGGAAGAACAAACTACCCTGGGAGATCTCAAGCTCCTCGTCGACTGACAACGAACTACAGCAAGGCAGCCCACCTAACGGAAGGAGCTCTGAACAGGTGAGCTCTGTCATTTTAGCCAACATATTATTAAAATATATTTATTTCACTACACATTCGACACCATGTAAAATCCACTACACTACCAAAACTGGGTCTGCTTCAGTACAAACGCCACATTACTATCCAAATACCACATCACCCCCGTCCACCTCCTGAAAAACATGAAAACATGATGGAAACAAACATTGGTTGTTAATTTTGGCCCAGTTTTATTTATCGGACCGATGCCATTACGTGGAAACATGACCAATATTGGCCAAAATTGATGATGATATTGGTATATTGTGCATCCCTAAATGAAAGTGGTCATTCCAGGTTGTTTTGGCATATTGAGTTTTTTTGTGGAAATCAAACCACAGCAAAAAAAATATGATATGCTTATGGAAAATGCAATGTTGCTTTTTGTTAGAATTTGTCAGAAATAGTACTTAAAGAGACAATGTGTAGTTCTTATCGGTAGTTTCTGGAAACATCCATCAGAATGTTGTTGAAAATGGATGAAATGATGCCCAGTTGTTGAAAAATATTGGTGGCTTCGTAACATATAACCATAAAAATCGGGTCTACAATACATGGGAGCGGGTCTAAGTCTCTGGGCGACGCCATATTAGATGCCATGTTTCCTTCTACAGAAGCCCATGAGGACAAAATTAATTTACTACTTTGAAACAAACGGTTACTAAACTTTCTCGATTCTTAAATGTTGTTGTTTTACACATTTACCTCTTCACTTGTTGCCATTGATTAAATCTGATGTGCTTGTTATTTTGCTGAAGTTTGCACTCTCCGGGGCTTTTTGACCCTAAATCAAATCAAATCAACTTTATTTATATAGCACTTTTCATACGAAAAAAAAATGCAACTCAAAGTGCTTCACAGGTCAAAATGGCCCCATAGATCCCATATTCCCATCCCAGCCCCCCTCCTTAGTGGGCGTCCATTGTTAAAGTCTTACTCCAACACAAAAATACTGCTTGCTTGCAACGATTTAGGTATCTACTGCCCCCTATCGCCAGGAAAAATACACACTGTCACTTTAATGGGTAAAATAAACTAAAGCAGAAGAATAACAAACAATGGATATTCCTTAAGAAAGGAAAAAGAAGAGATGGCCTTTTTAAGGAATTAAACATCTGGCATACTGATTTTTTTCATTTAAAGCTGCTTTGTGATGCAAGTTTACTACGAGCCACGTCAGATCAGGAACAGCTATTTTCATCATGGATTCTCTTTCTGACCAAAACCAACTCAAGTGAACTAATAAATGCTTTTTGAGGACAAAAGAGAAAGTTTCTTCTGTCAAACTGTCACCATCCTTTCCAAGTAACATCTAACAAAAACTGTTCAAGGCGCCTTTGTTAGCTCTTTACCAGCTGTTGGTTTCAGTTTATCTTCATTAACAGATAAAATGCAAATATAGCTTTAGCGACTAAGAACTAAAAAGTTCTGATTTCTGGGAACATGAAAATGCTATAAATAGCAGTGGTGAACTGTTTTCTGTTAGAAATCTCACGCAGAGGCTTCAACCCCAAACAGCAGAGGAAGTGTAATTGGTAGCACTTTTTTCTGAGATGGTTTAGGAGGAAAAATCTAAATATAGAGGTTGCGTGAGGATGCAGTATGGATGGAGAACAGCAGCATCAGCAAGGGAGGGCTGCATCTTATTGTTTCAGTCTGTTGTTTTTGGGTAAAAGTCACTTAAATCCACCCATATTCACACCATTTATTTGTATTACCTAACAGGAACATACCATTAACTATGTGGCTCTTATTTTGGGATGAACCATCAGAAATAGAGATATTTTCAGAGCACAGCAGCATTTCTGACAGTAGATGACTCATTTTCTAGCACAGTGTTGCTGCAAAGAAGAGCAGAGGCGATTAGAGGATAAGCCCTTGTGACGGTCTCAGTGTTCAATTAAAGGAGTTTGTTTTATTTTTCTAACAATAAACCTCCAGCCATCGGCTTGATTTAAAAACCTATTTTTGATATGGTATGTGGCTGTTTATAATGATTAGCTTAATTTGAGAAAAAAAACCTTCTGTTTACAGCTGAGTCTGTTCCCCAGCAACAGCAGTAACACACAGAACACTTAACGAAGGGCCAGAGTGATAATTGGTCGTATCACAGGCTCATGCTTGTAAAACATGATGATTATTTTTTTATTCTCAGCGATTTATTGCAAACACACCAAGTTCTTGGACATGACTGCTGATCGTATTTTAGGCAGCTGGAAAATGTAAGAATCTGTTGTATTTTTGGTTTACATTTTTTATTTATGCTTTAAATCAGTGGATTGCATACAAACAGAACAAAACAGAAGTCCCTCGATGATACCTGGAGGAACAACTGATTGTGTTTTGTCTGAGCCGGTACATCCCTTTGTTCAACCCCGGGGATGGAATTACACTTGCCCCTGTTGTGTTTAAAGGTTGTTCAAGCTAGCTGCTTGAGCTGTAGCTTTTATTGTGGCAGCTATTACAATAATGGCATTTCTGCTTATTTCTAGGGTATGAGTGATGATTATGTGCGTCATTCCAAGAAGCCTGAGACCTACATACCTAGCTTCAGTAAGTTCCAACACGTCTTTGAACACATGAGTAAAGATGACACGGTTGACTGGATGTCCTGTACGCTGTACATTTTAGGACATCCTCAGGTCTCAGGAACACATCATCAGACATCAGAACATAGAGACAAGAGCATCAGGTTTCATTCTAAAACCCATCTGACAGCATCAGGAAAAAAGTCTCAGGAAAAAAAACGACTTCAGAGAGATGCGTCCTGCAGGTGGCACCATTCATTAGCAGCAATTTTTTTCCACTTTATTTTAATTTTTGCATTTGTTAAAAACATATCTCAAAAATCTGTGGGAAAGTATTGCATACCAAGAACGAAGAACATGAGACCAAATTGTCATACATGAAATTGCGGCAGATCGTACGTTTCAGGCTCCTAGCTAGGGATGTTCGAAAATATCGATACACCTGAAGGTCCTGGGTTCACTTCCCGGCCTGGCATCTTTCTGCATGGAGTTTGCAAGTTCTCCCTGTGCATGCGTGGGTTCTCTCCGGGTACTCCGGCTTCCTCCCACAGTCCAAAACCATGGCTGTTAGGTTGATTGGTCTGTCCAAATTGTCCTTAGGTGTGAGTGTGTGTGTGCATGATTGTTTGTCCTGTGTGTCTCTCTGTGTTGCCCTGCGATGGACTGGCTCTCTGTCCAGGGTGTACCCCACCTGACTGTTCATTGACCGCTGGAGATAGGCACCAGCCCCCCCGCGACCCTACGTGGACAAGCGGGTTCGGAAAATGGATGGATGGATGAATTCAAACACTGACCACTGACAGCAGTTTTTACCATCTTCAGTCTGGTGGAACAATGAGATCTCGCAAAAATGAATGAAAACATCGTCTCACTTTTAGTTTCACAATATATCAAATAGGGATATATTGTATATATATTGTATTGGTGAAATTCTGGCGAAGCGCCTCATGATTTATATCTTGAGAGGCGCTATAGAAATGAAATTTTCTTCTTTTTCTTTTTTCTTCTACGATACGTATCACGATACAGGGGAAACAATACCACATATTACAATTAGGGCTGGGCGATATGGCCTAAAATCAATATCACGATATATTGAGGATGTCACCTCGATAACGATAAATGGACGATAACTACGTATGCGCAGAAACAAAAGTTGTCCTCTAGATGGGGCTGTCACATGTATTTTGTTGATTCATATTTTTACGTGACTCAAGATGGTACAGCTTCTTAAAGGGACGTGAACGTTACCAACCTACTCACATTTTCATTTTTTAATTATCAAATTTATTGACGTGAGAAAAATTATCTCGATAAAAGTCAGAAATTTAAATATTGATACATTTTTGATCTATTGCCCAGCCGTAATCACGATATATTGCGAAACATTCAGGCAGACAATATCAGTGTTTTTTTTAGACTGAAATGATTGTAGGAAAATTCAATAAACAGTCCAAACTGATACGTAACATATTTAACATCAGGTATCTGAACCATGAAGCCTGATTTATACTTCTCCGTGAGCTCCGCAATGGAGAGACGCACATTGAGTGTCGGAACGGTTTTCACATTCGAACTTCTGTTCAGGCAGCAAAGCGATTTCCCGCCAGGACAGCAGAGGGCGTAGCGCTGTTCTGTGGTATCCTGCCACCATATCACTCGTGTATCTGGTCCCCGATAGTGTATTTACTAATGTCTTTATGTACTTCAGAAACTTTATAACACGGACAAACTTGTCCTTCATTCTCCTCCACCTCTTCATGCGGCCGCCACCTCCAAACCCACTTTTACCGTTGTTTCTGTACTTGTTCACTCACGGGTGAATAAATGTTTTTATTTTCAGACTTTTTCCACGATGTGTTCTTCAATCTTTTCTGGGTCTGCTGCTAAATATCTGTTTACTTTTTAACAGAGCTACAGCGGTGCTGGTGACGAATATACAGGAAGCGGCGTCCTGACCAATCACAAGCTTGTGTTCTCCGTCACTTTCGATGGCTGTTTAAAATTTTGGCCATGTCTCCGTCACCCTCCGTGAGCCTGTCAGAGAGCCCTTGCGCCGACGCATAAAGGCGTTGTGTGTTTTCGCATCGCCGCAGATGGAGAAGTATAAATCAGGCTTACATTTCTGCACACTGCTGCCAATTAGCGGCTGGTGTTTGAATTGCACCAAAAGAAAAGAAAATACACAAATGTTTGCATATAAATTCTTCCAAAAATGTGATCCATGGCTTTGGAATATCGATATAATATCGCAAGAAAAAAATATTGCGATATATTGCCATATCGATATTTTCTTACCTCCCCAATATCGTATCACGTCGGTACACACCCCTGCTCGCAACATTATTGACAGTTATGTAAATTTTACAACCTAACTGCAACATAACCTCACATATGTTTATGTTTATGTATTTAGCAGACGCTTTTGTCCAAAGCGACTTACAAGTGATAAACAACATTTTGCCCTTGAGGCTAACAACAATAGTAACAACAACAAATTGACTTCAGTCATGGAGAGGAGGGAACAAGGAGTGGACAGTAGAGAGGGGGGACGGGTGCAGGCAAGGTGCTAGTTAAGAAGATGCTCTCTGAAGAGCACGGTCTTCAGGAGTTTCTTGAAAATAGAAAAGGAAGCCGCAGTTCTGGTAGTGTTAGGAAGGTCATTCCACATTTGTGGAACGATGCATGAGAAAAGTCTAGATTGTCCTGAGCGTGGTGTAGGCACTGCTAGTCGACGATCCTGTGATGACCGGAGCGGCCGGGCCGAGACGTAAGCCTTTGCAAGAGGATTCAGATAGATGGGAGCCGTACCTTCTCGGACTTTGTATGCTAGTGTTAGCAATTTGTAGCAAAAGTAACGAGAACAGCAAGAAATAATAAAATGTACCACGGTGTAGTTAGAAGCCTGAATCATACATTTTGCTGCTGTTTCACGTGACTGCGTATTTGGAAAACTGTTTGGCCGTCACCTGACAACAGCGCCACCTGCAGGAAGCTTTTCATGCTGTTTTGTCCAAAGTCTGATGAATGAAACTTTTCCTGAGGCATGAAGATGTCCTAAGATGTAAACCGTAGTCCTAGTCGTCTTTAGCTTGACTTGATTTAGAGCAGCTTTAACTTGGATTAGCATGCTGAGTCAAAGGAGTCGCCATCTACTAAAAGCTCTGAGATGAGCGAAGCTAGCTGCTCCACAGATTAGCGTCACCAATCTTCTGACTTTCTTTTGAAAACCTACCGTTCTACTAAGTGGTTAAAGAAATGGTCCTCAGACCCTTAAATACTTTATTTATTTTAGATCTTAACATTATAAATGTACTGAAGAAGAGTCTGGTAATGCATCTTTAACTGAGTGAATGTTCCAGCTTTAGTACGATGGCTTTTATTCCTCCAGCATTGCTCTTTCTGCAGCTTTTAAAAGGTGAGAGCTCCATGCATGACTTGTCTAATTAGTAAGAAGGAAAGGTGTAATAACGCACTCCGGTCTCCATCTCTCACAGGGGAGAGTGTCAGACTCATCCGTTCTGTTGTATTAAATAAATAAATCCCCTCCCCCTACAGTCTGTGTTTTGTTTCATTCCAAACATCACTCATAGTTTGCTTAGTCCCTTGTAACCATTTCTTCTGCGTCTGTTTGGGTTTTAGTAAAAGTACACTTTGTGTCTAGGCCCTGCTGACCCGGAGAAGCCCCAGTCTTCCAGAAGGAGGGAGGATCCTGCTGATCTCAGAAGAAGTGGGAGCCTCAACTTAGACGCTGATATCTTCAAAACCAATAACTTTTCTGATCCAGATGTGGGTAAGGACTCGATAGTTTAGGCTTGACTAAATTAAATGATGAAGAAATAACTGAGAGAGTGAATATTGAAGAGGTAACATCTATAATTTTCTTAGCATATTAGGGAAGTTTTGTCCATAATGAGCAGCCATGTGGTTTGTTGATTTGAACTGTGAATGCAATATCCCATAGTGGCACCCAAAGGACGTGTGCTGTCACGGAATCCCAGTGTTGAGCGAACGTTTTCCTTCCCCTCAAACCCTTCCACACCTGGCTCCTTCCTTCTGCCCTCCTACCCTCTGGCTACACGCACAGGGGGCATGCTTACCCCAACGCTGTCCCGCCACCACGCAGACTCCGCCCTCTCGATGTCCAACACCTGGCCCAACAAGAGGGAGAGCAGCTCTCAGCAGGGAGACACGAGTCCCTGGGCAGAGACGGCAGAAACAGCAAAGGGTAAAGTAGAAACAACACAGTCCAAATGTGACTTCTCTGTGTTTTAAACGAAAAACAAATCTTTCCTAGATGAACTCTTTAGCACGCGCTCCCCCAGGCCTCTTCGAGCCTCTCTTGTGAACTCCTCTTCCACTTCATCGTTCAGGCGAGCTCTGGGCAACACCAGGGCGACCTTCTCCATCTCACCGGTTGTACCTCCAGCAGAACAAGCCCACTCTCATAACGGCCACAGATCGAATACTTCAGTCAGCCCGATGGACATTAACCCCAATCTGGAGCCTGGCAGCCAGGACTTTCAGGACGACGAACCCCTGGACATGCAGGAGGTTTGAACAGCTCCAGAGCACTAAAGCTAAGTGTCGGTCCTGCTCTTACATACTAATGTGTGTATTGCTCACAGATGCTGAACTCCCTTCGCTCTTTGCGCAGCAGTGCTGCCAAGAAGAGGGCTAAAGCGAGCCATAACAGTCCGGATCCAGACAGCCCCGACTCAGCCCTGAGGGTGGACTCACCTTTATTCACTTCTCCAGTTCTCACCAGCTCCGCCAGTGAGAGTGGGCTTTCCACTCTGAACTCCGTGGCCAACTCCAGCTTCAATGACATCAAAACCAGGTCAAGGATCCCCATTTTTCTCCTCGTTCATCAATTATTCAACGACTTGTTACTCTGCCCGGGTTATGCGTAACTTGAATAAAGCTCATCGTGTGCTGGAACAGGAGCGATCTTGTTTTGGTTTCAGTTATAAAGTGAATGTCACGCTGAAAAGTTGGGTAACATTTGAGATGATGTAAGGCAGCTTCACAAATCCTCACTTGTCGTGTCTGTCAACAGTCCTAGAAACTCGGCCTCTTCTGTAACGAAGCCTCGATTTGCCAGAGGGCCGTCTGCAAAACTGAGGTCTTCCGTGTCTATGGACTTCATCAGCCTTCAAGGTAAGGAGACATGGAAATGTTTTTCTCTCGTGCCACTTTCATGTGTTTGCCTGACTTTGATTTCTATCTTTTCAAGCAATATGCCAGAGAAATGAACCGTCATCGGAAGTGGGCGTTATCGGGCAAAGGGTGGCGTGTTGCAACGGAACAATCAGACCTGAGGAGGAGAAGCTGGGTCTGTCCTCCCCACTGGTCAGACCAGCTGTCCATGAACCGATCAGGGCTTTGAAGCCGACCAAAGGTCAGCCAGGAGTGACACAAAATAAAAAAACTGTTTTTATGGAGTCATTAATTTTCCTCTTTCGTTCTTTAGGATCCCAGACTAACAGCAGGAATTCACCTGGAGCAGACATGCCTGAAGGAGTGATAGGAAGAGGTGATATAGAAGCAGAAGTAGAGCCCTGCACTGAAGCTCTAGGCTCTCGGGTCGTGCCGGGCTTCGGGCCAACGACTGTGTAATTACCTCGGACACGGGCCGGGCCGGGCGCCTTTATTTTTAATCGAATTCATTAAAAAAAATTGAAACACTTAAAGCAGGGGTCGGCAACCTGTCCCCATCAAAGAGCCATTATTACCCGTTTCCCACAGTAAAGAAAACACTGGGAGCCACAGCAGCCACGGCGTTGTGGGCGGGGCCTACCCTCAGACAGCAGAGCGCTGCTCACAACAGGTGACAGCAGCCGGTACCGGTCGCTCGTGTACGTCAAAGTTATCTTTCATGAAACGATAATCAATAAAGCGATTTATATAAAGTGGATCCAGAAGTTGTAGCCCGTCTCTGCCTACAATATTGATATTTTTCACCCTGTTGATGGTTTTACTGAGCAGGTGCCACTTTTGTCACACTTTTCTTTTTAAAACATGTTTAGACTGTTCAGAATACAAATCCAGGCTCTGTCACGTTTGATTGTTGTAATTAAACTTTGTAGGTGGGGAAGGTCAGAAAAGGATCCGATCAATTTGTTTTTCCCTCATTTACAGTGACGGAGATAACGGTGCAGTGCGCCTGGCTCTGGTGTTAATCAAGTTTAATTTTATCTATTTTCACAAGAAAACAAAACAGTTAAAAGCAGGGCTTGTGTTGACCGGATAGTTCCCGTATTTGACCGTTTATTTTGACGGAGAAAGAATAGAAAGAATTACCCAGACGCATGCAGACGAACTGACATTTTATTCTACGCACATCGCAGATGTAGCTAAATCACCCAAGAAAAGATTCCCATCTGAACATCTGAGCTGGACACTGTTCAGCGCAGCTCGCTGTCAGCGTGTACTACATAAGGTCCACAGCGAGCTGAAGATGTGGAGAGGGGCTTGGAGCGCGTCGCAGAACCAGAGCGCATGCGGGAAGATTCCTCCGACTGAATTCAGTCGGAGGAATCTTCCCGCTGATCTGAATCTGATGCGGCTCTCTGTGCTTGTAAAATAATGAATGGATATTTAAATAAAATGCTTTATATTTTACTGAATTAATTTTATATTTGTAAGTCAATTCTATGTAAAGATTGTCTGCGTAAACCTGAACAGGCCCAACCCGGTCTTACTGTGAGACCGGGTTGACGCGTCACGCTTGTGCGTAATCATATAGGCGCTTCCTGAGCTGAAGATGTGAGATTCTGGGATTCTCCTCAGACGGCTCCTGGATGTGTCGCCACATTGGAGACAGGAACAAGCGCTATTCAGCCAAAGTTTCATAATCAGGGAACATTTTCTAAGTGACAAGTCTCTCTGAGAGACAGGGTTTGGAAAACACTCGCTTCAGTGGGAGGAAGCTTCCCGCATGCGCTCTGGTTCTGCAACGCGCTCCAAGCCAATCTCCACATCTTCAGCTCACTGTGCACATATGCGCTTACAGCGAGCTGTGCTGAGCAGTGTCCAGCTCAGATGTTCAGATGGGAATCATTTCTTGAGTGATTTAGCTACATCTGCGATGTGCGTAGAATAAAATGTCAGTTCGTCTGCATGCGTCGGGGTCATTCTTTCTATTCTTTCTCCGTCAAAATAAACGGTCAAATACGGGAACTGTCTAGTCAACACAACACAAGCCCTGCTTTTAACTGTTTTGTTTTCTTGTGAAAATTGTTGGAAAGAGATAAAATTTAACTTGATTACCACCAGAGCCAGTGTGCCGTTATCTCCGTGACGGTAAATGAGGGAAAAACAAATTGTTCGGATCCTGCACGTCTTTTAACACATTGGTCAGGATTGGCGCACTTTGTTTTCATTTAGTTGGTTAAAAAAAAGTCGGGCTCGGGTCGGGCCAGAGAATCCTGAAAACCTTTTCGGACCGGGTCGGGCCGGGGCTCAGATTTTAGGCCCGTGCAGGGCTCTAAGCAGAAGTCTTGGTTTGATTTGAACTGAGAGGCATTTATGAGCTGTGTTAGGAATTCAGATATAATTCTCAAATTAAGATGATGATGCTATCCTTCCCAAAAGACGTCTTATCATATAGGTTACTTAATATACATCATAGCTGTTCAAAAATGTTATTTAGTACACATTTTCTGGTCCGTTGAAGACATTTCTATAGAACCTACTATATTTTTATTAACTTCTGTGTGTCCGGTCGTATAACTTGAGTTGTATCCTTTTCCCGTCGTGCTTTTCAGGCATGTTTGGGACGGCTGTCCCCTCCAGCTGTCCAGGAGAGACTTTGTCACTTGAGCAGGGGGATTTGACAGCCAAGCCTCCCACTGATCCCTCAGCAGGCAATGACAGCCCACATCCAGATGAGGCTAAAGTTAGTCAGTGTTCATTCATAGTGGTTCATTGAAAGGTTCAAGCTGCCCTAAAGTGTTTTCTATCCCAGCGTGTGCAGGAGAGGGTGAAAAGGGTGAGACTTGGTCGGGATAGAACAAAGCCGCAGCGTCTGGATCAACTAGAGGGGCATCCAGGACTAGAGGACCACGCGGGAGACAAAATTCCCCACCGTGTCAGGCAGATGCTGTCGCCTGCAGAAAAAAATAAAGAACCTTTTATAACAGGCAAGAAAATTTTTAACACCCAAAAAAAAAACATCAGTAAAATCAGTCCGGTGCTGCTCGTTATAATCGATGTTCTCTGTTTTAGATCTGCATCTCAACGGCAGCATGCTGACGTCCACCAAAACGGATCCTCTCTCTGACGAATCCCTAGTCAGTCCCACAAGTCCTCCAGGACCCCTAAGTCCAAAAACGTGTTTCACTCCACCCCACCAACCGAGCCCCCCGATGGTACCTCCCAACTCAAAGAATGTGACCCGTCTCAGAAGGGCACCTAGCCTCAGCAGGACCCGGCCTTCTTTGTCCCATAGTTCAGGTAGGCTGATTAGAAAACACATCAGTGAACTTTAAGGCAACACTGAAGTTTCTTGCTTGTCCATCTTACTGGTCGAAAGTGGAATTACAGCTGTCATAAACAGCAACAAGCTAACGCTAGCATGAGCCAGCTGATACTAAATAAGCCACAAAGTAAAAATGTTCTGCTCTGTTGGACAAAAAATATTATAACTTACAATTCCAGTGGCAACAAAGCCAGGTCATCATCAGTCCGTGACTTTGTAGCCTCCCTCAAACAAGCGTAGGCCGCGGCCATGTTCACTGCGGGTTTAGCTCTTTGCTTTCCCTCCAAAGACATTACTGTTGCTTTTACTAACAACAAAACTTTTTCTTCAGCAAACTGAAAAGGCTAACTGCTAGCCTTTATATTAGCCGACAGCACAATAAACAACTAAAGCAGGCAGAGACGTCCCACTAGTGTTTCTACCAGAAGCACAAAACTCTTAAGTGCAGTTTCTGAGCTACAGAAAGCGTTCCAGTGGGAAGTTGTTCGAGTTTATGGCTCAAGAACCACTGAAACCAGTTTGACCAGTGGGAAGTTGTTCGAGTTTATGGCTCAAGAACCACTGAAACCAGTTTGAAAGCAGTAGCTTCATGTTATGAAACTATTTGGCGTTGCTTTAAATAAATCAAGCATTTCAACTTTATTCTGCTAGTATCATGGTACGAGTGAAAAGATGCATAACAAACAACAGTTATTCTTCACTGCTGCTTGTTTTCACACTGATGCAACAGGAATCTGTGTTTTTTTGTATCTTTTGGGTCATTTAGATGAGATTTGCCATGCTACTCTACGCCACAAAAAAAATATCTCCGATCCCCCAGAGCTTTGTCCCTTCTCGAAGCCCGACCTGGTTCTGACGCAAAGTTTCAACCTGCTGAGCTCAGAGAACTGGTGAGGAACACTTACCTTCCTGTATTTGTAATTGTGACAGCCCACCTTTAAGATTCTCTAATCAAGGTTAGTATTTTCAAGGTTTAAAAGTGTTAAAATTAGATTTTATGAAAGACACAAGAGCGCTGATTTATACTTTAAATAAATTTGGGAAAAACAGACACCATCCTGCTAATTTCAGCATTTTTTAACTCTAGCAGCAGCCAGCGGGAGAAAGGTGAACGTTCCTTTTTGGTTTGTTTTCAGGGAGAAGAAGATCGAGGGTCTGATGTTCCTGCGATCTCTGGCCTACAACCACTCAGACACGCTTCAGGGCCGGCTCCATGAAGTCTGTCTGTCTCTTATTCAAGAGGTAAGTCTCATTCAGACGCAACGTTTTAATTCTCAAAGGCCAAAAGAACACAAAAACGCTGCATCTCAGACGTAAAGAAAGTTAATCCTTCAGATGTTTTTGTCAGTTAAAAGCACAAAAATGTCAACTTATTTATGAAAAATCTGGAATTTTGCAGCTGAAACTAAAATGTACATTTTTCTAAACAATCAGTGTGAGTCTGAATACTGACACAGTAAGTAAAATGAATGGTACGGTCACCTATTTATTATCAGATAACAGACATTTAAATAGAACTCTTTCAGTGGGGGACCAGATGCATTGATATGAATTAAGGAGCAACTTTTTAGGCTTATTTTAAGAGAATAACAACAGACTGTATTTCCTGCTTTTACTCTAATGCACCACCGTGTGGCCTCTTTATAAGATACACTAATATAAAATGCCCAGTTCACTCTTACCCCCAAATTCCACTACCTCCGCTCCGCCTTCTGCTCGCTCCCGAACTCAATTTTTACTGGTACCCGCTCTACAACGGCTCCGCTCCGGTGCGGTGACCTGAGGTGGGCAAACAGGCATGCGCGGGACTTTCGAGATCTTGCGATACAGTCCGAGCAATAAATGCGGAAGTTAGATCCAAACACCCGTTGTGTGGGAGAAGCATCGACATGAACTGTTTAATCTGCCCATCATTTGTGTTGAGAGATCAGCAGAGTTTGGATCAACAAAGTGTGACTACTTTGATAGTGGAAACTGTATTTATGGCTTACTTTTGTGCATTTAAAGTTCAGCCGCCATTGATAGTTGTTAAAAGTTGTTAAACCTGTGCATATGAAACAAAAAATGCCTTTTGTTTATCGATTTATTGTGAAATAACGGACGCTGTGCTTGCTCCTTTTCCTGTTGGGCGGTTGTGATTTCTGTCCATTTACTGCGGAGTTGCTCCGGCGTCCGGCGAAAATAGGATCGATTCTATTTTTGCCGGACGCCGGAACAGAGGGCGGCGCACTGCGCCGCACTGCCGCAGCACGGCCGCAGTAGTGGAATTGCTCTGATTGACTACAACGGGACCGATTTTGCTCCGGCGTGTCGTGTTACCCCCAAATTCCACTACCTCCGCTCCGCTCCGACACGAACGCCGGAGCACAACTTCCGTTTTTCACAATAAATCGATAAACAAAAGGCATTTTTTGTTTCATATGCACAGGTTTAACAACTTTAACAACTATCAATGGCGGCTGAAGTTTAAATGCACAAAAGTAAGCCATAAATACCGTTTCTACTATCAAAGTAGTCACACTTTGTTGATCCAAACACTGCTGATCTCTCAACACAAATGATGGGCAGATTAAACAGTTCATGTCCATGTTTCTCCCACACAACGGGTGTTTGGATCTAACTTCCGCGTTTATTGCTCGGACTGTATCGCAAGATCTCGAAAATCCCGCGCATGCTTGTTTGCGCACCTCAGGTCACCGCACCGGAGCGGAGCCGTTGTAGAGCGGGTACCAGTAAAAATTGAGTTCGGAAGGGAGCGGCTGCGGAAGGCGGGGCGGAGCGGAGGTAGTGGAATTTGGGGGTTACATACGTTTCATAAATCACTGAAGCCTGTTTTTCATTTAAGGTAAAGAACCTGCGATCAGGCGTCTCCAGGGTTGCCGTGTGTACGCTCGGTGACTTGTACACACATCTGCAAAGGGCGATGGACCAGGAACTGGAGGCGACGGTTAAAGCTTTGCTGCAGAAGGCAGGAGAGAGTAACGCCTTCATTAGGCAGGATGTGGATGCAGCGCTGGACTGCATGGTGCAGCACTGCACCCCCACCCGTGGCATCAGTGCTTTACTCACTGGAGGACTCGGGTCAGAATGCGAACAGCAGAGTTAGGAGTATTCATAACATAAACACGCATTAACTAGAGAATTTGTTTATTTTTGGGGGGCAGACATCTTAATCCGGTGGTGAGGAAATGCACGGCTCAACATCTGGCTGATCTGGTGGAGAAGGTCGGTGCTGCACGTCTCCTGTCTGGAAGTAGAGATCTCACAGTAAGAATGTTACCTGCCATTGCCAAACTCACACAAGACTCCTCCCAGGAAGCCAGGTGTGTAGAAAGATTTGCTAGTGGGTTAATGTTTACACCTTTTAAGTAATTGTATGCACAGGTTTAGCTGTAAGAACTTTTTTATTGTGAATTTCCACCTCACAGGTACTTTGGTCGTCGAGTGCTGCTGTCTCTGTCGTCCCACCCTGATTTTGACAAGATTCTGGAGAAACACTTTCCCACCAAAGACCTGCAGACTGTTAGAGATACTCTGTCGACTCTTAAGACAAAGGTATAGTCAGCTTTTTAACCCATTCGCTGCCAGCGTTTCTTGATGTTTTCACTGTTTTTTTAAGAGGGACAGAACGTTGCGCGCTAGGATGTCGACGCCAAAACAACCAAAACAAAGAGGAGACTCACCTCTTACATCAGGAAGAATCCGTGCGTTTCGAGCGTTATCCGTTCTTTCATAATCCGTTGTTGAATTGTGATAGACAGAAGCTTTTCCGGTTCGTGCCTCACTTTTTTTTTTACAGCAGCGGTCCAAAATGATCTCCTAACACATGGATGTTCTGCTTCCTGATCATGTGACGTGTGACGTATGCAGATGAAGATCAGCTTTAGAGCTGAGATGTTTGTTCTCTCGGCGCGTGGGCTCGTTCCGACGCCCATAGAGTAAAAAAATACAAATGATGACTTTTGTCGTCATTGGCAGTGAATGAGTTAATGGTCTTTGCCAAAAGTCAAATGTGTTGGATGTAATCTGGAGATTGCTGTTTTTTTTTAGGGTCTTGGTGAAATGCCCCAAGACACTCAGTTGGCCAGAGGGAGACGCTCCCTCCCGGGCAGCGGTACGGTCAGAGCCTCCTCGCTCAACGGAGAGCCGCTCAATCAGAACAGCAAGTAGGTTTGCCCAAGACGCCTGTCAAATAAAACAACTGAAAAAACATTCAACTTCTTGATGCTTTCTAAATGACCTGCAGGGAGTCTAACAGCCACCACAGCTGCAAACATCAGTCACAGAGTATTGCAGACAAAACTGAATACATAGAGCAGATCTCAGGTCTGCTGGGCTCAAAGGACTTCAGAGAGCGGATCAAAGGCATCGACCAGCTTGTGGCCGACTGTGAACACAACCCCAACATGGTCATCAATAGTTTATTTCCGGTTTGTTCTATCTTTTCATTTAATCACGATGTGTGATCAGAAGTTGTGGTTATGCAGGTCGGGCGTTTGAGCGTTTTCCTCTCTCAGGTGTTTGATGCCTTAAAGTCCAGACTGCAGGAGTCCAACAGCAAAGTTAACCTTTACGCCCTGGAGGCTCTGCAGAAAATCATCTCTCTGTTGAAGGACAACCTGTCCCACGTGGTCAACATCCTGGTCCCAGCAATCGTGGACAATCACCTCAACTCCAAGAACAATGCCATCTATTCTGCTGCTACTGGAGCCATCGATGCGCTTATTTCAAATCTCGGTACGCGTTTCAAAAATCTGACACTTTTGTTTGGATTCGCTGAACGGTTTCTGACTGTTTTTCTCTCCTCTGATCAGACAACAATCTACTTCTTCAGCCTTTCTGCACCAAAGCGCAGTTTTTGAGCGGTAAAGCGAAGGTGGACCTCATCGAGAAGGTTGCAGGTCCGTCTGATCGCTGTAATCACCTGGTTTTTGTCACTTCTGCCTCTTACGTTGTCTGGTTTTGTCTGTTTTTAATGCAGTTCTTGCTACGGAGCTCTACCCTCGCAAACCTCAGATGGTTGAGCAGAAAGTGTTGCCCTTACTGTGGCACCTCCTGGGCACGTCCACCCACAGCGGCACGGTTCACAGCAGGGCCGGCAGCGTGAGGGGTGCCACGGCCAGCCTGTGCCAAGCCCTCCATGCCCAGATGGGGCCTAGCCTGAGTGAATGTGCCGCCTCCCAGTCTGCCAGTGTCCTTAAAAGTTTAAACGAGGTCCTGAGAACCATACCCTAAGATAAATTTAGAATCCAAAACGTCCAAATAAAACATCAACACTGGCCTTACTTGAAGAAGAGATGTTCGACATTTCTTACAGTGCCTGCACTTTTTATATCGGTAACAAGAAAAGTCCTTAAAAGTTTTAGCTCCTCCCACTCTATCGGCGACACCTCCTCTGGTGCGGAAGCATCGTGACATACCGACATCAGGTACTCATCCTCAGCCTGCTCTTTGCACTTTGAAACGTAGCTTATTGTCACAGCTTCTCTCCGTAATGTACTGTCGACAAATCAGACCCAACGGCGGAATGTAAACTAAAACGCACAAAGAGGAAGACGGGATTCTACAGGTGTATATTTTTGCTGTTTTATCAAACGTGACGTAATATTTTTGAAACGTGCTGTAGACGATTAGTGGAACGAGATGAAGAGTACCACAGAATACTTTTGTACAGTTCAGTTGTGTATTTGCACAGTATTAGCCCATTGTGTACGTATGATGTTACATCTATAATTTATGTTGTGTAATGGTCTGAATGTCAGATTAATGACGTGTTGGTACCGTTTATTGTTTGCATGACCAAATTCCACTGGCAGAATTAAAGTCGTGTGTTTTTGTTGAGGACGCCTGTGACCCAGGAAGTTTAGATCAGGGTTGGACCGCTGCTCCTCGATGGTTGCCTGAGAAACGGCGAGTCTGCTCTGTTTCGGTCTCGGTATCGTGCCAGTCTTCTAATAGCCTTTTAACTCAACTGTTGTATTTAACTGGTTTATGGAGAAGAAAGAGATATATGAATAAATGGTTTTATTTATCTAAATATGAACGTGCTGCGCGTCATTTAAGGGACATTAGTGGAAGAAACACAGAATCGGTCTTTGAATTTAGGTAAATAGATTTTATTCATGTGTGCCCCCCCCCCATGTGTAAATATAATTATGAGGCTATTCCAGAGGTAAGCAATAGCAAGCCATAACAACCGAACACACTAATGCTTGTTACACGAGATAAACCGGCCCGTAATAGAAATAAAAACTACTCAGTAATGAAACTAGCTGCCATTTTCAAATAGCACTGTTTATATTTAGGCCAGTTGCTCTAGGATTTGCACAGTGGGGTAAAAGACACATTTTTCTGCATAAAACTCCTTTTTTTTACCTCCAACGTGAAGGAATGCTGCACAAATAACAGGAATGTCAAATACAGAAGCTTCCCAACGAACGTCGTCACTAAATTAAACGTTCTGCAGAGCTAGCCTCACACAGAAATGCCAAACTAATGATTTTTTTAAAAATACAAGTCAACAAAAAATGTAAATAAATTTCCCTTAAAACATCTGCAGCTAACATCTGGATGTTTTTCTATCTAAAGTGAAGACGAGGAACGATAATTAGGTATAAACTCAAACGTGATTCCAACTGATAAATGATTTCATAACTAACCATATAGAAGTTAACACCGAGATCACAACTCTTAAAAATAACATCTCTCACTTCCTCACCAGCTCATGATTTTTGTGCTATGAATGAGGCCCTTTATGATTTTTGGTTGAGCAGTCGTTTAATGGTCTGCTGAATTCAGTCACTGGAATGTCCTCTGCTTCACCCGATGGGAGGGGAAAAAACAGCCCCCCCCCCCCCCCTCTTGTGGACCTTCCCACTCAGTTTCTAAGGCAGTGGGGACTGGGGGTTAATGCCGTGGCAACCTGGGCTTGGCTAGACATTCAGGAGAAGATGGGAGCTTTTCCGAGCACCTCCACCCATCCGTCATGGACCAGAAGTCTTGGGCAGGTCCTGATTCTCGGCCAAATGGAGCTTTTGTCTGAACGGGGGACGTGTTAAGGATTCACACACAGGAAGTAAAGCACATCACTGACATTCAAGCGCTGCCTGGATGATTCCTATAAATAGATCGGCATTCAGTAAGAGGATACATGGAAGTGCTGAGCTCCTCCAGCTGCAGAAGAGATGAGAGGTGTTGGAAAACAAAAGCAGATAAAAACAGAGGTGGTAGTACAGAGCATTCATCTCCTAATAGTTTTATGCAACAGCTTTTTGCTCGTCGGGTTTCCCCTGCCTTGTGTATGAAAAACAATGATCAGCTTCCACTCTAATTTACAGAGAGTTGAAAAGTCTGCAGCCCATCTGCTCACAGCCACAGACCTCCAGCTGCAGCCACAGACCTCCAGCTTTAGCCACAGACCTCCAGCTGCAGCTACAGACTGCAAACATCCCTGGTTGCAGAATCTGTAAAGAACTTTTCTCTCATTTCCATCAGACATGGCACCGACTGCAGCTTCTCCACACCAAACATGCCGACCCTGGGCGTGGGTAACTTAACGCCTCTTAAGAGAGTTTTCCCACAACTCAACAGTTTAACTCCTCTAAAAGAAGCAATTTTTACTCTTGATGTTCATGTTTAAAGAGACTTAGCGCAAATACCAGATCCTTCTCGTCCCCATAGCGCTGACGTCAGAGATGAGGAAGTTTTCTCCTTCTGCACAGATACTTAAAGCTGTGGAAATAAGTTTGCCTGAGGAGTGGTGATGAAAAACGAAAGGATTTGGAGTCTTGCTCATTAATATTCATGAAATGTAAATGTCTAGCCTCTGATTGGATAAAAGCAACACAACTCTTCTGCTGCCTTCGTTCACTCTTCTTGCTCGAGTAAATATGCAACATTTATGTTTTACCTACATAAATAATTAGCTAGTGCTAACGAAAGCAGTCGCGTAACGTAATGCACGAAACAGGAGTGAAAGCGTTCCACACAGCTGATCCCGTGACGTCACGAAATCGTGGGACTGCAACACCACACGTGATTTCAGACATTCACACACAATAATAAAGAAGAAGAAAGACAGCTGCAAGCATGAAAGAATGTCTGTGGGTTGTTTTCTGTTCTGTTTACATCGGTTACAGGAAATGACATACTACACGTGACCTTTATTATGAAAGTTTCCGGATGTGCTACGCTGCTTTTGTGTTCGACTTCCTGTCTGGATCGCTCGATCGAAACTGCGGAGTTTGACATGTTTTGGAAGCGTAGCGTGTCAAAAATAGACTCGAAACATAATGAGGCGAGCCCTCGCTTCTGGGGCGCGTCCAAAACGTCTCACTTTGCTGCCGATGGAAAGGAACTAACCCGCTATAACGACCACTCGCAGCATATTACATTTGCATGCAGGGAAAAGGGGGGGTAATGGTTAGCTTCAACTAGCCAAGACACGCTACGCTCACCCCTGGCTGCTAAATCAACAACACTGGTCACGAGCCAAAGATGGCGAGCGCATGCATGCAAATGTTCCCCGGTGACGTGGAAGAGACTGGCTTTTTCTGACCCGGTCGTTTTACGGTTTTCTCTTGCGGCTAATGCAGGCATCAGGGATTAAAGGAATTTTCCTTCAGTATGCGTTTGCAAGTCACAATGAAAAATCGTATTTCAAAAAGAAGTTTTACGTGGCTTCTCAGTGAACGAGACCTTTAAAATCTAATTTTCCATTAGTTAACAGCGCTTCCTGCAGCAGATTTTAAGTCAGACACTGATCATCCTTCTTAACCTGCTGGAGCTCCATCAGGGTGTCTGCAGATTTAAAGAAGTCAGGTTTAAGACTTTAAAAATCCCCTTTCAGGCCACTTTGATCAAATTAAAGACCACCTTACAAACAGCTCTGTCCTAACCTTTATTGGCACAGAAAGTGCTGAAAGCTCAGAACAACATCCACTTAACTGCTTTGCAGTGGATGGAAGTGCATGCATTAAAAACAAACACTGCAGTACCACCTCTTCCCTGCACTTCCCTCTTCCACGGACACCCTGCCCAGTACTCACATTGCACAGCAGGTGTTCTAGGTTGTGGTCAGAGGCGCACTTCCTCTGATCCTCTGAGAGCTCTTCCACATGGCTGTCGAGGCTGAAGTGCAGCCGCGCCAGCTTCTCTTGCATCTCGCGCACGTGTTCCAGCTCCTCGAAGGAGCAGACCTTACCTGGAGATCAGACAGCAGCAAAGTCACGGGTATTTTTGTAACAACCAGATGTTTTACACAGCTCCCCTGACATTTGGTAGTTCATTTTAAGACTTTGTTATTTTTAACTTGTAACAGAATATTCCTCTAAGCGGGTTCTCAGATCCAGGTTATCTCACCAAAAGCCTGTAATTTGCCTGAGTGGAAGTCATTGAGGAGGTTGAGGAGGCCTCCTTCCATCTCTCTTACATCTGAGACATCAGTAAGGAAGGAGTGCTGCAAGGGGGAGGACTGGACTATTTTACTGGGTCCTGCTGGCTGTGGAGCTCTGGGTTTCTCCCTGTGTGGTCTGACGAATGAAAAACATCAGATTTTAACTGCTTATTTAGTTGATTCCAAGGATTTCTGGGGGGTATTCAAGTCACACACACCTGGTAGTCTTTGGTGGAGGCACAACAGCTGTAAGGACCTCTTTAGGCTGCCCTGCAGCTCCTATGGATCTTTTATATTTGCTTCTGTTCTTCGGGGAGGGGGGATGCGGCAGGCCGATGGAGAAGGTGGCACTTTTGCTGGCCGGCAGGACGGAGAGCTTGCGGGGGTTGATGGGTGGAGGCGGGGGCTGAGGCAGGGACACCTTGGGGCTACGCTTCTTACGCTTGTCTTCCATTGTTGTTTACCTTTTTTCTTTTAACTGAAGCTCCTGTGGGACGAGACGAAGGGAAGGGCGAGTGTGCAGGATGTCCTGAAACAACAAAGGTAGGAAGCTGAAAACCAGCTCCCTCTGAGAAAACCTCACTGACCCAACACTAGAGCCAAACTGCACATTTAGGAACCAACAGGTACCAAGCAAACACGAAAGCAATGAAAGCAAAGATTTGACCTCAAATCCATCGGGTAGAAGGCTTTAATGGATCAAATTTACTGATTGTTTTTAGCAAAATGGGTAAAGAAAGAGCCGTTTTCTTTAGACATTTCTGAAAAGTGAAAGCCAGACTGCAGCAGGATTACAGCTGAATGATGCACTAATATACAGAACAGGATCCCTTAGGATGTAATCTGGTCCATACAGACGAGCCTGACAGGGTGGATGATGTAGAAGTACATTCACAAGAGTTAAATCATTAAAAAACTAAATAAACAAACATGGATGCTGCAGTAAAAGTGCGTGTTATTAACGACTCTGACACAGTTTATCTGATTAGAGAGAATAGACGCGTGTTATGACGCGCGTCTATCTGTGAAACACTGCGCCAGTGTCTCAGTCCAAAGATGGCTCCTACAGAAATACACAAAGGCAACTTTGTGCGCCAAAATTCTCATTTACCGACAGACTGCCTGCCTCATAGGGAATAGAAACACTGGTTAACAGCTGTGATGTTCCGGTATGGACACACCGACAGATGTACGGGCAGCACAGATGACACAAATAGACTCACCGAATCAATTACGCACCGGAGAGCCAACCGGCGGGGCTCGGTGTCGCGGCTCTCCTCCAAAGACTTACACCGTTTAGGTGTTGATTGTGTAATTAACGTCCTCCTCTAATCACTACAGAGTCAAATGACCCGTGCAGCAGCTGCCAGTGGGTGCGAATTACCGATGAAATGTAGCGCGGGACATCGACGCGTTGCGCTCGTGCGAAGCTGTTGTCTTTATCCCTCTTAAAGGGCCAGTACACACAAATACCCGGCTGCGCGCGACACGAGGAGGAGGAGACAGGTGATGATGATTGTTTTTTTATAAATATGTATTTTTAAATTAAAGTAGTCTTTAATTTTAACTTGGGAAATAACGTCAGACATAAATCTACAAGTGAATCGGTGTGTTCACAATTCAGGTTAAAGTAAATTAAAAACCAGCTGGGATCATTTAGACTCAAGAAAGAAAGAAAGAAAGAAAGAAAGAAAGAAAGAAAGAAAGAAAGAAAGAAAGAAAGAAAGAAAGAAAGAAAGAAAGAAAGAAAGAAAGAAAGAAAGAAAGAAAGAAAGAAAGAAAGAAAGAAAGAAAGAAAGAAAGAAAGAAAGAAAGAAAGAAAGAAAGAAAGAAAGAAAGAAAGAAAGAAAGAAAGAAAGAAAGAAAGAAAGAAAGAAAGAAAGAAAGAAAGAAAGAAAGAAAGAAAGAAAGAAAGAAAGAAAGAAAGAAAGAAAGAAAGAAAGAAAGAAAGAAAAGGATCTTTTAGATCTTTCAAGATAAAAATCAGGAGGCGTGTCACAAAAAATTAAAGTAAAAAAAAATTTTAATGGTAAAAATATGTTTAAAACGAGAGAAAAAAATAGAAATTGTGATAGACAATAATAAAGAAAGGGAGAGAGAAACTGCAGTGCATCCCGGGAAAGACGGAATAAGAGCAGAATAAGGAGAGGGCGTTGAAGGTTATGCATAAACCAGCCTGAACAGGTGAGTTTTCAGCTGTTCCAGAGTCTGGGGGCCACAGCAGCAGATGATCTGTCACCTTTGGTCTTTAGACTGTTGCTGCACAACCAGTAGGCTTTGGTCACTGGACCTCAGGGACCTGCTGGGGGTGTGGGGACTAAGAAGATCACCAATGTAAGATGGTGCTTGTCCATGTAAGGCCCTATAGACCAGAACCAGGATCTTGAAATGAACCCTGAAGTTGACTGGCAGCCACTGAAGCTGGAGGAGAAGCAGGGTGATGTGGGTGTGTTTGGAGGACTTGGTCAGAAGCCGAGCACAGGCATTCTGAACCACCTGTAATGAATCACTTGTGGGTTTGAAGGGAACCAATACCAATTTCTATTTGTTGGATCTGTCAATTCCAATTCCTGTTTATTCAAATGAATCTCAGTAATCTCTATAATTATAGAATAGGTTGTCTAATTCATTAGAAAATTACTGAAGTAAAAAAGGATAAAAACCGGCTGCTGATGATCGGTTTTAGGGATTAACCGATATATTGGTCGATCGATACATTGAGCTAATATTTACCTTTTTTCCCCTTTATAAGGATCGGTTGAGGACCTATACCACTTTAGTAACTTGTGACCTATTTATTGATTTGTTTGATTAACTTTGTTTAAATGTTTGATTTTAATACTAAATTGTGCACAGATTAAGATTTAAGAGTTGGTTAAACACAAGAGTTCATAAACTGGTTCAGGTTAAGAAATGTTTTGAAATTTTAGCGAGCAAATATGGTGAAAAACGTCTAGAAATCTGTCCAAAAAATCGGCCTCTATCAGCAATAAAAAACCCATATCAGTCAATTCATGATCTGATAATTAAGTATATTTTATTTGAAGAAAATATGGAATTAAATAAGTTTGTACCCTCTCTCCTTTTCCTTACATTTGTCCTTTTCTATTTGCATCAATGTGATTGTTACACCAAGAAATGGATTTGATTTTTTGGAATAAAATGTATTCCCACAGCTCTATTACTACTAAACACCGTGCTGAGCAGCAGAGGTGTGGACTCAAGTCACATGACTTGGACTCGAGTCAGACCTGAGTCATTACTTTAAGGACTTTGACTTGACCTGATAAAATCTATTAAGACTTACGACTTGACTCGGACATGAACGCCAATGACTTGTGACTTGAATCAACTCGCATCTGTTGACTTGATGATGACTTGAGCATTTTTGATATTTTAGCACAACAGTGGCTCGACATGGACAAAAATCATGACTTGTTCGTCGTTCTGGGTGTGATCTTGTTCTGCTAAATGCAGCAGCTCTTTGTTTATGATAAACTGAAGTCGGACAGATGACTTGAAAATTCAAAGTTAAAGACTTAACTTGGACTTCCAGATCATTGACTTTGGACTCGACTTGGTTGTTTTTTGGAATAAAATGTATTTCCACTGCTCTATTACAACTAAACACCGTGCTGAGCAGCAGAGGTGTGGACTCGAGTCAGATGACTTGGACTCGAGTCAGACCTGAGTCATTACTTTAAGGACTTCTGACTTGACCTGATAAAATCTAGAAAGACTTATGACTTGACTCAGACTTGAACGCCAATGACTTGGAACTTGCATCTGTTGACTTAAGCATATTTGATATTTTAGCACAACAGTGGCCCGACATGGACAAAAATCATGACTTGTTCGTCGTTCTGGGTGCGATCTTGCTCTGCTAAATGCAGCAGCTCTTTGTTTATGATCTGTTAAACTTTCTGCTGGTTGAGTGAATAAATGAAGCTTTAATTCTGGAATTTATTTATTGTAATCGTCTAATTAAACTGAAGTCGGACAGATGACTTGAAAATTCAAAGTTAAGGACTTGACTTGGACTTCCAGATCATTGACTTTGGACTTGACTTGGACTTGGTTGTCTTTGACTCGAGACTTGACTGGAAAGACTTGTGACTTACTTGTGACTTGCAAAGCAGTGACTTGGTCACATCGCTGCTGAGAAGCATTTGGGAGCTGTGTTTACTAGCTCAAAAGTCCGTTTTTGACCATCGTGCATCAGCAAGTCAAGAAAATAAAACAAGATTGTCAAAGAAATACAAAAATATTTATTTTATTATGGCGGTTCAGAACAAAAATGTGACACAAAAAGCAGTTTATAGCAAAAAAAATACCGGACTCTTAGGCATGTTTGAACTGTTCCACCTGTAAACTGCAGTCTTAGCTGACCTTCTGGTCTGATGAGCTGTTTGAGTGCGAGTACGCTTTTCCCAGGACGATTCTGTCTCTGAGGAGCTTGAAGAAGGCATAGTAGTTACTGAAGAGGATCAGGGCCAGCGATATCGTCTGATGCCACTTTTCTGAGCATATCAGCGAGTACAGCTGGTAGAATATCATGGCACCTTGGAGGATGATGAGTATGTTTAATATTCGTAAAGGCCTGTTAAAGAAAAACTAGGGAAAGAAACAGGAAGTCAGGAAAGAGATGCGTAAATTAAAAAAACAACAAATGCGCTGTATCCTCACATAGAAGCGATAATGCGACACGTCCGATGGAACCGCAACATTATAGTGGCCCATGGCTTTATAGACGTTCTTATTATGTTTTACCAGGACTCCCTGTGGCCACATGTACTCCTCGGTCCATCTGTGCAAAAAGAAACAACGTGTGACTTAAATTACCCCGAAATGAGTCTGGATTTAGTCATGAGCAGCAAATAGCACACACATGTGCTGGAGGACGTTGGAGCAGAGCGAGGGGTCGACTTTTTGCCAGCAGCCCAGATGAGCTGCAGCTTTGTGAAGCAGGTCGCAGTATCGTGGCGGCAGCAGGTGCCTCATGAGGATGACCGACGTGCTGACTGATACCAGTATGAAGAGCTCACAGGACCACCGCTTATCTACGTACTGAGTGCTCTGAAGGAAAACGTCCAGACAGAAACAGGTGAAACCTTCGATTTGAAACTTGTTTATGAACGAAAATCCCAGAAGGTGTTTACCTTCACAAACCACACGGGCACAAACGCCACATAGTAAGCACTGAGCATGGAGCTGACGAGCACTTCTTTCATCCTCCAGTTGAAGTCCATCTTTAGGTACTCCACCTCCTTCCTGGTGAGGTCAGGGGAGAGGCAGCAGGCGTGAGTGGGCATGGCCTGGACTCCATACAGCTGGCTGGTGTGCTGCTTCCATGTCTCCTTCAGCACGGTCAGGTAGTCTCTCCCTCGGCTCACGCTGCCCATCTCTTTGGATCCGATGCTCGCGATCGGGGAAAGGGACCCGGCTCGTCGGACATCGCAGCTCAAACGGAAGAAGGGGATGTACATACCGAACCTGTGTGAATCACCAGCTGTGGTTATGTCTTACAGAGTCTGAAAGCGTAAAATTAAACTACAGTGATCCCTCGTTTATCGCGGTAGATGCGTTCCAGACCTGGCCGCGATAGGTGAAAATCCACGAAGTAGGGACACCATATTTACAGTACAGTACTATATTGAATTATCGTATGATCACATTCTCTTTTTGTGGGTAAAACTCAAGAACAAAAAATTTTTACTTGTTTTTTTTTATAGTTTTATTACAAAAAGTGCATTTTATGATGAAATTGATGAAAAAAAAACAGGAATTTCTTGATATTTCGCATAGAAAAATACTGCAAATCGGCGAATTTCCCTTGAATAAGGCTACAAAGAAAAAATCCGCGAAGTCGTGAATCCGCGATAAACGAACCGCGAAGTAGCGAGGGATCACTGTAGACGGTATGGAGGTGCGTCAGGACCAGCAACCTTTCTCAGTGGCCTAGTAGTAGAGGGTCCGCCCTGAGACTGGGAGATCAGGGTTCGACTCCTGGTCGGGTCATACCAAAGACTTTGAAAAAAATGGGACCCAATGCCTCCCTGCTTTGACACTCAGCATTAAGGCGTTGGATTGGGGGGTTAAACCACCAAATAGTTCCCGAGCGCGGCCGTGTCTGCAGCTCACCGGTCCCCCAGGGGATGGGTCAAATGCGGAGAACAAATTTCGCATACACACCTGTGTGTGTGACAACTGATGGGACTTTAACTTTAACACATGTAACTACACAGCAACCGGGAAGCTTGTAAAGGTATCATCTCTGGATTATTATCGGGAGACTGACTGTCCACCCACACGCGCTGCAGGACTAATAGTTATTAATCTTGTGAGCACTTACGGGTAGCAAAGGAAGAGCAGGCTGAGGACAGAATAGGTTCTGAAGAGGTAAATGAGGGAACGACACAGGCTCCAGCCGGTCAGCGTTAACACCACAAACCGGGCCATCACTAAAAATATGGAGTGAGGGAAGGAGAGTTTCCCACTCTGTGACGCCTGAAAAAGACGTGACAGAAACAACATGTAGACAACAAGGATGCAGAATTTAATCCAAATGAGAAATTTCCAGTACAATCCGCCTAAATATCCCAACTTCCTAGAAATTTTACGTGATTATCGTCAAATATGTGTTCATATGGCTGAAGCCGTTTTAAACACGAATGCATGGAAATTCTTACCTCTTTCACAATCGCAGCAACTAATCTTCTTGCCAGTATAATGACTATGAACACCAGCATGTTATAATCGATGAGATGAAAGTTCTGAAAGTCAAAACACAGACAGTTCGGGCTGCCAGCAAGACCGAGCACAAAGGAAACAGACAGACCTGATGATGAATCCATCAGGAGGCATGTTTTCTCTCTTTCCCTACTCAAAGCAGCACCCTAATAGCCTAGTGAACTAGACCAAATTCTTGCTTTGCAAAGAATGGTCTAGGCATGCTCCATTGGAACCTCCACTGCTCCTACCAGGACTCTGGCTAGCCAATCACAGCTCTCTAGAGGGGTTTCAAACACATAAAGAGCTGTGATTGGTCCATAATGGTGGGCCAATCATAGTGCTCTATCGGCTTAGTGAACAAATCACAGAGCTTTATCCGCTTTGTGGGCCAATCAGGGCACTCTATATGCCTGGTGGGTGGGATGATGCAACAGAGTGAAACAAGAGTATGTCACATTCATTGTCCAGTAGGATGCGGAGATCATTTGAAAGACAACGGTAGAACCCGCCCCACAACCGAGAGCCGTCAATGGAGCATGGCCAGACTAAATAATACATTTATTTAGTCTGGCTTGCCAGGCTAGCACCCTAACCCACTTCCTGCTTCCATGACTAGAGTTGAGAACAGCGCCTCTGGAGTGTGAACGCTCACTTCTAACCAGCCGACTGAGCCAAAACACATTGTTTTACAATTTTATTCCCACATTATTTGTTTTTTATTTCCACATACATGTATTATAAAGACTTACTTGTCTATGAGAAGCATCAACAACTCTGAATCAGTGCAGGTACCTCTACAAGCGTGCGCCACACTCTCTCATTGACATCTGTATGTAGGCGGATGTCCAGCGCTATTGGCTAAAGCTGAGTGGCACTCAAGTCAAAATGCATGGGGCTCTACAGGACAGAGGTGGGCTTAGCAGACCTATTGCCTGCAGGGTAAGCCCATCAAGAATTTCTAAAAACTCATGATTCCTGAAAGGAGGGGAACTCCAGATTTCCTGCTCGTGTGTAATGAAAAGTGCTCTCACCAGTGATGTGTGTGAAGGAGGGTGTGATGGCGGGTACCACCACACAGTCTTGTAGATGTTGACATAGTGCACGAACAGTGCAACAAGGTGGCAGAAGAAGAGATGAAGCTCAAACAACACATTTTGATCCATGGACAGCTCTGGGATCTTACAGTGCTTCAGAGGAACCACAGTCTGTGCTGCAAGAGGAGGGCTGGACATGCATGTTCCAGAGCCGTTCCTGCAGACACAACAGCATACACGCTCCTCAGTGAGCCATTGTGAGGGGTGTAATAAAAACAAAAAATAGACACCAGGCTGCACATTAACATGTAACGGGGTTATATATACATATATTAGACTCACCTTGTGCGAGATCGCACCCCTGTCACTGGAGAACTGGTCGTGTGGTTTCCATTGCTGACAGAGCCTGGTTCACTGCTCAGAGGAGGTCTGCAGTACGTGGTACGGTTTGTCCCTCTCCTTCCCCCGGCCATCGCAGAGGAACCTGCACTTCCCACCTCTCAGATTCGTGTCTGATTTGGTGATTTTTCACCTAGTCCACACACCTGTGTACGTAAAGGCTGCAGATCAGACACTGAAAGCAAACATCGAAGCAGAATAGTCAACTTTACATGATTAATTATTAATACACACTACTGAATGGAAGTGTTGAGCTCATTTCTTGCTTACTGGAGCTAGGCTTCCCGGTAATAATACATAAAATCATGAACTGACAGCTAAACACAAACAAAACAATGCTACATTAGAATTAAAATGCACCAGATACCAAAATAAATAAAAACCCCAGATTAAAAGATGCTCATTCGTGCACAGTAACTCTACAGGTTTGTACAAGCTACACAGAATCCCAAATTTGGCTGCAAGATTTTTGCGGAAGCTGTCATAACAACTTAGCTAAGTAGCTACGTGACATTTGCATCCCTGCTGGTTTAGGGCCAGGGAGCTGCCTGTCTGGCTGTGAAACACGAGGTGGGAAACAACGTGGGGCAACACAATGAGGCAGAGACCCCCCCACCAGCCTATGGCCGCCAAGACCACGCTTGATTAAAAATCAAGATTGAGGCCTAAAGCTAGCAGCAAGCTAAGTAGCCATTATCCTCACCAGGAAGAAAACGTGCGCTTACCAGGGCCGTGTTTTCAGTTAGAAATTACTCCGTTTCCCAGGTTTTGGGCTAAATCTGGACAAGACTTTTAAAAACACTAGTTGTTGTTCCACTGAAACCAGCGAAGAGACTCATTGTTGATGTGAAACAAGTCGCTGGTGGGTGGGGGCGCGGGTATGCTAGCCTGCCTGTGGGAGGAGTCCCTTAAAGGCACATCCGTGCACTCAGAAACCTCAAAAATAACGAAATCGCAGAATAAATCTTCAACCTGAGCTGCTAGAAAAACTTTCACTTGGCTTCGTGTTGACTACTATTCTAAAAGTGGGAGATAATTGCACGGAGATGGTGCAAAAATGACAAAATGCTTTCCTTTAGGCTAACAAAGGCTGCTGTCGTTAACTGTCCTCTAGGACACATGGGTCTTTTATAGAAACCTTTACCCGTGTGCATGATCTTTACTTTCCAATGCTAAAAGCTTTGCAGCATAGCTAGCATGCATGCAAATAACCCATGTTTTTATTTGGCACCTGCAGCCGATTAGCCTTTATCAACAAACCATCCATCCAGGAATGCAGTCGGCTCACTCCCAGCAATAATTTACATATCAACCCTTTTAATTTTTTCCATTTAAACTTTAGCAGGCTATGACATAACTCTGTCATTTATACTCCGAGCAGTGCTAAACACCACAGTCATGTTTAACATCAGTTGATAGTAAGAGAGAAAACACAATTTACAAAAAAAAGTGTTTATTTTCACATTTTTTATACAAAATGTTCAGAGCAATGAGTGAAAACTTAAAAAAATAGTTTGATCTGTAATCATAAAAAAGTAAAAAACCAGGTCAATGCTGCTTAAAAAAAGGTAAAAAGCCTTCAATCTCTGCAGGGCCTCTTTCCAGGTAATGTCAAACCTGTGAAGGACACAAAATGTAAATTCAGTGCACCAATTAAAACCACTAAACCTTTTGACTGCACCCTTTTTAAACTGACCTTACAGGCCCGACTCGCTGGCGCTGAAACAAATCACCTGCTCCTAGAGTTCGGACAACCTATGAGGAGGAAAAACAAGTGAGATCTGGGACTCACACAAGCCTAAAAGCACACAAGAGAGCTACACATGCAAAATTAATTTTACACTACAAAAAATTATCATGCAACTCAAGCTGAACGGACTTCCTTTTTTTAAACCATCAATGAAGTTTTAACGTTTTACGTGAAGCTAACAATTATCAATAATCTACAGAAATAGGATGGAAATAATTATTGAGTGAAATGAAAGAATTGTTGGTTTTATTTGAGCAAGAGTTGCATCACAACCATATGATTGTTTTGTGCGTCTTGTTTTGCTCGGAATAATAAACTACTTAATATAACAGCATAATTTTGCACTTGAATGGTTTTGATGTTTTGGATGACTTGCATTACTTAAAATGTTTTGCACAGAAAAAAAAAAGACAAAAATAAAATCTAGTAAATGAGTGTTGGGGTTAGTTTTACCTTCTTGTGGCGATCTTTAGGCTTTTAGAATCCTCTCCTCTGCGATATTTTTCTTTTATAAAAACCAGCCAGCATGACTTTGCATCAAAGTCAAGTAAGATCCCTGCAAGCTTGATTTGGGGAATATTCAGTCATTTCAAGTGGCTGAAGATACAAAATGCTCTCTCGAGAGCTTGGAGAGATACACTAACTAAAGATTAGTGACAATACATGTTAAAGCACTGTATCATTGTCAAGTCAAACACGTATTTGGCAGCACATAACCTTAAGGAATGATGAGCTTTATTTTGTGTCCGAAGGTGGAATTACAAGTGTCCTTTAGTTTTGAAACAGACGAAGAGGAGAAGGTCATCTGAAAAACATTGCCTTTTTTCTTTCCATATTTTTGCAGCTCAGGTTCACGTGTATACATACAGCTTAACCAGCATGGTTGGGAACCGATGATCATTTTCACAAACTGAAGGCATTCCTTTGGTACAACAAAGGCAAAATACCACGTTTAGTTTGTTTAAAAAGAAACTAGAAACTTTATTGAAACACGCACTGCAGAAAAACATTTTGGGAAGTGTTTAGTATCCTATTTAGGCAAAAGGTACACAAGCATTATGCATTTTGGAGACGGCACGACTCAAAGCATACACAGTTGTCCTAAGGTTATGTACAAAATATTGAGTTGGCTGCAGCCTTCTTTTTACACAGCAAAGATTGGTCAGCTGTCAAGCTTTACAATAATTATTCAGTGGTCATTTTGCATGTTACAGAACGTCTGACCATATACCAAATTGTGACTTGAGCCAAAAATAGGAATTTATTTTAAGTCAGACTGACTTCTACAATTTTTTAGAATATTCAGAGAAAACTAAATTTGCAACGTTTACAACAAATATTAAGACGTTTGCTACTAATCAAAATACTTCAAGGCTGAATTTAAACTAATTTGATTTTATTCACGAGAAAGTCACAACGAAGAGTTAGGGAGCAATTTGTGTCCAGGCATGAAGGACTTTTGAAAATGCAGCCTACAGGAAAAAATTGAATCGCCACAATCACAGTTTGTTCAATAAACCATTAACTAAAATAACCATCAAATACCAATAAAATGTCACGTCTTTTTAGGTTTATGCCACTACGACCTTAACTGAAACATTAAATGGAAACAGATAACAATGAGAAAAGTTTTGCGTTTTTTCCTCTGGTGCTCTCATACATCCAACAAATGGTCTCGAAATTTTAAAAACAACAAAAAATAAAATAAAACTAATAAAAAAGGGAACAAATAAAACGGGAAATTACTTTTGAAAAGTTAAGTGAGTTACAATCGGAGACAGCTGCCAAAGCAACTCTCTACCAGTAGTTGTTCAGTATCTCCCGTATGGATGCTCTCTATAAGATCCCTTCGTCTGCCGTGACTGGGGGGCTTTGCCTCCGGCGCCAGAATTGGCCCATGAACTGTCCCATTCCCCCTGACCTGCAAGGCGAGGACAGATACTCAAAAAGTTACCCGTCAGCTCGATTACCTGCACTTTGCATTTTATTGTTGCATTTGTTTCCAAACGTACCATAAGCATCGTATGCTGCATCCTGGGCCTCACCGTGTCCGTAATCATAATACTCTGTATCTCTGAAGATAAATTGTAAAGAATTATTGAGACAAAATTCCATCTGAAAAGCATTCATATAATTAAAATCTATAAATTTGGACTCACGCAGGAGCAGCCTGTTGACTGTAGTAATTATCATATCCTTCGTAGGAAGCCTCTACGTAGGTCTCGTCATATGAAGCCTGGGAAAAGAAAGTGAAAACGATGAAAATCAGTATTTACATCAGAATTGACACCATATTTAATGCAAGGATGCAAAAATCAAACTCACATATTCGTCATATGCTTCTGGTTTTGCCTGCGACCCAGACGCAACCTGCTGGTGGGACAAGGCTGCAGACGGAAGCATCCTCGGAGCTCCGGATGCAGGTGGCCTGGACCGGGCAGCAGATCCTCCTCTAGCAGTAGCAGCGGGGGGTCCACCCCGACCAGTTGGAGCCCCTCTGGGTGCAGTGCCTCGACCCCCAGGTCCTCCACGTGGCGCACCACCTCGCATTGCTCCTCGAAGGGCGCCACGTGGCATTCCTCGACCCCTAAGAAAACAAAATGGTTGAATTCAATAAAAAACTTCCAATGAAAACAGGGACAAGGACCTTCTGTTCAGATAATCTGTTGCATAGTGCAAACCATGGCCTCCCTCATACCTGGGTCCTGCTCCAGGTGGTCCACCTCTGCCCCGCCCTAGGCCACCTCGTCCTCTGCCAGAGCCATCCTGGGAGCCATTCAGGAACTCAGGGTCCATGTAGGGGTCATGCTCACCAGGCTCCTGTGATCAGTAGGTGAAGACATTACCCTAATACCAGATTGAATAAAAACACAACTACAGAGAACTTTAAAGCAGACTTACAGGAATCAGGAACTTCTTGACCTCATCCATGGCATGAGCCATGTGCAGGTATGCTTCTGGTATTGGTGCTGTAACCTCAATGAACACATGCAGCTCCATGGACAGATGGGCATATTTTGCTTCACCACCCTTCCTAAGCTCTTCCTCCTGATGAATATTTAATATGAAAATAGTTAATCTGCAAAATAACCACTCAGTGGTTCTGCATATTATCAATTTGACTCAAACCTTATTCTTGTCCCTCATGGAACCTCTTCCCAAAACTGAGATCTTTGCTCCGGTTTCCTCCTGGAGCCTCTTGATCGTGCTGCCCTGAGGCCCCAACAGCTTACCTACAAAGTTGACCTGCAAGAAGTCACGTGTGTCAATCACAGCTCCTATTCTCGCTATTTTACTGCATCAATGCACAAAATGAGACCGTAGCACAACGCCTCAATGATCGCAGATCACTGTGAATTAAATTTCACATATTTAATAAAATGTATGGATGTTTAGGCGAAGGAGAGAGGACTCACTCTAGGATACTGCTTGGTTGGGATGAGTACACGCTCCTTGAGTTTCAGGTTCTTGGTGGCAAACAGGTCCAGGTAGGTCTCCTTCTCTGGCTCTTTCTTAGAGTCACCCTTCTGGATCCTCTCGATCTCTGCCGAGAAAAACAAATACGTTAGCATTACTAACAATACAGAAAACTATTGAACGTTTATCTGAGCTAAAAATGTCGAAGTTGTTACTAATCTGGTGAAAAACGACAAAATTTTTATTTACATAAAATTCTAATTTGTTATATTTACGAATTCTACAAAATTAAGCAACCTGCTTATTAATTTTGCTTATCCAAATGAATGCATAATCACTGATGGGTTGCCCCATTTTTACAACCACGTGCACTAATGCGCCATTGTTTAGGCCTGTTGACTCGAACACGAAGGAAAAAAGATGCTAGGCCTCGAACAGAAACACGAATAAGTCGCTCGCTTTAGCCACCAGCCAGCAAACATCGGGATTACCTGCAGTAATAAGCTTCATGGCGTGTGTGAACGACGAATCCAAGCTGTCCTTCTCAGCCAGGAGCTCCGGGAGGTACTTTGTGTCTTCCATTTTGATTTTCTTCTTTCTCTAGCTTCACAATGGCGGGCTCAACTTGCACTCAAAATCGTCGCAAACCGAACAGGACAGCAAACTCGTTTCTGAAATGTTTTGTTTTAAGGATTTTTTTTGGAGAAAATAAAAAGCAGCAGCGTCCGAGTTTCAAGCAGTAAATCCGGCCGGTGCTTCCACACGTCGGTGACTGCGCTCCGCTCGGTAGACAAAGAAGAAATGGCGCAGCAGCATTTCAGTTAGCGGAGACGGAGAGGAAGTGACGTCGCCGCGGAGGATTGTGGGTAATCTTAACGATTTCTGGCGGGTCAAGAGATAAATAAATAAATAAAATCATTTTACATTTTGACGAACGTTACTAGCACCAAAGGTACTTTTCAGGCACTAGGGTCTTGGTTTACAAAGCATGAACAGCTTTTTATTTATTTATTTATTATTATTAGAAACAATTTCCTATTCAAACCTGCATCAAGCACAAACGAAATGAACAAAGAACATAATTAGAGTAGGGATGCACAATATATCGGCATCAATATCAGTATCGGCTGATGTTAGTCCATTTTTTTTATCTATTTCAGAAGGTTGGGGGGTAATGTGTATTTGTTTTGTCATGTGATAGTGATTGTAATCACCTCAGAAGCGTAAATGTGTGTGATGTACATAATATTGTAAATTCAGCTTTAATAATTTTCATTCTATACAAAATCTGCTGATTTTACAAGCATTAATATCAGCATATATCGATATCTGCAAATATCACTTATCGGCCATAACAATCATATTAATATCAGATATTGGTGTATCACTAGAAGTCACCCAAAATGACCAAAGCTTAATAATATATTGTATGTTGCAAGACTTTCTATTTGAAACAAGATAGACAATAACATCAAATACATTAACCTGGACATCTAAGTTGGTGTTGATGAAACGTACCATTTTTAACCACTATGGTTTTGCGTGATCACAATGAAAGAACAAATTAAAAATGTTTTTATGGTGGATTGGTGTTCCACCCATTCCATCACATCCCAAAGGTTCTCGTTTGGACTGAGATCTGGTGCGAAAGTTCTCTTCTAAATGGCTAAAATGTTTAATACCACCTTTTGGCCACTGGAAGGCAGCAACTCCCCATCTTCTCTTCTCCGAATGGTGATGGAAACTCCCATTATTTTCATGAAATACATATATTAACATATATACATTGTTACTGTTTGTTTTTTGTCTAAATATTATTTTAGAAGTATTATTCAATTACTTGCAACCTGCCATTTGACCTGATTAATGGTGTCACATGCCAACTGGATGGAAGCGAGAGGGATATTCCCTATTTGCGTTAAATTTGCATTAACAGCATAGTTAGTATAAGCAAGGGCGTAGGAACGAGTTTAATATTGGGGGGGGGGGCACATTTTGGAAATCTAACAAATCTGTTGTAGGCCAATATATAGGTCAATTTCACTGAAAAAATTGCATTTTATGATTATTTCTGATTCTAATGTGTCACTGAGTGTTCCATGCAGGCTGAACATGAACATAGTCTCCTACCGCTATCTCCTGCATTAGATTCTGATAGAAAATCTGATAAACGGTGAAACTCTAGGATTAGAAAATGGTAAAAATGTGCATTGGGGATATATCTACCCACTTTTTTCTTTTCAAGCACTTTTTGTTTTCTTGATTTTTTGGAATAATTTCCTGCCCTTTCTCTCTCTAACCTTCCTGCATGCTGCATGTTTTCTCCGTCTTCCAGAAAAACTGTTTCCTAGATTTCTCACTTTCTAACTAATCAGCCAAAGGGATCTACCGAACGCAAAAAAAAAAAAGAAAAAAAGAAACGTGAAGTACCAGAGAACATGGGCTGATATAAACGATCGCAAACAAATTACTTTGTTTAGGAGGAGCGATTTTGTGAATATAACAGCGGCCGCATGCAGGACGCAGCTGGAGTATTTGAGCCATTACCGCTGCGTCCTCTCTGCTCATAGAATGCCCGCAAAGCTGAGTCCATAAATGACGTCATATATGTAGATACTGAATCATTTTTCAGGCTTCCCACAATTTGAATTTTTAGGAAACCCACATCTTGATTCTGGGTTTAAAAATGCATTGTAATTTCCGCGTTACTGACAATTGTACCGAGTAAATATTACCATTTTCTTAATGCCTTACATTACAGCAAAAAGCAATGCATTACAGTAATTAATTACTTTTGTACAACACTGGCCATCAGAAGATGGGTACAATGTGGTCATAAAGGGATGGACATGGTCAGCAACAATACTCAGGTAGACTGTGGCATTGCAACAATGATCAATTAATACAAAGGGGCCCAAAATGTGCCAAGAAATTGTACCCCACACCATTACACCACCACCACCACCAGCCTGAATCGTTAGTACAAGGCAGGATGGATTCTTGCTTTCATGTTGTTGACACCAAATTCTGACCCTACCATCAGAATGTAGAAGCAGAAATCAAGACTCATCAGACCAGGCAGCATATTACCCAATCTTCTATTGCCCAATTTTGATGAGACTGTGTGAATTGTAGCCTCTGTTTCCTGTTCTTAGCTGACAGAAGTGGCACCCAGTATGGTCTTCTGCTGCTGTAGTCCATCTGCCTCAAGGTTTGACGTGTTGTGCATTCAGAGATGCTATTCTACATTCCTTGGTTGTAACGAGTGTTTATTTGAGTTACCATTGCCTTTCTATCAGCTCGAACCAGTTTGGCCATTCTCTTCTGACCTCTGGCATTTACACCAACAGAACTGACGCTCACTGGATGTTTTCTCTTTTTTGGACTATTCTCTGCAGACTGTAGAGATGGTTGTGCGTGACAATCCCAGAAGATCAGAAGTTTCTGAAACACTCAAGAGCAGTCCATATGGCACCAACAACCATGCCACGTTCAAAGTCCCTTAAATCACCTTTCTTCCCTATTCTGAAGCTCAGTTTGAACTGCAGCGGATCGTCTTGACCATGTCAACGTGCCTAAATACAATGAGTTGCCACCATGTGATTGGCTGATTAGTAATTTGTGTTAATAAGCAGTTGGTCAGGTGTACTCAATAAAGTGGCCAGTGAGTGTATAGTGAAAACAGGAGTTAACCAAAAACAAAGCCTTGGGGTACTCCACAAATGGTGTGCATTGAAAGTTTATCTCCAAACCCCTTTCCTGCTGCCTGATGACCAGAGCATCATTTTATCAGTGCCAAGTTCCCGGGAAAACTTTTCTAGTATTTTTATATAACTGCTTTTCCCCTTTTCTGCTTGGGTCATTTTCTACCATTAGGTGCGAGTTAGCTTAAGTCAGTGTCTTAACTTGAACAATTATTCTATTATTCCAAGGGGGTCAACCATCAATCCCAAACATTCACTGATTTATTTACATTAAATCAGACGTCATGAACAGAAATTTGTCACATTATTCAACGTAATTATTTTTAATTAGCATATATCAACATTTTAATTTTTTAATCAAATGTACTTTCAGTATACCAATTCTTACATTATTTACATTCAATTTGTTTTTTTTCTAAGTCAATGCATCTATCAGATATGAAACCTTCTAAAATGATCTTACAGAGAGCTTCCATCAATATAAAAACAGATTTTCCTATTTAGTAATCAGTGCTTCAAATACAAAGACCACGTTAAATGGCTGTGTAGATCATTCAGTTCCAGTCAACCAGGTCTGCTGTGCGGTCTGAGGCATCTTCAGATATCAATGATAGCAAATATTTCTGGTTTTTCTTTGTCGTGGATCTGCATTGCAGAGTATGTGATGGCTTTCACCTCAGTTCCCTTGAAAGACGGCATACAGCAGGACAAATGAGTAACAATAGTCTCTTCCAATCTCACTTTTCACAATAAAGTTTCTTCCATGGCCTACCTGCGGATGCTTTGCTAGAGAAAATTCTTCACCCCACCTTTAAAAAAGGAAATAGAAAGAGTTGGAAATAAAAAATACAAACTGGTTTGTTTAACTGAATATTCTAAACTTACCCAATAGAGCGAATTTTGAACTGCATCCTGTCAATGGACAAAACTTTGATCTCCTAATAAACAAATAAAAGACGTGTTTAACTAGATTACTTTAGTTCACACTTGTGATGTGGAAACTGCTCCATGGCTTAAGAAACCAGCATGACGGAGCATGTTTCAAAGCTAGCGGGGACAAGTATTCACAACTATTCAAGAGACTCACCCTGGGAATAAAGAAAAGATCTGCACAGAACTTGTATAACCAGTCGTCTAAAAAGTGGAAAAGAAGGGACTCCATATCTTCACCTTTGAAACAGAACAAGCAGATTGATTGTTTAGGTGTTTTACACATGTTAAACCAGCATGACGTACATTGATCAGCGGCAAAACTAAAACACAATAAACTGATCATCCGATAACGATCCCCACCTTCTGATTCCACTTCCACCGTATCGATCGGTTCCACGGTCTCTGTGTCCGTCATGTAGCCAAACATCCCCATGGCACACTGCTCAAAGGCTTCCTCCAAAGAGTCTCCCCAGGAGTGGATTCTTTAAAATGAATATGTAAATATTCTTACTGTGATTACTGAGCAGCAAACATTGCACAGCACGGGGAATGAGACACTCACTGTACATCAGCTGTGTGATCCAGGTCTGAAATAAAACACAGGCTGACATCAATTTACTGAAAAGAAACAGCTATGATGATTACATTCAACAACTTCATTTGAAAAGTTGAAGACTTTCTTCCACTGTTACATGAGGAAAACAGCTAAGCTAACAACTTGCTGTATCATTATTTCGTACTTACATTCATATTTCTTGTTGATCGGCGGGTATTTAGCTTTAATAGCTTTCTGATCATCTGTCAAATCTAGTTCACGGTCTTCCATTGTAGTTTTAAGCCTTTTAAACGTTTAAAGTGACTATTTCTGCCTTACACCATGTTAGCGTAAGAAAAGGAAAATGCTGCGTTCAAAGTCCAAAGTTGTGGCTCGTATATTCTATTGTCCGCGTTTACGTCTGTACAATACAAAGTGTAAGTGAATAAAAATATATACTCCGTCATCAAATTTATTTTGCATCTTTTATTAGAAAGAACTAATATCAGTTACAGTATTAACACAAACAGAAACAATTTTCTACAAAAGTGGCTATGATCATTTATTTTTCTGTTGTAGGCTAATTGATTAGAAATTGGAAAATATTTTTCCTTTATTGTTTACTTTAGTTTAGATTTGTGTTATACTAGTTCAATTAAAAATGTAAGGTAAATGGACAGGTCCACCTGCTCACAAATCCAATTTGTTTACCCGACTTCTAAATTCCGAGCTGCCATGTCCCATGTAATCAAATTGACGTTCCGGAAGTAGTAGCGTGTGTACGTCAGACTTCCGATCGACTTTACTGTATGCTGGTTGGCTAGTCCTGTTCTATGGAGTTGGCGCCATTGCAGGGCTGTCGTGCTGTGTTCTGTGCGTTCTTCCCCAAAATAACACATTTTTAGCCTGAATCAGCTAATTAGCTACGGTGCAATGGCCGATAAAGACGGTAAGAGCGTTATTCTATCGTCACTACGGGATTAGGTGGAAAGGTTTTTCGTATTGAACGCTTAAAACCCAAATCCGGGTGGACCGGCAACGGTTCGCGCGCAGCTAGAATCTTTCATTGTTAGCGGCATGCTAGCTAGTAGCCGCTAACGCGTTGGCGACACGGGACTTGGAACATCAAATATACAGATCACGGATTTATATATTTAGCGTATATAAGTGTTTTGTAGTAATTTTGATTACATTCCTCGTATGCTTGTTATATTTTATTTGTAAAATTAGCTAATATGGTAACCATTATGCTAATTTGACAAGTGAACTATTCGGTTGACATAACCGAAATGATACTATGGTTTTTGTTCCCTCTCAGAGTTCTATGTTCATATTGGTGATTTGCAGGGATGACTTTAATGTTGGTTGTTGTTTTTTTTATGCAGCTGCTTTTGATGACGCTGTGGAAGAAAGGGTGATCAATGAAGAGTACAAGATCTGGAAGAAGAACACCCCTTTCCTCTATGATCTGGTCATGACTCATGCCCTGGAGTGGCCCAGTCTCACTGCTCAGTGGCTGCCAGACGTCACCAGGTGAGAATGTGCTTTTACACTTATGCAAATGCAAGGAAACTGCATTTTTGTGTAATCCACGTCGCTCTCCACAGACCAGAGGGAAAGGATTATAGTGTGCATCGGCTGGTTCTGGGGACTCACACATCTGATGAGCAGAATCACCTTGTAATTGCCAGTGTTCAGCTTCCAAACGACGATGCCCAGTTTGATGCTTCACACTACGACAGCGAAAAAGGAGGTGAAAAGGCGAAAATGCGCCATGCACGTCTAGTTGGCTACAGGGGCTGATTAATGGATCTGTTACAGTGAATGGTTTAGTGACATGTTCTCTTTTGTTTCAGAGTTTGGAGGCTTTGGCTCTGTAAGTGGTAAAATAGAGATTGAGATAAAAATCAACCATGAGGGAGAAGTGAACAGAGCCCGTTACATGCCCCAGAATCCCTGCATCATTGCCACCAAGACTCCCACCAGCGATGTGCTGGTGTTTGATTACACAAAACATCCCTCTAAGCCTGGTAAGATCTATGGCAAAGCAGCAAGTTTGATATTCTCACCCTTTGCATCTCCTTGCAACGCTGGCTCTGTTTGAATTTAAGACCCTTCTGGAGAGTGCACCCCAGACCTGCGTCTCAGGGGTCACCAGAAGGAGGGCTACGGCCTGTCCTGGAACCCAAACCTCAGCGGATGCCTCCTTAGTGCTTCTGATGACCATGTAAGCGATCCATTCTTAATACTGTGGTCTATTGTAATCTTTTGTTGTTGTAGAGCACTTTACTGAATGTGTACCATTTATATTTTACATTTAGCTTTTTATTTTATTTACCCCTTAGACTATATGCCTGTGGGATATCAGCACGGTGCCGAAGGAGGGGAAGATAGTGGATGCCAAAACTATTTTCACAGGCCACACTGCTGTGGTGGAGGACGTCTCCTGGCATCTGCTCCACGAGTCGCTTTTTGGATCTGTGGCAGATGACCAGAAGCTCATGATGTAAGTAGCTTCATACCGTAAAATATCTTGTGTTCTGAGCTTGCATCAAGTAGTTTTTGTTTTTATTTTTTGAACAGCTGGGACACGAGGTCTAACAACACCTCCAAGCCCAGCCACGCGGTGGACGCCCACACAGCAGAGGTCAACTGCCTGTCTTTTAATCCCTACAGCGAGTTCATTCTGGCCACCGGCTCCGCTGACAAGGTGCGAGAACTTTCTGTCCTCGCTGCGACAGCCTGTTGGGGTTTTGTTTGAATACATTTTTTTAAATGGAATTGTTTTTGCAGACTGTGGCTCTTTGGGATCTGAGGAACCTGAAACTGAAGCTCCACTCGTTTGAATCTCACAAGGACGAGATCTTCCAGGTAAGTGTTGGAGCAAACGTTCTTCTCACATTTCTGCTAAACTTTTCAGCAGAAAATCTCACCTGGTTTCTCCTTACAGGTCCAGTGGTCTCCTCATAACGAAACCATCCTGGCCTCCAGTGGCACCGACAGGCGGCTCAACGTCTGGGACCTCAGTAAGATCGGAGAGGAGCAGTCTCCTGAGGATGCTGAGGACGGCCCCCCTGAGCTGCTGGTGGGTTGCGCTGGTGATGGTGATTATTGCTTTAGTTACGCTTCAAACTAACCCCTTAATCCACCCCACTTTGGTTCTTTTTAGTTCATCCATGGTGGACACACAGCCAAGATCTCCGACTTCTCCTGGAACCCCAACGAGCCATGGGTCATCTGCTCAGTTTCAGAGGACAACATCATGCAAGTGTGGCAAATGGTAAGATCTTTTAATCATCGATTTGCTGCATCCAGTTAAGTACCAACCGGAAAAACTCACATTTTCATTCTACAGGCTGAAAATATCTACAACGACGAGGACCCGGAGGGTGCCGCAGACTCGGAGGTCCAAGCCTGAGTCCCGTCTTAACGTCGTTTCATTTTCGACCTACTTATTGAAAATGGATCCATTTCTCACTGCTGCACCTCTAAACATTGAAAACTTTCACACAAATAATTTTGAGCAGCAGTGTTTTGGAGGAAAATGGAAGAATCATCTGGCACTGTCATTGTGTTGCGATGTGTTTTAAAACGGCGTTTGTTTCCGTCTGACTTTTTGATGTTCTAGGTTTTCTAAATTAATTCTGGCCTTTAATGAAACATCAGATGTGTTTACCGTTCAAATTCTTTTATTTCTTTTCCATTAGCTGTGCAGAGGACAGGTCTGCAGCGATCCATTTGCAATACAACTGTACATACTGCTGGTTTTCCTTTTGATTTGCTCATTTTTTCTTTTCGTAGTTGAATTTTCCAGATTGTGAATTGTTGTTTCTGTTGGGTTTTTCTGCATTTTTGTTTCTCTGTGCTGCATCTTATCTTTTGTGTACCTAAGTATATTCATAATAAAATATTTACAGTAAAGCTGTGTAGTTGCACTTCCTGTTACAGATTGGATTGCACGCAAGAGTCTGTCCGGGACGTGGTTTGATTAGGAATAATAATGGAAAACTGGCCTTCCTCTGCCGTAGTCCTGGGTTCATTCCTTCCTCTGCATAAAAACAGTTTGTTAGTCATTTGTTTTCTGGATTTTCATGCTTTAAAATAAGTTAAAGCTAATAAAATGGGAGTAAATTTACCTGAGAAATGTGAGATCTGTTTCAAGGCCATTTATAAGCATCTCCAAATCTTTTTTATACATTTTCTGAACATTAAACTCCAGCTGAAGTTTTCTCAGAGATGTCTGTAGATTCTCCACCGTTTCCTGTAAAAATATCACAAATCCTCAACTTCACTTTTGTCATTTGTGAGTTAATTAACGTACGTGAATATTATAATCAAACATGCTTGACAGAAGACGATCACTTTCATTCAACAATGTTCAATAAGAAATAGAAAAAGTTCAATGTCCAAAGCTCCATCCATCCATTTGCATCCGCTTATCCAGAGTCGGGTCGCAGGGTCAGTAGCCTAAGCCGAGAGGCCCAGACTTCCGTCTCCCCAGCCACCTGGGCCAGCTCCTCCGGGGGAATCCCAAGGTGTTCCCTGGCCAGGTGAGAGACATAGTCCCTCCAACGTGTCCTGGGTCTACCTTTAGGTCTCCTCCTGGTTGGACGTGACCGGAAAACCTCACCAAGGAGGCATCCTGACCAGATGTCCGAGTCGCCTCAACTGGCCCCTCTCGATGTGGAGGAGCAGCGGGTCTACTCCAAGCCCCTCCCAAATGACCGAGCTTCTCACCCTATCTCTAAGGGAGAGCCCAGCCACTCTGCGGAGAGAACTCATTTTGGCCGCTTGTATCCGCTATCTCGTTCTTTCTGTCACTACCCAAAGCTCATGACCATAGGTGAGGGTAGGAACGTAGATCGACCGGTAAATCGAGAGCTTCGCCTTCTGACTCAGCTCTCTCTTCACCACGACAGACCGGTACGACGCCCGCATCACTGCAGATGCAGCACCAATCCGCCTGTCGATCTCACGCTCCAGGTTTCCCTCACTCGTGAACAAGACCCCGAGATACTTAAACTCCTCCACTTGGGGCAGGACCTCATCCCTGACCCGGAGAAAACATTCTACCCTTTTCTGAATTAAGACCATGGTCTCAGATTTAGAGGAGCTGATTCTCATCCCAGCTGCTTCACACTCGGCTGCGAACCGCTCCAGCGAAAGCTGAAGATCACGTTCTGATGAAGCCAACAGGACCACATCATCTGCAAAAAGCAGAGACCTGATCCTCAGGCCACCAAAACGGATGCCCTCCACACCTTGGCTGCACCTAGAAATCCTGTCCATAAAGGTTATGAACAGAATGGGTGACAAAGGGCAGCCTTGGCAGAGTCCAACTCTCACTGGGAACGAGCCCGACTTACTGCCGGCAATGTGGACCAAGCTCTGACACCGGTCATACAGGGACCTAACAGCCCGTTTCAGAGGGCCTGGTACCCCATACTCCCAGAGTACCCCCCACAGGGCCCCCCGAGGGACGCGGTCAAACCCCTTCTCCAAATCCACAAAACACATGTAGATTGGTTGGGCAAATTCCCCTAAGGGTATAGAGTTGGTCCAGGTTCCACGGCCAGGACGAAAACCACATTGCTTCTCCTGAATCTGAGGTTCAACAATCCGACGGACCCTCCTCTCCAGAAGCCCTGAATAGACCTTACCAGGAAGGCTCAGGAGTGTGATCCCCCTGTAGTTGGTAGGTGTCCAAAGCTCAATATCTAAATTAGTCTCCAGGCAGTAAATGAGTTGCTGATTCAAGACCCAAATAAACTGATGGTCGAAACTATCTGGATTTCCAGACAGACTCCTGAAATGCCTGCTGAATGGTTGCCGGGTAAACACTGCGGTCACTGATGATGCTGATAGCTTTATGTCTGCACCGTTAAAGGTAGATGTCTTCGATGGGCAGTAGTCTTACCTAGGACGTGCTCTTCTGCCTTCACCGCTTTCTTTAGTGATCTCTGACTCTAGAGCAGCTCCCACACCAGATATTCATGCCGCCCATCAACAGTCTTTCAACCACTGCTCTGTAGAATTTTTGTGAAATAGCGAGTTGCCATATCACCATTGGCGACGGTGGCAGAGGAGTCAAGTGCTTGCCCTGTAACTGGACGGTTGAAGGTTCAAGCCCTGTATGTTCCAGGGCAAGACACTTTGCCTGCCTTGCTTGCTGGTGGTGGACTTTGGCGGACGGCGACCTCGCCTTTGTCAGTGCTCCCCAGGGCAGCTGTGGCTACATTGTAGTTTATCTCCACCAGCAGTGGGTGGAATATTGTTTGTGTTGTGAAGCGCCTTGGGCGGTTGTAGAACTGTAGAAGGCACTATATCAAATACAGGCCATTTATCATTTTTACCACGTTGATGTTTGTTCCCAGTTTCCCAAACCTCTGCATGAAGTCAGAGCCGTTGACACACTTTCTTGGCCACCTTGTCAGTGTGGTGGGTCCACATGAGGCCCTCCATGATGTTTATTCCAAGTAGCTTAAAGCTGCTGACCCTTTTTACCTCTCTCCCTGAAGCTGAGATGTAAGTTGTTGTCCAGGCACCAGTTACTCAGGGCCTGCTCATCTTCTCTATTGGCTGAGATGAGGCCTATGATGGTTGTGTCATCTGCATACTTGGTGATGGGGTTTGTAGTGTGTCTACCAACACGGTCATGGGTGAAAACGGAGGAGGCCGAGCACACAGCCCTGTTGTGTTCTGGTGTTTAAGACTAGTGAGGGACTGCTGTGCTTACCGGCTCTCGCTGCTTGGGGCCTATTGGTGAGGATGGACTATCCAACTGCACATAATTGTCCCCAGCCCTTGATCGCTTCAGCACAAGTTTACAGGGGGATAATAGTGTTGAATTCAAGCTGTAACCAATGAAAAGCATCCTCACATATGTTCTCCTTCTTTTTAAGCAGGTGAGATAGGGGCATGTTATATAGCTAGCACAGAAACATCCTCTGGTAATGTAACCTGTTCAATGTGTGATACCTTATGAAGTGCAGCTTTCTCTTCCCTCTCTGTCTCCATAAGCATGATCTTCTTCTCCAGACAAGATCTCTGCACCCCCAGCCTCTCTATTTCTCCAATCAGGGGCCCCAGACGGGCCCTCAGGTCAGTCGCCTGCTCCCTGGAGTTTCTCAAAGCTTCCTCTGCCACCTGCCTCCTCTTCAGCAGGGCCATGAGGCGAGGCTCATACCAGCCCTCCAGCGCCCTCACGCTGCCACTGAACCTCCTCTGCAGCCTGACAGAAGCTTGCCGACATTGGCTGACGTCGCTCATGGCTCTAGACCTCCAAGGCCTACGGGCCCGATCCCTGAGGGAGATGAGCAGGTTCTGATGAGCAACCTGCAGCTGGGAAAGCTCCTGACTCAGATGCTGGAGATGGCCATTGAGTTCCTCCTATAAATAAATGCAACTTAACCCTTATTGTATTTAAGAGCAAAATCAAATCAAACAGGAAAGTAAAATCACACTTTTATTATGTTACGGTTGAAATCGTGACCCCTTACCTGTGTAATCCTGGACTGAGCCACCTCATACTTGCATGCATCCAGAGTCACCTGGCTCTGAATGCTGTCTCTGGTTGTGAGGAATAATTTCACCTTCACCTGCTGTACGTCCTCATGCACAGCGTTATAGTCCAGCTGAGCCAGCGTGAGCAGCCTCCGAGCATCACTCAGCTTCCCTCTGAGGAGCTCCACCACCTGCAGCATGGGCTCCTGCAGCTCAAGAAGCTCTTGGATCATTTCATCTCTCTGCCTTTCCAGACGAGACACTTCATTGATCCGGGAATCAAAAAGCAGTCCCAGTTCATCCATGCCCACCTCGGGCGTGTTGTGTTGTGTGCATTCATGCAGGACGACGGCTGTTTCTGCCTCAGAGCCAGTCAGGATGTTTTTAGACATTTCCTCCACACGTGACTCCTCAGTGGATGTCAGGTGTTTATGTTCCTCTGCTGGTCTTTTACTACCCATGACAAGCTTCAGTAGAAACAATGTGACTACCATTAGTCAACATGATTATGTGGATTTAATCACCATGTTGCCTTTATAGGTTAACACAGCCAACAAGCTAATTCTGCTAGCTCATAAGTTTACTCAAGCTCGTCATCAAAAGCCTGCACCTGACAGATATGATCAACAACTCATCTTCACAGACGTTTTACTCACTTTTCTGCAGGTTTTAGACGTTTTAGTAGCAGGGTTTAGCTGTAAGGAGCTCTGTGCTCAGCCTGTCTCCAGGAAAAAAACACAAGAGCACTTTATGTTTATTAATAACACAGAAGGCATGGGGGAAACTCTATCTAAGACTTTCTCATGGGGTTTGCTAACTGTGTCAGTGCTGGGAACAGACGGGCTGAAATGCCCCGGATGCATCGTGCCTGGACCAGCCTGCTCCACAGAGGGCTATATTTATACGGACTGACTGCCTGTTTTTTAACTATAAACATCAGACCTCAGGCAAAGCTGCAGGATAGTGCCAACAGCTGAGCTGTGTGTGAAGTTTGCATGATTAATAAACTCATTTGTTTTAAATGTTTTGCATGCTGCCTATCGAAGATCGCAGAAAGTAGCACATCATTGCAAAGGTGGAACTCGAACAAGTTAGAAGTTATTTTTAAAAGGGATATTTTAAATTAGTCACAATTAGATCTGTTTTAATCAGATGAAACGTCTGTAAAAGCCGTTTGTAAAGATAAGTTGCATGTTTTAGTTTTTTATTTCCTCGAGTGCAGATTATTATCTAAAATGCTGATGTGCAGTCGGGATAAAAGGTGTTATGTTTTATGTTTATTATGTTTATTCAATTAGCAGACGCTTTTATCCAAAGCGACTTATAATTCATAACCTATAGGGCATGTTGTGATCTGTGGGGCAAACGGGAGTACCTGGAGGATACCCACGCATGCATGGGGAGAACACGCAACTCCACGCAGAATGGCCGCAGCCGAGTTTCGAACCTGCAACCTTCGTGCTGCGAGGCAACAGTGCTAACAACTGCACCACCATGCAGCATGTTGAAATAACAAGTAAATCATTAAAATTATCCATACTGCTTATTTCCTTCTTTTGCACATAATGGAATTGAAAAATGCTTTATTAGACTCTCAGCCAAGCCAACTTGATTTGTATAGCATCTTACAGCAGTATAAAACTGGCTAAAGTGCTTCACAGAAATTAAAAACAATAAAAACAATACACAACATAAAATGCAGCGAAAGGACTAAAATAAATAAACAGACAAAAATAAAAAGCCCTAAAAGAAAATATGCTTACAAAACTTAACAGAAAATATGATAGTTATGCACCAAGGTCAATGCAAATACAAAAATACAGAAAAAGTCCCCATGAAGTCAGTATTTAAGTCTGGATTTTGTTTTCAGAACAAATATTTGTAAGATGAAATAAAAGGAATGTGTGAAAAATACAAATAAACAACATATAGAGAGACAAATTATTTATTTATTTATATGAATGAAAATGGGAATGAAATGAAAAAAATTGTGTTCAGTGACTGAAAAAATGAACAAAATTGTTAAATAAATAATTTAACTCGGTGAGAACCATGGATGGTACTATTATTTATTTAGTTTCAGCATAAAGTGATCTAGAGATTCAAAGAATAGTTTTGATATTTTTAATTAATTTTATTTGTACTATCAGTGGTGTTAAAGTGACGCGCTTTGCTCCAAAGATGCAGTTCCGGCTTTACGCCACTAGATGTCAACATAACACCGAGCGCAGCCTCACCTGAGAGCGCGCGCGCCCAGCCTCCTACCAGGTGGGAGCTGCAGCAGGTCGGCGTTTCCCCTCCCCTCACTCCTCCGCTTCTCCCCGGTTTAGTTGCAGACGGACAGCACATGACTGCGGAGGAAACCTCCGTTTTCTCGACAGACTGGAGCGGAACCAGCGCGGAGGAAAGAGCGGGGCCGTTCTTATAAGTAAAAGTCGCGTTGTTGACGCGGAAATGTTTCACCTGAAGTTTTCCTTCGGACTGTGAAAAAAGTGTGGCTCTGGGAAAGGAATGACGCCTCGGGGAGAAGCCTTTAATGGAGAGTGAGTGAATCGGATCGTTTAAAACTAAAAGGTATTGTTTACATTTGTTTACAAAGTTATTTGTTTGAGTTTATTCCGTCTGGTTCAATAGAAACTAGAATTAAATCCTGTTAAAATAGTTTATTTTCCATTTATTTTTCTTTACCAGATACATTTTATTTAAAACGCATTTAAATTTTATTTTGAAGTGAGAAGAATTATAATGTTATTTGTGAATTCAAAGTTTTGTGCAAATGAAAGGTTGATTTTAAAAGCAGGCAAAAGATGAGGATGACCAAAGCAGAGGTAATCTAGACTTCTGCTGCTTCCTGTGACAATAAAGGCCATTGTTGCCTTTTTTCCCCAGCTGGAAGTGACTTCTCTATGACTCTGACATGCTGGTTTCATCTGTGCCAGTCACTGGGAAAGCATGGATGCTGATCAAAATGAGCTTTTTTCAGTTTTTCTGCTGCATCCCCAGGACTTTAGACAGAAAATAACTGCAGGATCTTAGTTGTCCTTTATAGAAGCTGCAGTTTTGTTCTTTCTTGATATTTACCCTTTTGCACCCTTCATTAGGTGAGGCCAAGACTGAGTTATTTGTTTAAAAAGGGCGTGTCACATACTGGTGCTCCTTCTTCACCAGGCTGCCATGCCAAGGCTTGTACCTGTGGAAATTACAGGTGCTCCAAGGGAGCAAAGATGCAGCAGAACATCCAGGCAGGCTTTGATCTGCAGAAAACAGAGGAGCCATCTTCTTTCGGGAAACTCTCAAACTTGCATCATTTTCTTGGTAAATGGTTTTGGTTCACGTTCTGCTTTCCAGCTTCTCAGTGGAGGAAAGGTCGCAGCAGCTGGTCCAGAAGAGGAACAATTGGTGACTGACTTGAGTCGTGTGTGTTGTGTGTCACATGCTCACGAGTGGGAAACTGTGAGCTGGTAATCAGGAACATGAGTAGATCGTCAGTGGTCCTTATCTCCGCCCAGGAGATATTAAATCAGTTAAGATAATGGGATGGAGGTGATTCCTTGCTCCATATTTGAAGGCGTCACTCTTCAGTTTCCTCTATCTCTACCGCCTTTTTAAAGGGGTCTGTAAGGTCATAGTCCAAACTTTGACTTCTCTGCAACCCCGGAAAATAAAGCAAACACAAACATGCCCTTTGCTTTGTTGAAAACAAGGCTTTCTGGGCCTTGGCAGGAGTGTTTCTACTCATGCGCAGCAGATGATCAGTGGAAACACACAACTGCATATTACAGTATTATATCTAAATGACTCCCATGTGCCAGCCATTATCCATGTTCCTCCCGGGTGAGTCCTGCAGGCGTGGGGGACTACGTAAGCGTGGGCTGGGGAGGGTGAAATCACATTTTGAAAGAAGAGGTCTTCAGACGGTAATTATCAATCTCTCAGGAATGCAGCTGCCGCTCTTACCAGACATGCTGCTGCAAGGCGGCTTCGCGGCCCTCCAGCTTGCATTAACTCATCACAGATTGTCCTGCTGTAACGCACACACACACACACACACACACACACACACACACACACACACACACACACACACACACGCACACGCACACACACACCAGAAAGCCACGCAGCTTGAGGAAATCTTGGCTCGTTCGTGTTTATTTTGTCATTCTTGTTACCTACACGGCCAGTTTTCTGAAACTGGATCCTCTTCTGTAGCTAACAAAGAGACCACATAATGTCAGTAAAGGATTGTCTTTCAGTCCAAGTTCTTTGCCACTGCGTGTTTACGTCGCTGCCCTGGCAAGAAAACAAACTCCTGGAGACGTGGGGCCACCCACAGTTTCTGCTCTTGACGTCTCACCACTTTTCTCTTGTTCTTAGCTTTTTTTTGTGTGTCTGGAATTAGAGGCGGAAACTTGTGCAGTTAATGCAACTAACTTCAAAAGTTTGTTTAGTCACAACGAGTCAGACGAAACCCTCCTGGAGTTCCCGATAATGGAGCATGTCCAGTTTTCCTGTCACGTTCGTCACGGCGCATGTCTGCTACGCTGAGCGCTCTCACATGAGGACAAGGTTACTTAAGTTTGCTTTGAGTAGCAATGCTCTCCTTTGTTTGATAAAGCCTAGAGAAGGCGGCCAACGCCCTGACTGATGCCTGCAGGTGCTGCGCTGCAACACCAGTTTTGCTCAACATTTGCTATTTAGCAACAGACTTGTTGCTTTCCATTTGAGGCGTTGATTCAAAACCCCTTTGTGTAGACTTGGAGCAGCTCCAAAGCGTCCGTGTTAACCTCCTAACCTGTCATTTATCTCCGCTCGTGCAGCTTAAGGAGCCGTGCCATGGGAAACCAACAGCCTAGGCATGGATGTGAAACAACCAGTGGATAAACGGAGCCGGTCCTAATTCAAACAAAGGTGGCTGTCTCTATCACCGCCACTCCCTCCCGCCTTATCCCCGTGAGGTCTGTGCCGGCAGCTTCTCAGCGTGACTCAGTGCGGTTACATTTCCACTTCCTGTCGCCCCCTCCTTTGTTCCCCAGGCTGCTCACTTACCTGTGAGATTTCACATTGCTTCTGTTTGCGATAGGATTAAAAGAAGCGTTCAGGGGCGGCTGTAAAAGGGCAAAAGTTCTTCAACTCTTGTTTGGGTCTTATACTGACTTAACCTGTTGTACATGACATGCCCCCCCCTAAGAATACAGGGAATTACCTGCAACTCAGCTTTGACACTGATCTGTTTAGGGTGTGTACATCTAAAGGTCTCCCAAAACTGTCTTTGCTTTCATGGAGTTTAATCCTAAATTACCACGTTCACCGTTGCAGCAGGGTTGAGCTCCAGGCCAGGCAGGTGTCACTGCTCTACGTCGCCCCAGCGTCGTTGACGCGTCTGCCTGAGATAAGAACAGATGCAGATTTGCTCAGGAATCCATGCCCTGGAGCTGCAGAGCATATGGCTTTAACATGTTGGTGCATAAACTATCTTCTGTTCCTGTTTACTTTGCGTGTGTGCACCGCCGTCCGTGTCATTGCAGCAGCTATTGACACAACGTGTGGAGGTTTGCGAGGTTAGAATGGTATCTTCTGTCCGACGTGAGGTTTGACGTTTCTAAAGGCTAAGTAAACAGCAGGTTGGCATGCTTCAGCACGACTGAAGCCAGTCGTAAAACTCACACAAATCTGGCGTTCGAGGGAGAAAAGGAGTGGGAGGGGACTACGTTT